GCTGATAATAAGCATTTACTATAACCACTTAATATATACACATTTGTCTAGTTTAAAAGCATTGGCTTCACTTGAACTTCTTTTTCGTCTTTCTTTGTCTTCGACTCAGGAGATGGTGGTGCAGCAAGCGGTGGAGTCGGTGGAAGAGGAGGGAATCGTCTTCATCGATGAAATCGATAAAATCTGCTCTAAGAGCGTAAACCATAAACCCAAAACAATAGACAATGAACAATAAGCAATAAACACAAAACAATGAACCGTAAACAATATATAATATGCAATAAATGATAGGCAATCACCTCTAATCGCTGAACCCTAACCCATAAGCAATAACATAGATTTTACACTTTGTTTAACTTCAGGGAAGAAGCGGCTACCAAGGGCCCGATGCCTCAGATGAAGGCGTACAGCGCGATTTGCTACCTCTGCTAGAAGGCTCTACTGTCGCTACTCGATACGGAGACATAAAAACAAATTATATTTTGTTTATTTGTTCTGGTGAGAAAAGCAAACGGTTTTTCTTGTCCGTCATAGAGACTGCAGTGTGGTCATAGTGCTTACAGTTTAGGCTCTAGGGATTAGTGATTAGGGTTTAGGGTTAGGGGTTTAAGGGGTTAACTTTAGAGTTTAGTGAGGTAAATGGGCTTTCGATTTAGGGTTTAGGGTTTAGGGGTTGTGGTTTACGGTTTATTGCTTAGGGTTTAGGATTGCAGGGTGGGATTTTGTTTATTATCTCTTTATTATTAGGACATTTATTTCCATCTTTTATTCATAGTGGTTCCTGCTTGCTTTATGCCTTGGCTTGTTGCACTTCGCTTGTTATTTTTGTTTTTTCTCTTCCTTCCTTTTCCTTCTAGTTTGTTCTGTTTGGTTCCACTTCCATAATTCTTTTTCAGGTTTGCACAGCTGTGGAGGTGCTGTTTTTTTTGTTGTTTTATTTTATGTTGTATTGATTGCTGCATTCATTTTTGTTTTGTCTATCGATGCTATTATTCGTTTTTTCCTCTAAACACGTTTTTTTCTCGTTTGTTTATTGCACGCGTTTATACTGTTTAGTGAGGGAAATCCATTTGAATAGAAAATGTGCTTTGCTTTTTTTTGTTTTTAACCTTGTGTTTTTGCTTTTGGTTTCTTATTCTTCTTTTCGTCCCTTCAGGTGCATTCCACTCTGTACAGCCCAGCGATATGCTGGCGGAGCTCCAGGGGCGGCTGCCTGTTCGTGTAATTCTGCGGCCGCTCTCTGAAGAGGATTTCTTTTCTATCATGACAAAGACAAAGCACAACTTAATTGAACAGCATACAGGTAGATAAGCAAACAAGTAGCAGCAGTAGCTGCTGCTGCTGATGCTGCTCCTGATGCTACTCCAGCACCTGCAGCACCACCAATAGCAGCAGCGGCAGCGTCAGTCTGGATATACTGAGGCCTGCTTTGTGCCTTATTGGTGTATGTGTCTGTGCGTAAGCATTTGATTGCATGCAATCGTAGAACAGGGAATATATATGTGTATATTTACTTATATATTCTCTCTATCCATTTTTGATTTGTACATGAACAATTACCTCATCGACTAATTATAGTCATAGTGAGTGGTGACGGCTCATTTAATCGAATCGCTTTTGTGTTTGTTTCCGTTGGTGTTTGCATTCTTCTTCAGCGCTGCTCGCAACGGAGGGAATTGACCTGAAATTCAAAGAAGACGCGATTGCGGAGGTAGCGAGAGGTAATCCTCTGGGGTGTATCGACACTTGAAATGCACACAGCTCGTTCTGCTGCAGAAGCGGCAACCTATTTTGACGGCATAAGAAGCAATGTATATATATATATATATATGCACATATATTCGGGTGTATTTTCTAGGGAGAATATTACAGATAAAAGTACCATATAGTATAGTGTAGGCCTTATTATTGGGGGATAACACCACGATGCAGGTGTCAGGAATGAGCAAAGAAGCAATATATTGTATATTCGGGTGTATAGGATATTGTTAAGCACAAGAAACGCTATATATATATATATATACATATATACATTTATGTTTTTTGTTTCGTGTTCTAATGAATAACATATATGGAACCCAGGTAGTGCATAATATATATAATATAAAAACAAATAAAATATATAAAACGGTGTATATATTGTAGGAAGAAGGTAAGAGAAACTAGAAACAGTAATTGCCCCATCTTCACTGACAGGACAACCCAGCCTAGCCCTTAATTGAACAAATACTTTGTTTGCCATTTAAATCCGAATTAAACAGAGCCAAAAAGAGTTTATGATTAAATATGGGTTACTCAAAACGCCTGCATGCAGGTCCTCTAATAGAAGAGCAGCAATCAGCAGACAGATTAGGTTGCAACTTGCTTTAGGGAGACAGCATGCTTAAGAGGAAGAAGTAAAATGTTTTTATTGGTATTATCGTTATTATTATTGTTGTTTTTATTGTTATTGCTACTGTTATTAAATAAATACTTGATTACGTGCATACATGATCCAACAGATACAGCATGAACAAACAGTACAATACACTCTAATATAAATAATACTGGATAATAAATTAAAATATTATTAAATAACTTCTTTAATATTGCTGCAGCGGTATTCCCTGATGAAAATATGCGAATGAAATAAATAAACAGATGCACCAACGAACAGAAAAAGCGAGAAGCAAATAAGACAGATAAAACAAGTAGACCAAATAACTCAATAATTAAAATGAGCCAAGCAGAGGCTAATCCAGCAAAAGCCAAATAAAAAACAAACAAATTCATAAAGCAAAAGCGAACCGGGCAAGCAAACGAAGAAAACAAACAAAAGAAGAAACAAATAGAATGTTATAAATATTTATTTCTTTTTGCAGTGGCATCCGAACTAAATTCGCAAGTTGAGAATATCGGCGCGCGTCGTCTCCACACCGTCATTGAAAAGTAAACCCTGAAAAAAATAAAAATAAAAAATATTTAAATGATTCCAATGTTTTTTATTTCTATAATACAATTTACATACTTATTGCATTCAATACACATTGTATTTATATTGTCTAGGATCGTATGTATATTCATATGTAAATGTGCATATATTTGTTTACGGTGTATTGAATGCATTATTATTGCTATTATTATTATTATTATTATTACTCTTATTATTATAATTACTATTATTCATCTTGCATGTGTTGTTGGCTTTACATTTATTTGATATGTATATCAAATACATACAGGCGATATATATTTGAAATTGTTCTCTTTGTTTTATGCGGGATATATTTTGTTTTGGCTCATTTAATGCCGCATGTTTTCTTGTTTTGTTTTATGTTTTATTTATCTCGCTTTATTTTGTTTATTTTATGTTTTATTCGTTTTGTTTTGTTTTTTGTTTTATGCTCCAGTCGTTGTTTCTGTATTTGCTTTGTTGTCTACTTCTTAAAATTTATTTTGGCTTCACTGCCTCTGGATGTTCAGAGTATTGGAGGATATAAATCTCAACGCCGCTCTTCAGCCGCAAGGCACCACGTAAACTCTAAACCCTCAACATTAAACCCCCAACTCTAAGCCATAAGCCCTCAACTCTAATCCCTATCGCCTCAACCCCGCACTCTAAACCTTAAACTTTAAGCTCTCAACGCCAAACCCTGAACCCTATCCTAATCCTCCACCAAGACCTACACTCTTAAAACCCTAAACCCTTGAACATTCTATTCGGTATGAAGTACTACCGCGTATATCTTTGTCCTTGTTTTTCCTCCAAAGTTATGTCTTCCGCTGCATTGGAATATATTTACTTTTGCCTTTTCGTTTATTTTATGCCTTATCTATTTGTTTGTTTAGCTGCTTACTTGCTTGTTTATTTGTTCATTTCTTTTCTTTATTTCTACAGGGTCGTGGTGGACCGGCACTATGTGAGAGAGAGGGTGAAGAAGATGCTTCTTCCCACTGATCTCTCTCGTTTTATTTTGTAGGGTTTAGGGTTTAAGGATGTTTGCAAGCAAACCTGTCTCGATTCCACCGCATCAACCAATATATTCTATCTACGCGTAAAAACGTGTAGCTTTTTTGCCCGCCCCAAACCCTAAACCCTAAGCCCTAAAGGGGGAAGGCAATAAACCTTTTGTTGTTTGATGCAATTAGCGAACCACCACCTTTTTCTCGAAAATAGAACAGAGACGGAAGGCCTATGAGTTATTTTTAGGAGAGCCGCACAGCCAAAGAAAAAGAGGCCTTAGCAAAAAGACAAATGACTAGAGGCAAACCACTGATACTAAAGCGACAAGGAACAAAAACAAAGACAAAATCTTATTAAATACACGTTGGGGGAGCGGCCAGTGAAACTGCACATTGGCCTCCCCTATCGCCCTATTCTTTCTTCTAACCCCCATATCCATGTGCAAACATATAAGGGCCCCAGGGGTACCAAGAGGCCCCGCTGGGGCCCCGGAAAAAGAGTACCGGTTTCGGGGGCCCCTGGGGCCCCCTAAAAGGGTACTCGGGTCCCCTGTATTGGGGGCCCCCCAGTGTTTATAGGGGCCCCCGTGCCTTCAGTGCGTCGCTGAGTCTTCCCGCCGCAGCACGAACAGCCTCAGCAGGCATATACAACCGGAACATGTAAAGAATAATATATATATATTTATACATATAAAATATATATTATCAATTGTACAGTTGTAGAAATATGACCTGTCCGGCTATTGCTTTCACCTCTATGGTAGTTTCTATTGCGGAGATGAGCGAACATTGCTAAAGGGTGCCCCCAAGACTTTTGCTTTGCGCAAAGCCTCAGGGCAAGAAGGCATAAGAAAGCAGAAGAAAAAAGATGAATAAACAAAGATGTTGGCGCCATTCTTCCGTCTTGAGTCGATAGACAAATGCAAGAAAAGAAGAAAGAAGAGCAACACAACGAGAATGTGCATTTATCTTTCTCCCCCACACTAGGACTAGGAAACATTTGCAGAGAGGAAAGAAGGTTTAAAAACAAAACAAACTGCCCTTTTCTTATTAGCCCGTCACCAGTCGTTCGAGAGGTGTAGCCGCTGAAGGGTCGCCTCCAGCGCCCCCACTTCCTTCTTTACCTTCGCCCGCCTATAAAATATTGGGCAATCCCTATTAATACAAATTACATCTTGCAATAATGAACCCTGACATCTGCACAAATAAGATACAGCACAAAGCAATCCAACATAATCCGTACAGAAGACAAACAAACTCTACAATACACAAAGCATCCAACGGAATAGGAGAAATGTATACGTATATATGCATGTACATGTGCATGCATATATATATATATATATATGTTGATATACAGAAACACATAAACAGTCAGAATGGAACATACACAAAATGTGAAGCAACACTGAACAGAATAGGCTTCGTTTTTTCCACATATATATATATATATATATCTGAAGAAAAGCACGAAAAAGGACAATAATAATGACAAGGGTCAGACCAAGAACGTGAATAAGGACAAAGCCAACACAAAAGCATTCCTTTTCCTCACCTCTGGCATTCTGTCCAAAGTGCGTTATGTTCCTTCTCTAAAGCCCGAACCTCCGCCGCCTTCGCCGCAGCGATCTGCAGAAGAGCAAACAAACACAAAACAGTCAAAATAAACAGTTAACATAAACAGTACTTCCTTCTTAATGTATATAAATGTATTTATGTATTTATCTATATACGTGTATTATGCAGAGTGCAATGCATAATCATGGGCATTTGCACTTTAACAGAAAGAAGCGTGATTATATATATATATATATACTTGCTGCTGGTTGTTTGTGGTGCACTCAGCCAGAGATATGCAACTGCATAGTAAAAAATCACGTTCAGATACTATTGAATCACCACACGCAGTTTTGACGACGCAGCTACAGTGTATATTAATTGGGAGTGGAGATTCTTTCGCCTTGTGCGTGCATTGAGAAAACGCGTCTAAAGGCATATAAAAAAATAATAATACCCTCAGTTAAGAAGATGAATTCGACAAACGCCACAAATACTATAAACATAATTATTCCACACAACGTGGCAGAGGAGCAGTTACTGGTATGAAGAAAAAGCTGATGCTAGTGGCTGAGGAGATACATGATCATTAAAATATATCAGCACGTGCCATATGGGGTTTCTTTACGCAAATAGTGAGCTGAATGCTCAAGTGTACACACTCTGAAGAGGCGAACATAAAGGAGAGAAAAATAAATATGTTTTCATACATAATGCACGAATGGTAGCATATCAATATATGAAAATACTGCGACAGCACCCAACAACCCAATGACGCCTTCAAGCTGTCCATGCACCTTAATCCTTCTTCGCAGCATATTAAATCGGCTTACTGTTCCCTCTTTCGCCTGACAGTGCTTGCATAGAGCCCCTTCAGTAATCGTAACGCGACAGCCAATGCACTGGACTCCTTTCTTTATGAACTTCGACATGGCTCCTTGGCTGGAGACCGTTAAGGTCTTCTTCAGTGTGTGGAGACCGCCTAAACAAACAAATACAACAGATAACTAAAACAACTCACTAAACAGATTTACACTTGCTGCCTGAAAATGGCACAACGTACTGAACACAAAAAGAGAACAAAAAGGGTCGAAGGAATCCTGGCAGCGACACCGGCGTTCACACGAAATATGAAATACTACTATTACTAATACTAGTACTACTAATAACAATAATACAAAAGTACGGTGTAATGGTATTAATAATAATAATGGATAATAGTAGGAATGAAGAAAAAACAAAGACACAATGGCGGTTATGGCCAATGGGGGTTGGCGGTTATGGCCAATGGGGGTTGTGTTGCCTGCTGGCTGAGGATGCTAAGCAAAAAACCAACACAAACAACAGCAAATAATAATAACGACAGACACGCACCATGAGAGTCATACTTATTGTTCTAAGGGCAATTGCAGTGAACAGGAGAGAGGTAATAAGCATCAGAACAGATGCTGTTAGAAGAATGGGAACAGGGTCAAGAGCGCGAAAAAGAAGAAAAGAAGTGTTAATATCTATGCAAGGATTGACTGGAAAGACACGGTAAAAAAAGAGAAATACGAGCAAGGATACTAAATAGAAATAAAATGGAAATAAATATTCAAAAAAGAACGAGGCCAATATACAGGCGATAAGAGCGTGCTTAGTACGGACTGAAGAGGCTTTCCGGGTCGTTCATAACGCCTTCAAAGATGCGCATGAGGGGCCCTTTAAGTGTTTCAAGGTAATGTTGCGTGTCGATTGGCAAATTGTTTTCCAATACATACAAAGGGTCTTCCGCTCTCTCGTACTGAGCCTGCCCCTTAGACCCTTGAACCACCACATAAGAAATTCGGTCGCCTACGTTGGGCGCTGTGCCGGGGTCTGTGTAAACCATAAGAAAACAAACAGCAAACACCAATAATAATGAGAGGCAATATCAACATACACTCAGCTAACAAACATCTAGTAGTCCCTGCAAACAAAGCCAGACGAAGAGTGGTTCATAAGGATTTCGCAAATAAGAAACGAAGCGGCACAAACGCGCAGGCGAATAACTGGGTAAAGAAATAACCCAATATTAAGGACGAAATATAAACAAAGAAGTAAACTGGAAGGCAAGACCAAAACACAAAGAAAGGGCGAGCATAAGGTAAAGGACTGATTTTGCCGCTTGTGACCCCATGGAGTTCACTGCACAGATATTTCCTTCAGCTGGTGGTTCTGTTGTATTCATTTTGTTTATTTTCTTGCAGTTGGCCTTCAAAGAAGTCAGAAAGAATACCCCGCCTTACCTCTCTTCCTCAGTTTCTTCGCCAACTCGACGTGAGGGAGTTTTGTGTCGTAATCCAACTTTCCCAGACTTTTTGTTTGAACCAACAGACTCAGGTCTATCTTGTTCTAAACCACACATATGCATATAAATGCATACATATGTATATGCATATATGTATGCATGAATGTTTGGTTGTGTTGGTTGTTGTGCAGCTGCCTGCCCTCACAGTGTTCTGCTAGTTGCATGGGCGAGGCTTATTACTTCTACCTTCATTCCTTTGCATTTATGTACATTAGTCTGCGCCATCAACGCGTACACTCATGTACATAAATTTTCACTAAGTGATTCATTTATTTCGCTTCCTTTGTTCCCGTACACCTGTTGATTATTTATATGCTGCTTTCCTATAAGGGCCTCTCGTTGCAAGTGAATGCCCTGTTGGTGGTCAAAGCGCCTCTGTTTACTGATCTACTATTTGTTTGTTGTGTCATTATTCATTTGTATAAGTATTTTGTTTGGTTATTATCTGCCTGTGTAGTTAGTAGTTATTCTTAGTCATGGCTGATATAACAACCATTTGTTAATTTATTTATTGCGTGCTTATTTAATTAGTATTCATTTAACTGTTCACCTGCAGGAGTTCGGCTATCTTGTTGCGTGTATATGCCTTGGCATTTTCTACATCTTTGTCTATTAACATCTTCTTTAGTACGGTGTCCACCATTATTTGAACCAGCATCGAGAAGTCGCGTCGCACCGTCTACAACAGTAGGCAAAACGCAACAGATAAACAATAGAGATTACATATATATATGTATAAATATTAAGTACACGAATAAATAAAGGGAAAAAAATCTGATGAGCAAAGAAAGAAATCTCCAAGTGGAATACCAAAGAGTATACATAATCAAAGACCAGCAAGCAATTCAAGAGAAGTGGAGGAAGGAGAAGGGTTTAGGGGCGAGCTTCAGGGTTTATAACTGTAAACGAAGCAACGAACACCTAACATATACAGAAACAGGTACACCACAGATACGATGCATTCAATAACCACAAGAGAAAGGGAAAAGGGAGGCACAAACAAGTATTGCCACAAGCGCGAACAACGGAAGGAAGATAAGAAACGGCAAAAAGAAAAACATTTAAAAAAGCACAGATGAAGAGACAGGAGAGGAAGAAAAGAAGAACTGGAAAATATTCACAAAGGCGCATACACACACAAACATAATTGAAGAGACAGAAGCAGAAGAAAAGAAGAACAAAGTCAAGGAAACAAAAGCAAAACAAAGGAGATGAGGATAAAGACAGTACTTACTTCTATGCCCTTGGAATCGATTTTGTCGTAGTGGGTAGGGTTGGTATACAACAGGCCGGCGTATCTCTTTTTGTTCATCAGCAAGAAAGGACAATAGACCTTTTCAAACTCCAACTTTATTGGCCTTATGAACTCCCCACTTATCTTGTTAGCTGCCTCACGACCTAAGCAACAAAAACGACAGTCACTGCACCAACGAGAAATTCTAATAACTAGAAACTAGAGACAGTGAAGGAGACAGGAAGATAAAGAAAGGCGATAACAAAGAAACAACCAAACAACCACATAGTGCCAATTACTACTAGTATAATCAGGGGTGCAGTGCTTACAACCATAAGAATAAGAATTATTGAAAACCAGCAAATAAGAGCTCTCAGACGTTTCCAGTACGAAAAGCAGTAACAAATACTCTTTGTAATGCACACTATACCGCTTTTAATAAACGAAACATGAGTACATATATATATATATATGCATATTTTTGAAGATATATTTGAATGCAGGCAATAGTAGCAAACCGCCGTTGCACAACTCAGTATCGACGCCTAAAAAACCGCCCTGACAATCAGAGATATACGCGAAGACCATGAAGACGGTAATGAAGATATTTATAAGTAAATCAGCAGTAGCAAGAATCGCACTAGATAAAACAACATCCACAATCAACACCGAAGCCAGCGGTAATAGTTGTAAGAAACAACCAAAACAAATGAAAGACGACAAGTGACACAGCCCATTATGAACTCACACAAAGACGGGACAAAACACCACCAATTTGTGATTAGAAAAAAGGAAAAAGAGCACACGGGGGGAGCAGCAGAAAGCAACAAGACACAGACAACAGCAAGAAGAGAAACGCCGACGGATGGTGCGAGGTAAAGCCCAGCCTGTCAGCGTGTTCGGTGTTTGCTTGGTGTTTGTTATATGAACAAATACATAGAAAGCGAAATGCAGGAAGAGGGGGGGAAAGATTCAAGGAAGAGACTAGTAGAGGAGCTAAAACAAAAATCGATGAAACCAACAAACCAAAACAAAACAAAAGAAACACAACACACCGACAGGGGGCAGGTAATAAAGCAAACAGCAAGGAAGCCAACCACCACCGCTTCCAATTTTCCTACGTTAGTACGCAAAAATAAGAATATAAATGAAATACGACGATAAAGGCACGAACAAATATAAATAAATATACATCATAAAAGACACCGTCTCTTACCGAGTTTCATCGCTTCTTGAATTGAATTCGTGCCGAAGCGAATCATCACGGAATCGGTATCACCGTAAACAACAACTGCATTGTGTTCATATCCATTTGCTTTTGTGTAAAGTTCTTCAACTCTTCGTTTGGTATATTCAATCATATCTCTTCCGAAACATGTAATAGATGTCGCTACCTCTAGACACGGCAACTGTCCCCCCACCTGCACCGCCAACCACAAAAAGAAACGGAACAGAAGAGAACCCACATGAAATATAAACAAACCAAACATCGCGAAACCTCAAACGCATCAGAAAGACGGTTGTGTCATGAAAAACGCAACAAAGTGGAGGGGAAATCGGCTCGATGCACAACATAAACAGGGGGACCAAGCATAGCAGAGAAAAACACTATGAACTCATCTAAAAGCAAATATTGAGAAAATATACATCATAATTACAACTGAAAATAAAGACAGGGAAATCTATTTATCGACTACAAGGAGACATACAGATGAGGAAAACAAGCACGATCACATGCAAACAACGCCAACAGCACCAACACCTACAGGAACAAAACGAACACCAGCACTAACAAGAAGAACAACAACAACAAAACACCAATAAGAAGTGATAAGACAAGGACGAAACAGCAACAAGCCAACCAAAGAAGAAGGGCGAGAAAGGCTGGCTGCATCATCCGACCGTAGCTCCAGTATATCCGTAGACGCTGTTGGCGGTGATTTTAAGTGCAAGTTGTCTGCCGTTGAGAACGCTCTTCATAAATTTGTCTTCTGCTTTGCTCATCTCTGCCTTCGCCACCTTCCGTGCAGCAATCAACTCTTCAACAATCATCGGCAGTACACCGCGACGCACTGACGCCTTCACAAACGTGTGGCGAGGGCTGCTAGTCGTATGCGTCAGCTGCAGATTAAACCCAAATGCAGCAGCAGCAGCAGCAGCAAAAGCTGTTATTCGAGCAGCAGCAACGAAGCTGCAACAGCAGACACTATTGGAGCAGCAGCAGCAGAAGCCAATAGAGCACCAGCAACGGGCACCCTTAAGGCAGCAGCAAAAGTTACTAGAGCACCAGCAAGAGCCTTCACCAGCGTAGCAGCAGCAACAGAGCAGCTGGTGGAGGACCAAAAGCAGCAGCAGCAACAAGAGCAGAAGCCAGCGTAGCTGCAACATCATCGTCTCGGTTATCCCCCTCCCATCCTGTTGCGTGCTTTACTTCTGCGTGTTGGGAATTTAAATTGTGTGCGTGCACTTGTTTTTTATCCTCCGTTCAATATCTATTATTTCGTGCAGTATTTACGAAGTGTGCAGAAGCAGCGTACGGTGTCCTGTTGGAGCGTCTGCACGTCCGTTCCCTTGACTAGAGTACTGTAGCAGATGTTGTGAGCCATCATGATTGAAGGGTAAAGAGAAGCAAAATCCAAAGTTGAAATTGGCATATTATAAAAACCCTTGAGAGGCTCCAGCACCGTCGCGCCCTCGTACTTATCATCGCGGTCGCCGCCTACCCGCTGCAGACAGGTAACAAGACAGACGAGTAACAAATCTAACGAGCAAATAAAGACATTAATTAATGAATTAACCATTTTACCTATATAGTAATTGGTGAGAGCGAGGCATTAATGGTGAGTGTGTTTGGCACAGTCTATGGGCAAAAGAAACATGAACAAAGAAACAAATGAACAAACGCGTTAGAGAGAAGAACAATATCACACACCCGGCGCGAAGTGAAGAAGAAGACAAGCACAACGCAAACACTGAAATGCAAACGGGCATTTCTATAAGCTTCAACGGCGCAACAGCAAACGCAAGCAGCGGCTCTTGTGCTGCTGGTGTAGTGGCTTCAAGAGATGCAGTGTAGGTGCAGCAGTGGAGTTGCAGCCCGCTGGGGTCTACGCTTCACTATCCCCTCAGTTAATATTTCATATTCAGTGCTGCAGCAAGCTGATTCCCTACGACTCCAGAGTTGTGCAATAGGGCGGCGTTTGCCAGGGCTTGGGGCAATTACTGTGTATGTTGTAGCGGTTGAGGCAGCAAGGGTCCGTTGTGCAAGTACGTAAGGGCTTAGGGTTTAAGGGTTTAAGGCATAGGGTTTACCTTGACAGAGGGCACGAGGTAGTGCAGCTGTCTGCATTTGCGTAGAAGTTGGGAAGTGACTTTGATTTGTTGGCCCCTATGCGAAGCAGCACAGATGTCGTTTGCTGCACCTGTGTTGCATGTCTGCTTGTGAAGGGGGGTTTGAGCAAGGAAGTGCTACTAAAGAAGTATGGTTGGTTTGAAGTGTACAGACACCTCGTGAGCAAGTAGGTTAGGGGAGTGCCCGTGACACGGCTCATTTCAACATAGTTGAACAGAAACAGCAGCTTGTTCAATAAACGAAGAGGTAACAGGGCGTCCTTCAGGCAGTACACCGCAATGCGGCGCCGAGTTGTAGGAGAGCCCCTAAAGAGGTCCCCTATCATGCTGTAATGCACATCCTCCTGGTGTAACGCAAGGAAAGAGCAACGCAACAGCAACGCAACAACATGACAACACAACGCAAACCTAGAGTTAGCCCCAACGGGCCGAACAGCTGCGCTGCATCTAGGGAAGGCGTGAAGAAAACAAACTGATAAATGAGATGTAAAAGAAACATACAAAGGAACCCATGTGTACACAAACGAAAAAAGACAGCGAGGCAGTACCCAACTATGGAAGCAACAAATGCAGATAACAGCAAACAAAAAACGCAAGACAAACAAAACAACAAACCAACCCACCAAAACCAAGAAGAAACAAACATGTAAAACAAACAAACAAGCAAACGGCCTTCCTTCATTCTTCATTCTGTACCGACCTTTTGCTCCTTAAGGAACTCAGAAGACACGAAGTTAAGGGAATAACTCTTCAGTTTGTAGTCGCGCCGCACAAGCTCCAATACATCAAACTGCACGCGACCCTCTACCGGTATCTCCTTGTTGTCGTGCGTGCCAAGAGCTCTAAACACAAGCAATAAAGCCTAAATTCTAAACCTTAAGTCCTCCAGACCCGGCGAACCCGCCACACGCAGGGCGTGGGCACACCCTGCCCATGAGACAATCAGAGCTTAGCGTGGACCCCAATGTCTAGGATTCAGGGTTTAGCGTTTAAACGTTTGCCTGAGATGCACCTGGAGCTGAAGCGGGTATCAGAAATGCGGGATTCGAACGCCTTCAGCCGTGAGAGGGAGTTGACGCCTTCCGCCTTAAGGGCCGCTGCCCTCGTGAGGAGATAACACAAATCGAAGTTAATGCAGTTGTAACCCGTCAGAAAGTCAGGGTCGACCTGTATATACACCCCAATGCACACAACTGCAACGCCATGTCCGCAGCAGTTAAAGCCCGTGCGGTTCTTCGGGCTGTGCACTCCATACAGAGCTATACACAAAAGCGAGACACAAGAGTTAAAGAAAGGTAAGACATGAAGAAAAACAAGTGATAATACAGGACAAGAAGTAATAAAAGACAAAAGATAATAAGAGACCAGAGATCATACAAGACAAGACTCATGCAAGCCTATAATAAAAGACAAGGGATAGAGACGAGAGGTAATGGAAGAAAGAGAAGAGTTTAGTAAGGAATAGGGAAAAGTTCTTTCGCTCGTTTTTACCTCTCTAACGAACTCCGCCCATTTAATCAACATCTCCGCCTCATCTTCAAACCAAAATACCCAAGCCCCAGCAATTGGAGCGCATTCATTCAGAGCAAATATAACGCGACAGACCGGCTGTTCTGTAGCATCACCGGTACTTGCTTCTGCTGCTCTTCCTGTTGCTGCGGCTCCTCCTGCTGCTCCTGCTCCCGCTGCTTTCTCTTTGTGTGTTTGCTCGCGCCGGTGCTCCGCTACAATTGACGATATTTGAATTACTGGGTCTTCCTGCGCCTCAGGGAAACCCTGACCGGTTGCCTTGACGCATTCAATGTCTGTGCATCCCAACAAAACAACAAATAGATCAAGCAAGAAGAAACGTGTTTAAAGAAAGCAGCAAAAAAGGCAATACGCACGGGAGACAAAACACCGGGCAAGAAAGGAGATGAAGACGGACAGAACATAAACGAAAACGCAAGCCGCAATGCTGACGAGACAAAACAGCAGAAATGAAAATAAGGAAAGGCACACAATATGGACAAATTAATAGAAGAAAAATCAGAAGGATAGTGGAACGAGAAAACGAACATGTAAACAGATCAAACGAAAGAGCCAGACAAATAGACGAGTAAATAAAAAATACATAAACCAATGACCAACAATAAATGGGTGAGTCGTGGCCCCCAAGACGAAATGAGGACAAAACAAAACAGAGACTAAAGAGAAGCATGCTTCGATGTTTCTTTTTCTCGAGTTATTGTCTTTTATCTAATTGGGTTTGATAGCACGGGATGCAGCAAGATCTCCCATTCATGCAGAGACAGAAACAGAGACAGTATCCATGCATGAACAAACAAAGACAAACAAAGAGACGAAGACGGCGAAGGAGACAGCAGATGAAGCGGCTGACCAAAAGACAGCATCCGCAGTGGCGGAAGGGACTGATATTCTCCTTGCAGTGGCAAGGCCTCGATATCATTGTAGTGTATATCCACCTCCTCTTGACATCTCGACTCCCTCAGAGAAGCGGGACGCACCACGTACTTCCCTTTATTTGCTGCAGCGCAGAACAACCAAACACGCACGCACACACACACACACACACACACACACACACACACACACACACACACACACACACAAATGCACTGCTGTACGTACACCGAACAAATGCAGAAGAAGTAAACAAAGTAATGGAAATACAGAAACAAGCCACACATAGACGTTCAAAACAAGAAAAAACAACTACACGAAATAAGGAAAAAAGGGGATAACCGCAGCCAGGGCAATATGTACATGCATCTGGGTGCGTATATACGCATATGTATATGCATTTATATACGTGTATCTGTATATTTGTATCTATATACGCATATATACATATATATACATATAATATATATATATATATCTACAAGGATGCAACTGAACAGTGAGGCATGTCAACCACCCAGCCGCCCCTGAAGGGAGTTTTTCAATGCCCCAAAGCAAAGCAAACGAAAACAAATTGAAATAACCAAAAAGTACTTGAATAAAAGACAAGCGAAGCAAAAGAGAGACAGAGTGCTGCCCCATGTCTGCGTCACTGCAAGAAGGCTCTTTCTCTACTTGTCTACAACTCCTCATATATATATCGTTCATCTCCACTTGTGTGCATTTGCCCTGTCTATACTACCGAACACCAACGGAAACTCCGTTGGTTTTATACTCAGCGAGTTGTTGCTGCTGCTGTAGCTGTTGCTGATCCTGCTGCTGCTGCTGCTGTTGTTGTTGCTGTGCTGCTTGTGCTGCGTTGCATCGCGGCAGGACTACCTTTAAGCCAGCAGCAGCCTGTGACTTGAGCGTCGACCATGAAGCGAAGAACGAAGGGGATATTGGCCTCAAAGGCAGTGCTGGGGAGTGTCAGTGCCTCTCCACCACCGGCGGCCCCCCCAAAGCCCTCAGGTAAACGCAGTCGAATGCCGCTTTCTATGAAGCTGCGGATGCTGCCGATTAACTGAGGCGAAGCTGCGGTCACGCGAAAGAAAAACTGATGCAACTTCGAAGGAGAATAATACATCACAGACTGCAGCAAAAACGCCACAAGACATACCTTTCAACAAACAATAAGCAGAAACAAACGACAAATCAGCGCAAGCAAACCATTTGTTGGCGGATGTTCTCAGTTTTGTCTGAGTTGGTAAGGGTATAAGGCACTCTGGTGTTTGTACTCGTCGCAGTTTTTTCTGGATTTGTTTGCGGGTTTATTTATTATTGAAGCTGCTGTTTCCATAAGGATACTGTCAACGCACAATACCACCGATGACTACCCATCGCAACTCAGACAAAACTGAAATATATATAAACATAGTTATTTATAGGTTGGCATTGGCTTCTTTTCTTTCTTTTTTCTCTATTATTTTGTTTCATGATTTGCATCCTGTTCGTTCTATTTGCTGCGCCTTTCCTTTAAAGATTTCTATTTGCTGGAATGTGGATGAGCGTCATTACTTGTTGTAATGGGGCCATTTTTAACCATTTTGCTTCGCTTTGTTAGGAAAACCAGTGGTAAATATGAATACTAATTTGTCGTAATATTAACTAACATCGATATTAATATTTGTTTTCGCGCTTACCTCCTTCTCTTCAACGCGGACGTCAAGGATTCGCTTCTCAAAGGTTTTGCCTTGCGCATGGCTCTTCAGCAGATACTCCTAAAAACAGCGAACAACGGCGGCACATAGCTCAAAATATATATTAGAGTGCATTCATTATTTAAATTTATTTACTACTAAGGTGTATTTGTCGTTGGCATTCTATTGAGTACTTATGCCGCCGCTGTACTTGGCTGCCCCATTCATATTTCTGCATTCATATATTCGCATTCACGTTGTACTCACGCCCATTCGCAGATCAGTATGAATATTAATATCCACACCCACATCATACTGGCATTGGTATTTACATTCATATTCGTAATATTACCCATATTTGCCTGTACGTTCATATTTAAGGTCATACAACTCATATTCAAATACACCCTTAAAAGCGCCTTCACGATCCTTCCCTTTGTAATGGATTAGCGCAGTAATGTAAAACACATCGACTCCAGCATACGAAGGGCAGCAATTTGCGGTATGAATGGCTAGGGCTAACTAACTGCACTTCACAAGGCGTACATCTATTACAGCACGAAGTGCCTCGGTGACGGCATTCTGCTGCCACCCGCAGCAGCCCTGTCCTGCCCCAGCACCAGCAGCAGGAGCAGCAGCACGCATCGCTGCAGCAAGAGGCCCAGGGCACTCCACATAGCAGTAGGGGAAGAAGCCGTGGACGTTGCAAACAACCGAACGGCCATCAGCAGTTACACCGTAGAGCCGAACCATTGGGGAGGTGCTGTTAGCACGCGCAGCCTCAGCTGCAGACAGAGATGAGGCAGTCAGAATGCTGGGGGGAGGGCGAACTGCTGCTGCCCCATTCGCTGCTGCAGCATCCGCCACACCTGTTGCTGCTGCATTTGCTGCTGCTGCTGCTACTGCGGATCTCGCGCCATTAGAAAGGGCCTCCTGTTGCAGCTGCAAAGGCCGCTGTAAAATCGCCTCGGGCACTGAATGGCGGAATGCTGTCGCCGCCGCAACATCTAACTGAAAGAAAACTGAAAACCAAAAAACACAAATGCAGAAAAACAAAACCACAAATACACCCGAGTGTACGTAAATTCAACAAAAGATGCAAAAATACAAAGCGCAAACACCATATGCAGATAGATTGCATACAGAAAGACTCGAGGAATGGGATAAAACGAAAAAAGAGCACTTCACACACAAGCATACAATTGTATGCATGCGCATTTGTATGTATATCTAGGCGTGTCCTAGCGTGCATAAAAACCAGCTTGTACAAATATATATATATATATATGCTGTCTAAATGCGTATAATAGCATAATGCATATATATATATGCATATCTAAATGCACATAATAGCACCTATGCATATATATAATGCAGACATATACACCAGATGTATGGCTACAGGCAGCCTCCCATGCCCTGCATGAGTGCAGATATGCTGGTGACTTTATGACATAGGAGAAGATGAGGGGGAAAGTAAGCAATTATTATTTCGTACTCAAGTCCTCTTCCCCTGCAGCAGCACACAGACACCGCAAGCAGCCAGCAGACCGAGCTTTCTGTTGTCGCCGTTTGTCTTAAAATACGAACAAAACAATAAAGGACAGCAAAGCATAGACCGCGTTTTGCTCATCAGAAGGCGCAGCACACACAATCCAGCAGCCAGCCTGCACTTGCATCTCTTTATAGTTTAATGTCTTGCTGATTGAAAGGGTTTGGCATATTGCGAGCCACAAGCCCTCACTTGTTCCCCCCGTCTGTACATTCTTCTTTGTGTTGGTATCCTCGCGGCGCCAACTCTTTAAAAGCCGTTTCCACGTCTCTTCAGCAGCAGCGCGCGAAGGCCCCGCCTTCTCGAAGCCCAATACTGAGGAAGTCATTTCAGAAGAAGCAGCAGGAGGAGAGGCGCTCGGCACGACAGTCGCCCCGGCCATCCTGCGTTGGCCTCAGGGCAGAACGAACGGCTTTAGTGGGGGCTCAGACAGTCAAAACAAATCAAAACGACCGGAGAGAAAAACGGAGAGGAGGGAACAAAGAGGCGCCGCCACACTATGTACTACGGTAACCCGGGATGATGAAGGAGATAAGGGGTAAACGAAAGGATGGAAGGGGAAGAAAAAAACGAAAAGGGGAGATGACTAACTCCCAGAGGGAGGAAAACAACGCGAGAGGGCTTGTTTGCGTAGTGAAAGGAGAGGGTCAATGGCGATTAGTTGGCGTGCGAGACCAATAGACAGAAGAGAAATGAGACGGCCATTCAAGCAACGCCTTATACAAAAGAAATCAAGGAAAGTAACAACACCCTGTTCCTTCAGGGCGACCCTCGAGTTTTCTGTCCGCCTCGCTCACACATACACGAAAGGCGGTAATGACGGCAGTAGTGTTGGCTGGCGGTCGGTTCCTTTCTCGCTCAAATTAAAACAACATGATGTTGGAGAGCAATTTTAAATGCCAATGAAGGAAAGAAACGAGGGAGAGAAGCCAAAGTAGAATCCAAATGGCGACGCCGACCGAATCGACCCGGTGGAAACACAACACCGCCAGGGAGCAAAGGGTGGCTGAGAGCTGTTTCTCCCTCTTCTTTAGCACAAATTTAGGCGTCTTATTCTATTTAAGCAGCTAAATAATTCTTGATTAAAACGTCTACAATAACAGTCTCACCTAAACGGTGTAAGCGTTGCGGGGTCGTTTCTCTCCCCTTCCTCGAGCGCATGCAGCGCGTAGCGTCTGCTATTCTCTGACGTTCATCTTCTGTGAGTACAGAAAAGGAGGCGTCGGCAGCGCTTTGAAACCTTTTTCTTTCACCCTACTCTCTTGCGTTGCCTCCTCTGTTCGCCTTCCCCCAATGAGCTCCAGTACGCCCACAGAACCGCAGGGAGTGCCCGCGGTCAAAGCGGCTCCTTCAGCGCTCTCCAAGGCGAGGCCGTTCATTGTAGGAGGCCTCTCCGGCTGTATCGCTACTTGCTGCATTCAGCCGGTAGACATGGTCAAGGTTCGGTTGCAACTGGTTGGGGAAGGAGGCGCGAAGGCATCGACAAGTCCAATTCAGGTTCTCAGAAATGTCCTTAAAAATGAAGGCGTTCTCGCTCTCTACAAGGGGCTAGACGCCGGCATCATCCGTCAGGTCAGACTGCATCCGATGTACCGCTACACGCAAGCGCGCTGACCTGCGGCTCACTCTATTCAATAGACCTAATGTGAAGACGGGTAAAGCCCCCAGTAGACACTGCAAGGAGGCTGCATCTCGTGTCCCCTCTTTGCTATGCCGCGACATTTTCCTTCTGTGCTGCGAAAAAGCTCAGCTGACATACTCTACCGCCCGACTTGGGTTGTTCCGAGTCTTCAGCGACAGGCTGAAGGAGATGTCAAGGAGCGCAGACCCTACAGCGCCGCCTCCGCCTCTACCTCTTTGGAAAAAGGCAGCAGCTGGCTTGGCGGCAGGAGGAGTTGCCGCTGCCTTTGGAAACCCTGCAGACCTTTCGCTGATCCGCATGCAGGTATGTAGTAGTAGTAGCACCACATACTCACACCATCGGATGATCACAATATGTAACACGCAGGTTACTCACATTTCTTTGTCCGGTGAGCATAACCACAGGCTGACGCAACTCTCCCGCCTGAGGCCCGGCGCAACTATACTGGCGTATTGAATGCCGTTTCACGGATTGTCAAGGAAGAAGGCGTTCTAGGCCTCTGGAGAGGCAGCTTCCCCACCGTCCTGCGCGCCATGTCGCTGAATATGGGTAAACACTGCTGATTCAGATTTTCTTGACACAGGCAGGCATTCTTTGGCCAGAATAGTTCGTTGGAGTTGTACTTTAGGCCTTGTGGGTTGCAATCTCCGCAGGAATGCTCGCGACAAACGACCAGTGCAAGGAGATGCTTGCACCCACCTTGGGTAACGGATGGACGACGACCCTGACAGCCAGTGCTATCTCGGGTTTCTTCGCAGTGACATTTTCACTTCCATTCGACTTTCTAAAGACGCGGTGAGAACTCTTCTTACGTTCCTTTGGCCGGGCCATCTTGGCTCCGTTCTAACCTTTCACACCTCGTTCCTCCGCTTTTCCATCCATGTGCTTGAATTAGTTGCCCTAACAACCTGGTGTTTGAACTGTTGCAGGTTGCAGAAAATGCGCCCCGATCCGGTAACGGGAGAGTTACCCTATAAAGGTGTGCTGGACGCAGCAGTGAAGATCACTCGGACCGAGGGTATTACCGCGTTTTACACAGGTTACCCTACGTATTACGTAAGAATCGCACCCCACGCGATGATTACACTGATTTGCATGGATTATCTGGACAGAGCGTTCAAGCGATACTTCTAGACGATCCAGACAATTCGAATATCTGTTATGTGCTGGAGATGGAGGTTGGGGACGCCTGACAACTCTGTCTCAAATTTAGTTCCGCAGACCCGCATTCATTGTGCACCTTGCTGCGAATGAAATAAGACTGCCAGCTACAATGCAGTGCACCTGCTGTGATAGCCCTGCTCCGGAACGGAAGAGCTTTTTAAGGGTGTGAAAAACGTTATCGCGTTCTCTGTAGCCAAAATTTGTATGGTGCAGATTCGCAGTAACGGGGAGTCTACGGACACCCACAAGAAACTGTGTATGACCGTTAAGACATTCGACTTGCCCTTTGTTCTTCTCGCTGCGTAGGGCAGCACCCAGATTATGCATTTTCCCTGGGGTCTCAGCAGTGTATGTCTGTTAGTTAGTGAAGACAATGTGCCAAAAATAGCCGCGTTGGCTTATGCCGCTTCTGCCGAGTTGAAGACCCGGGCAGCTTAGCTATGCGTCACCAGACATTGAGAGCTGAAACATCCCAGGCAGTTTCCGTTCTATCTAGGTTACAGCTGCTGAAGGAAGCGAAGGGCGCTGGCAGATGACTCCTGTTTCCAAGAAGTAAAGTTTCCTTTAAATACTACTTAAAATGCCAAGATACATCCGCCCACGAGACTCACTTGCACTGCTGTGGGGATCTCTTGGGGTAAGAATGTATTTGCCTAAATGCAACTACCGCTTGAAAACATCTGGATTCCACTGCCTGGCGGACTCATTACCTCAGTAGCAGAAAGTTCCTACATGGCGATGTGAATGCCGAGACTGCAGGTAGGAAAATTGTTTTCTTACTTCAGGGTGCATGTCGGAGGGTGAGCCCAACAGAGAGTCATAGGACCACAGCCCGCCTCCGGGGAACCCTACACACGCGTAATTGTAGAGGTGAGGCCGTTTGCGAGTGTTCTTATATGTAAGTACCGTCGTCTTCTTCCTCATCGGCAGGGTCAACTTCCACCGTCTGAGTTGTCAACGTGAAACAACAACTCTGTCAATCTAGATTCCATGGCCTACCAGGCCTGTAACGCCATATCTCATCTGGTCAGCCACGTCTCCTATGCCTTGTGCCATCTACTAGCAGCTACCTTAGCTCATGCAACGTTGCGTTCAACAATCACGTTACCCACTTGGGTTTGTTTTTCATGAGCAGCAACAGCGGCTACTGTGGCCATCTGCGCATGATACAGTGCTAGAAAAGTCAATAAAGAAACAATCCTTGTCCTCTTGCACATTGGAAGATCGATTCGGGGTCTCACGCAGAAAAAGCCAAAATACAAAAAGTGACACTTGGAACGGTGTGACCAGTGCGTCTGTGCTGTCCATACACTTCAAGCCAGCATCCGCAGTAGCGGATCTGCGTGGCAGCCAGAATTTGATAATTTGCCGCACATTGGGTCGCAGTTACAGAACAGTTTCTACGAAGATGAAGTCGGCACTCTTTTTGTGTACAGCAGTTGCTGTTGCAACGCTTTCTGCCATCGGCGCGGAGAGCATCCCAAACGTCCCCAAATGGGTGGATGAAGCGAAGCTGGCGTACGCCGCCGAGATCAAATCTGCGTTGCCCCCTTTGGCTGTTGTGAGTGCTTAATCAATGGCTTCGTTTTCCCCTAGATTTCATGAAGTTTCTTTAGAGCAAGGACTCGAATACCCCACTGGTTGATGTTCCCGCTCCGGTTGATATTGCAGCTCTGACTGCCGAGCTTGCACGCCTGGAGGAGTCCGAAGAAAAGTAGGCCGAATAGACTGCTCCCCCCTCCAAAATATTTGCTCATATTTTTCCCAACAGGTTTCGTGGCGACCGTCGTGCAATTGCCTTCTTCGCTGCACTTATCATGGTTGGAGTTTTCCTCATGTTCTACTTTACCACAACTCGGCTGGAACAGTCAATCAAGGAAGCAAGGTAATTCACCACCTTTTCAGACTGATGTTTTGATGTAGCAGTCCCTCATGCTTTATCTATGGATCAGCAAACTCTTGGGCCCCACGCCTCGGCCAGAAGCTGTGGACCTTCGCCTTTAGGCGGACGACTTGATTGTAAACGTTCGGACTGCAAACCATTACCTCGTTTGACGCGTTGTCTGAACTGCACGATGTTGTAGAACACTGAATCATCACATCTAAATAGATTTTCTTATGCGCCTTCATTTAACCAGAGGACTTGAATAGGTATAAAGGAAAATATAGTGCCAGATTTCAACTGAGCAGCAGGACACTGACACAAATGCAGAAAAGTGCTTGTTGGCTCGGAAATGCCCAGAGTCGCAATTGTGTTTCGTCCCGGCAATTCGGTTCATGAAAATATATTGACGCCTAAGGGATAGCAACAGATCGCCGTAGTTGCGTCACGGTGTACGACGAGGAGAGCAAAAAACATAGAGCGTTACCCAAGACTACGCAAATTGCAGATTCTCACTCCACAAAAATGATGCATGCAAATCACCGTCTCCAAGATTTCTAGAAAATTTCAAGTGTGAAGCGCCTGACTCGACAACCCCCAACAAGTGAGGGTCGTGCAATATGGCTAAAATTGCTTGCTCTCATAAGCAGATGGACCAGAAGATAAGCCCAATCAAGGGGGAACGAGTCTGCATGAAGCCAAAGTCGAACACGAAGAGCTTTCCCAGACTTATTTGCTGATACATTCCTAAATCCTGCGTTCAGTACATGCTCGGGCTAAAAGTGCTCTGAAAACGACCTGAAATTATTTTCCCAAACACCAAATATAATGATGGTTCATACGATGACGGTTGCCAGGCTCATTTTTGTCATTTGGGACAGTTTGTCCTTGTCGCGCCGGCAAATAATCATTTATCACCCAATTAAAAAAACCCTCCAGTGGTTATGAAGACAAAGTGACGGAAAATGGACTGCCACATAAAACCAGGCATTTCTGGCTGTTTGAAAACATGCGCCAGCATCATACCATTACAAACATGGCTGAAATTCCTCCACACTTCTTTCCTCGGCTTAGAATATTCTAGGCTCTATATACATTGGGGGCTACTTGCATCCCTCCACAAAAACACGCACGCATCTGCTAACTCTGTGGTCTTTATTTTGTACATATGTACGCATCTGTCTACGCTCTAGCAAGAAAGTATCAAGCCGGCGCTGTTGCCAAAGGCCACCAGCAAGAAATCTAGCGCTACCTGCTTCCGAGGAAAGCGATGGGACTGGGAAGTACCCATTCGAAGAGGTTTTGCACAAGCGTCCTACGATCATTGTGGGGTGTGACGATCTAGGTGTGAGTGAGGCGGGTCTGTCCGGAGTTCAGATTTCAGACCGCCCAGGCGCCGCTAGTGTAAAAGCAAAACACTACGGTTACTGAGCCCTAATTAGCGAACGGATGAGGCAGAACGAAGAAGAATCATAGACAAATTGTGTTTTTCCGCCTGCGTGGATTGCGGATCTAACTTGGAAGCTGTAGGCGAGATCCGGTAGGAAGATCCCCCCCAGGGGTCGGCGGCCTAGACCCCCGAACTATTATTGACTGGCAGAGTGTATGAAAAGACAGCAGGCCAAACAAGAGGTGGCGTACCCACTATTGAGCCAGAGTGTGTTGAATATGAATTAGGCAGCATGTTCCGGCGAATAATGTGGTGATTGTCCTGACCATGGTGTGGGGTTGGCCCCCGCAGTTGCATGCAGCTGTACGACCCTGCGCTCTGAACGACTCGGAGCGTTGCCTTCATAATGTGTAGGGGTTTCCCAGGTTGCATATGGCAACATGTTGAATAGTGTTGTGAGCCCGTCCTGTGTGAGTGCATGATGGGACGAGCCTGAACGGGCGGGGAAAGTGCAGGGCCTAGGAACCCTCGCATGCCCGCTGTTGCCTTTTTCCAGAGTTGTTCTTTGTTCTTTATTTCTGCACGGTAAACGAGGGATGCTTTGTATGATCGCCTTTGTTTCATCTTTCCCTGTCTAACCAGGATCCCCTGCAGCTCGAGGCACAGCTGTCCCTTGGGACTTGTGCGTAGGCGACTCGTCAGTAGAGCCGGAGTCCGGCGACCGATGCTGTTGTTGTTTGTTTGCTCTAATTCTTCTCTTTCTGTTGGCTTCATTTTGCCAAGCTTCCCGCTGCGTCTTCCTTATCAAGCCTACGCGGGGGTATAGGGAGCTGCCGCCGCCTGGGCCCCCTCTAGCGGGCCTGCAGCATGGGTGGTGTGAGGAGGCTCGTAGGTCTTAACTTTGCTTCCTGCTGACTCCACTTGAGCCGTTACTGCCTCTATGGGGGCCCCTATGGGGTTGACAGTGGGAGGGGTGGATGGGGGTCGTAGCAGTCCAAGACGAATGAAGCGGAAGGAAAAGGCTGCGTCTAAGGGATTGGCCCCCTCTGTTTATTCCTGTTGGCGTTCTCTGTGCTTGAGGCCCTTTGCTAATGCAGCATCTCCGCTGCTGCGGTGTATGTTGAGTCTGTGGCTGTTGTTGCTGCTGCTGGTGGGCGTTTGGGGGGGCGGCGCGCCAGCAGCAGCGCAGCAGGAAGCTGCAGGTGGGGGTTCGCCTGAAGGTTTATCTATCGGCCCTTCTCAAGTGCTGCTGCCTTGGGTGCCTCCTTCTGTGTCTTCTCATTTCCCTGCTGTGAGGGCGCAGCTGCAGCTGCAGCAAGAAGACGTTCATCCAAGTCTTCAGGGGAAAGAGGTTGCTGTTTGCTTCTACTGGGCATCACAGAATCGGCATGTGGTGTCTCTACTGCATCCTGACTGTGCAGCAGAGCAGGCTGCTGCTGCTTGTAGCGTGGAGGCAGAGTCGGAAGCGGGCCCTCAAGGTGCTGCTGGGGGCCCCTCCAGGGGGCCCCCCTGTTTCTCTCGCGTTTTAGTAGAAGCAACACCGCAGGCAGTTGGGCGCCGCGCCTCTTCATGGGTCTTCGCCTCTGCCGAGAGAGGCCTCAACACCACCAGGAACACCGCAGGAGATCCCTGGGGGTCCCCGGGGGCCCCTGAAGGCGCAGCAGCAGCAACAGCAGCAGGAGCAGGAGCAGGAGGGGGGAGACGGGCGTTTCGTGCTCAGGTGTTGGTGGCTCCTATTGTGCGTCTGTCTTTTTCAACAAGAGATAAGAGATTGGCAATAGGGCAGCTAGCCGATGTTAGTTTGCTGGGGTTTGATGAAGAAGGAAATGTTTTTTCTTCTTTAGAAGGTCTACCTTTTGAGTGGGAGATAATAGGAGAAGAAAATATTCTTTCAATAGAATCCGTAGCAGCAGACGCCGTAGCAGGCACCCCAGCCCGTCGCCTTGTAGAAGAAAGAGGCAGCACATACAACTACTACCAGCAGCAGCAGCAGCAGCAGGAAGAGGAAGCAAGAGGCGTTGGTGTACGTTCAGATGCTATTGTTTTAAGGGGTCTTCGTACAGGGGTTGTTACTGTGCGGGCCCGCTTAGCTTTAGAAGAATATAAAGAAGTTAAAGCTGCAGAGGTGTCTTTTCTTGTTGTTGAATTATTCACGCTGTCTCCTGCTGCTCTTCTCGTTCCCCCAGGCGCCGTCTTCAATATTAAACTCCTCCGCCTTTGGGTACGTTACTATGCATTTATATTCATATAAATGCATACATATATTTTTATATACTTTTAAATATAAAGTTATCGATTAGTAGATGTATATATATGCATATATATATATATATATGTCCTTTATTATTCACTCATATTATATATATGTAGTTTATTATTTATTTCATTATATTTATGATATGTAAAGTTATCGATAAGTAGATGCATATATATATATATATATATATATATTTACTTACATGTATATATGCGTATATATGTATGCATTAGATAACCTGCTGCTGCTGCTGCTGCTGCGGCTGGGTTTGTTGCAGGAGGACGGCCGCCAGGAGGCACTTCGGCTGCCGCATGCGGACTTCGTGTGGGGTGTTGATTCAGAGTCTGCTGCAGCAGGGTCTCCCTCTGCTGCTGCTGCTGCAGGGGGCTCCTCCTCCTCGCTGCTGCAGGTGACGAATGCAGGTGTGGTGAGTGTGGGGCTGCTGCTGCAGCAGCAGCAGCAGCGAGCGGTAGTTAGCTGCCGAGACACCCGAACAAAGGAGCAGCAGCAAGCAGATATATCCGTCGCAGTACCCAAGGCCATTCGCCTTTTCTATGAAGACACCGAAGTACTGAAGACTCAGCCCTTATGGCGCCAAGCAGCAGCAGCAGCAGCTGCTGCTGCTGCCAGCAGCAGCAGCAGCAGCGGTGGTGCTGCAGCAGCAGAGAAGGCGCTGCTGCTGCGGCACTTGCTGCAGGCCGAAGAGGCTTTGGGCGTCGGGCCTGATGGTACTCTCGGTGGTTTGCGGCTGCCTCCTTTAATAAGAGAAGAAAGAGCAGGAGCAGCAGCAGCAGCAGAAGACAGCCTCCCTGTTGTTTACTTGACGGAAGGGAGAGAGTACCTTATAAAGGCAGAGCTTCTTGCTGCTGCTGCTGCAAGGGGAGGCCTCAGCAGCAGCAAAATGCTGCTGCCCCCCAACGCAGTACTGCATTGGTCTTGTACAGCAGCAGGTGCAGCAGCAGCAGAGCCAGCAGCAGCAGAAGCAGAAAAAGAAGAGGGGGCCCCCTGCCCCTTAGAGAGGCTAGCCTCACCTCAGCAGGTGCGGCGAGGCTTTAGTATTATTATTCGTGTTGTTGGGGTGTATGTACAGATGTGTGAATTCAACTGCCTCTTGCACCATTCAGCAGTGTTCATTCACTAGTATTATTATTATTATTATTATTATTTTTGCTATTATTATTACTTTATAATAATAAGCATTATCAATTTCGCCGTTCCTATTCCTATACCAGTTTTATTATTTTTATTATAAAAACAACAACATAATAATGACAATAATAATAATACTAATATATAAATAATAATATAAATAATAATATAAATGATAATAATATAAATAATAATAATAATAATAGAAGGGTTCCTGGGGAATGCGTGTGTTGCTGATATTTTCAGGGTTTTGCTCTGCTGCGTGCTGCCTCTCTGGGAGTCGGGGTGTTGAGGGTCTCATTACTTCAAGTAGGGGCGGCTCCTGCTGTTGTGTGGAGGCCGTCTTCTTCTGTTTCTTTTGCTTTTCGTTTTGTTGTTGCTGCTCCGGTTGCCTTCCGTCTCCTTCCTTACAGTAGACAGCCAGAGCAGCAGCAGCAGCACAACACCCCTTTTGCTGCTCCTGCTGCTGCTGCTGCTGCAGCAGCTGCTGCTGCAGCAAACCGCCTACAGGCACCACTTATACTCGCACCTAACACTGTATTCCCCCTGGAACCCCAAGGAGGATCAGGTAACAAACCCTAAACCCTAATTTGGAAACCCTAAACCCTAGATATATAAACCCTAAACCCTCAATGTAATTGCGGCGGTCTGGGCGTTTTTAATCCATTGGATGCTAGTCTCAGGGTTTAGGGTTTAGTGTTAGATTTCGTGTTATATTTCATGTTATATTTAGGGTTATTTGCTGCTATATATAGGGTTTAGGGTTTAGGGTTTAATTAGGGTTATTTAGGCTTATTTAGTGCTATATTTAGGGTTTCGGGTTTATTTAGGGTTTAGGGTTTAGGGTTTATAAATGTTTTCGCTTGCCTTCAGGCGAGTACATTTTGAGTTCGTTTGATGCCTCTATTTGCCGGGTCGCCTCCCCTGTGGGCGGAGCAGCGCCTCTTCCTTTTTCTTCTTCAGGTTTGCTGCTGTCTGCAGCAGCAAACCTGCAGCAGCAGCAGCAGCTGCTGCAGCAGCACTGGGTAGTGGAGGCGGTGGGGGTGGGAGTAACGTCTCTGCTGCTGCAGGATAAAAGACAGCAGCAAAATGCGGTGCTGCTGACTGTTGTTGTTGCCCCTCCTGCTAGCATTCAGTTGCGGCTGCAGCATTTGCTGCTGCCGCTGCAGCAGCAGCAGCAGCATAAGCAGCAGCAGCAAGGCGAAGCAAATTCTACAGAAGAAGAAAACACTGTACAGCCACCACACACCATCCGTGCTGCTGCTGAGTGTTATTATTATTATTATTATATTATTATTATTATTATTATTATTATTGCCTTATTATACAACAGCTATTGTATAATGCTAGTTATTTTACCTCTACTATAACAATTATTATGTAATACTAATTACTTTATTATTATTAGGATGGTGTTATATAATATATATTATATATTATATTATGTATATTATTTTACATTGTTATTTTATTATTTGTTTTTGTTGTTTTAACCGGTTGTCCTGTTGCTTTGTCTTACAATTCTTTAAGTATTGTGATATCTGTATGCCTACAAATATCATATATGATAATAACAGTAATAATATAAATAATAATAAGTAATAATAAATAACAGCTCATACATATATATATATACTGTCTTTTTGTGCGTTTATATGTGCAGGGGGTGTTGATAGGATTCGTAGACTCCGCTAAATTTTATAATTTGCTGCCAGAGGCAAACCGCAGCTGGATAGACAGCGGCAGCAACCTAGAGGGGCCTGCTGCTGCTGCTGCTGATGCTGCTGCTGGTGACGCCTATGACCAGTATCAATCCCAGTGGCCGAGGACCCTAGAAGAGGCGCGCACCCGCTTAGCAGCAGCAACAGAAGCAGCAGCAGCAACAGAAGCAGAAGCAGCAACAGCTGCTGCTGTGCATCCTTTCTGGGTGAAGCCAAATCAACTCGCCGCCTGCCCTCAGCCACTATTTGCTGTTGAGGGGTCCCCGGTCCTCTCGTTCAAACACTTGGTGAGACCTCTTCTTCTTTCTTGCTGCTGCTGCTTTGCCGCTTGCTGCTGCTTTGTCTCTCCTGCTGCTCCGCTTTAGCTTCTTATTGCTGTTCCTGCCGCTGCAGATGCTGCTGTGGCGCGAAGAGGCTGCGGGCGGTTCGTTTCGCTGCTGCTGCATCACTAGCACCAAAGCCAGGTCCTGCTGTTGCTGCTGCTGCTGCTGCATGCGTTTGGTGCACAATTTGCGTTTGCTGCTGCTGCAGGCTGGTGGCAGTGTGCCGTTCACCTGTGGGGTTGTCTCCTTGAAAGGACTTCGTAAAGGCACAGCTCGACTGACTGCCACTCTGCAGCTGCAGCAGCAGCAGCAGCAACAGCAAAAGCTGTTGCTGCAGGCTTCTGCACAGATTGATGTGTACCTGCCTCTGGAAGCATGGGCGCTCCTCTCTTCCCTTTCCTTCCCTCTGCCTCCCCCTGATCGCCTTAGCAGCGGGCGAGCAGCACCGCTGCTGCAGCGCCTCAGCCAAGACCCCAACAGCAGCAGCAGCAGCAGCAGCACAGTAGTAGCAGCAGCAGGAGCAGCAGCGCAGACCTCCACCCTGCACCAGCAACTCGACCTCAGGCCCCCCGCAGCATCTCCTGCCAACTCCATCCCAGAGAATATCCTTCTCTATGGGGCGCCCGTCTCGGCCATCAGCAGCAGCAGCAGCAGCAGCAGCAGCAGCGGAGGTGCTGTGGGGGAGTTGTCAGTGATGGTGGGGGGTTCTGTAGCAGTTTTTCTCAAGGAGGGGCCTCCTGCGAGACCGGAGGCGTACAGGCACACTGTTACCGCCACTGTACACCCAGCAGCAGCAGCAGATGCAGCAGCAGAACCAGCGGCTGTAGCAGTTGTGCCTGAGGGAGGCGGCTTGCTGCAGCGTGTTGTTTGTCTTCGTGCGGGGTCTTCGCCTTTGCTCGTTTCTATCAACAGCATTTACACCTCTAAGCACCCCACTGTTACGTAAGCAAACCCCTGCTGATGCTGTTGCTGCTGCTGCTGTTGTTGCTACTGCTGCTGCTTGTACCCCCGCGGTCTTGGTTCTCTGCAAAGTACTGCTGCTGCGGTTGCTGCTGCAGTTGGTGCTGCATCTCCTGCTGCTGCGTGTTGCTGCTGCGCGTGTACTTTGTTGCTGTTTGGGGGTTTATTCTGGGCCTTGTACCTGCTGCTGCTGCTGCTGCTGCTGCTGGATTGTGGGTGCAGGTCTTCAAGGGAAGAGCAGGTCTCCCTGTGGATTTCATGCCAATACCCGGAGTTGCTGCAGCTGCGCGCATTGCCTTCCCTATCTCGTGCTTCTGCATATCACCCCCAGAAGCAGCAGCAGCAGCAGCAGCAGATGCAGGCGTTGCTGCAGGAGGCTCTGGGAGGCGTTCCTGTCGAAGCAGCAACATTAGCAGCAGCAAAGCCACGGGTCTTGCATAGAAATGTGTGGGGTGGTGCTGGAGGCCGGCAAGACGAAGATGATGTGCTGTACGTACAGTGCGGAGCGCAGCATGCGTTTGCTGTGTTTGTTTATAATTCATCATTTAAACCTCTTCTAGGCATTCAACACCTCCAGACTCACTGGGTGCTTATACCCACAGAGCAGCAGCAGCAGCAGGGAGAGGGAGAGCAGCCGGTGCTGCAGGTCCTGCCGTCTTCGTCGCCGTCAGCAGCAGCAGCAGCAGGAGCAGCAGCAACAGCAACAGCTGCTAGCGGGTACTCAATGGGTTTGCTGCTGGTTTCTTCTTCTGCTTGCTGCGGCTCCTTCTCCCTTGAAGTGGCGATTAAACCCCCAAAAGAAATTCCTGCTGCGTTGAAGGCGGCGCTCACCGAGCAGCAGCAGCTGCTGCTGCAAGCATCGCTGGACCAGTGGAGAGCAGCAGCAACAGCAGCAACAGGAGCAGCAGCAGCAGCAGCAGAAACGCAGCAGTTGCTGCCCCTGTGGGAAGAGGGAAAGCTACGGGACGGTCTGCGGCTCTTTTTGTCGCCTCCTTTGAGGCTGCTGCCTCTCGCAGCACCTACCGATGCTTCATCGTCAGCAGCAGCAACAGCCGCCTATGAGCAGCAGCAGCAGCAGCAGGTGCAGACTGTGCGGCTGCCTTACTTCCCAGGCGTCGCTTCTCGTGTGCTGCTGCAGTTCGGTAGCCCCGACACGGAAGCCGTGCGTGTGCTGCGGCTGCAGCCTCTCGAAGGAGCAGCAGCAACAGCAGCAACAGCAGCAGCAGTAGGTGTAGTGGGCCACGGTGAGCTGCTGACTTCGCGAGATGCTCCTCTGCTGCAGTGTCTCTCTCCTCTTGAGGCTTCAGCACGGCATGCGGCGTTGCGGCTGTCTGGGGGTTCAGCAGCAGCAGCAGCAGCAGGAGCTGCGGATGCTGCATGCATGGGCTTGAGCTCCTCTGTTAGCTGGTTGTGGGGTTTGCCTTTGTCTTCTCCTTTTGCCTTTAGTTGCCTCCCCTTCTCTTCTTCATGTCCCCTCAGCATGCGCGAATTCTTCGTGCTGCCACCTGCCGCAGACAACCGCCAGCAGCAGCAGCAGCAGCGGCCCCCGGCGCTGCGCCTGGAGGCCTGGGATGACGGATTGCTGAGCCCGTGGCGACCCAGCAGCAGCAGCAGCAGCAGCAGCAGGAATGGGCCGCAGCTGTTAGCAGAGCTGCAGTTTGTGCGTCTGCGGTCGCTGCGTTTGGTGCTGCTGCCAATCTCCTTCTCCTCTAAGACAGAGAAAGACACTCAAGCAGCAGCAGCAGCAGCGGGGGATTCCCGGTCCTCCTTGCAACAGCAGCAGCAACAGCAACAGCAACAGCAGCAGCAGCAGGTGGAAGCAGGGAAGGTGTACGGGGTGCGGGTAGAGGGCTTCGATGAGGATGGTAGCCGCGTAGACCCGCGCCTCTTTGCTGCTCTCCGTCTCTCTCTTTTTGCATTCCCAGCAGAAGACAGCAGCAGCAGCAGCAGCAGCAGTGGCAGCAGGGTGGACGGGAGAGGCAGAATATACCTCACGGCCGCAGGCGAGTACCTGCAGCAGCAGCAGCAGCAGCAGCAGCAACAGGAGGATGACTCTTTTGCGTTGCTTGGGGCGACTGAGTTCGGCTTAGACGACGCCAAGCCCCCTCTCGCTGCTGCTGTCTACGGCCCTTCCTCCGCAGCAGCTGCAGCAGCAGCAGCAGACATGGATGCTCCTGAAGACTGGAAACGGCTGTCTTTGCTGCCAAGTGAAGAGCGGCACCGCGTGCATTTCTTTTTTGCTGCAGCAGAAATGCGAGGGTCCTTCGTGTTGCAAGCAGAAGTACTTCCGGGGCCTCCTCCAAGTGCTGCAGCAGCAGCAGGCGCTGCAGCAGCAGCAGCAGCAGCAGCAGCAAAGGTGTCGGCGAGACTGACGGTGCGCGTCCACCCCCCGCTGCAGCTAAGCCCCTCTGAATTGGTGCTGCTGCCAGGCGGCTATTCGTTTGAGGTTGCAGTGTATGGGGGCCCGGAGGAGCTGCACCTAGATGCACCCAGCAGCAGCAGCAACGGCAGCAGCAGCAGGCGGTTTCATGTACAGAATGAAAGGGTGGTGCGGCTGTCAGAGGCCTTTCCGGATTTGCTCCTGACGGGTGAAGAAGGAGAGACAACTGTCACGGCTCTGCTGCAGCAGGAAGACGGCAGCAGCTCAGCAGCAGCAGCAGCAGCAGCAGCAAGCATGCGGGTTGTTGTGTCACTGCCACACTCTGTGCAGATCACGCAGGGGATGTTTGTACAGCCCAGCAGCAGCAGCATCAGCAGCAGCAGCAGAAGAGCACAGAGGCAACGTAGAGAGCTGCAGCAAACGGGGCTGCCTTCGCATGCAGCCAGGGCTGGCTACCGTCGCGCCGCCGCCGCCGCAGCAGCAGCAACCGCAGCAGCAGCAGCAGCAGAAGAAGGAGACTTAGTGCTGTACAGCGGACAGCTAACTACTGTTGCAGCACAACTTGTAGATAAGCAGAGCCGCATATTCTCAGTGCCGCACTTGCTGATGCCTTCGGGGCCTCAGACGTATTTCAGCGGATCTGCAGACACAGCAAAAAACACTCTTCTTCATTTCGGTAAGACAGAGACAAGACAACTGCTGCTGCAGTCGTAGCACCAAAGAAAGAAATATATTTATTTTATTTTATGTTATTGTGTTTGGCTTTCATTTGATTTTGTTTCTCTTTGTAGTTGCCTTCCTAACTATGCATCGGCTGAAAGAAACAAAAACATAATTCAACTACTCAGCAAAAACAGGGTGTATGTGTGTTTCCTGCTGCTGCTACTGCTGCTGCTGCTGTTTGGGGTGCAGGAGCTGTTGCGTCTTTGCCTATTGAAGATGCAGTCAGGTGTATATACACCTGGGAAGTAAATAAGGGAGACGGCGTTTTCCTTCTTTCTCCTTTTGATCAGCCAGACAGGGCCCCAGGCCCCCCAGCAGCAGCAGCAGCAGCAGCAGCAGCAGCAGGGGAGGGCGCTAGTATGTGGGGCTCAGCAAAGCTGCAGCAGCGAATATCTGGATTAGGTCTATCAGAGTTGTTGCTGTTAGGAGAAGGCAAAGAAAAGAAAGCAGAATTAAATTTAAGTGTTAATTGCTACCGTCGAGATACTCCGCTCGTCTTCATTCAGGCGCCGCCTGTCAGTCTACATATATATATATATATATGCATATGTATATATATTATATATATGTAAAGGATATTATATTCTGCTGCTTTGTTTGCCTGTTTGTTGCTTGTTTGCTTCCTTGTTTGTTTCCTTCTTGCTTAATTTATTTATTTGTTTGTTTTTCTATGATGGTTGGCACTTTATTTCTGTTTGCTCATTGGGCGTTGCATATTTTCTGCTTTGTTTGTTTATTCGATAAAATAATAAAAATAATAATTATAATTATAATTATAATAATAATAATATATTCACGAAGCCTTCTTCATATTTGTTATTTGCTTTTTCATTTTCCGTTCTTTGTTCTTTTTGTGTCCTTCACCTCTTTGTTTATTTTCTGTGTTTTTCTTCTGTCATTGTTTGTTTATTATTTCTCTTTTTTCTGTTTTTTGTTTTCTTTTATCTATCTCTTCCTCCTTTGCTTGTTTATTACCTGAGTTTTTTTTTCTGTCTTTGTTTGTTTATTTTATATTTTCTTCGTCGTCTGTTTGTTTTTAGGGAGCATCTTTGTTTGTTTACTGCAGTTGTGAATTTACTTACTTTTCGCTGAAGGCTTAGTTAATTATCTTCTGTCTTCATTATCTTGCTGCTGCTGCTGCTGCTGCTATTTGTTTTCTGCTGCAGCGGACGGTTTGGGTGCGGGAGCCTCCAGCGCCTTCACACTGGCTGCAGCGTTTTTCTCCTTTATACCCTTCTTTATCTTCTTTATCTTCTTTATCTTCTTTATCTTCGTTTGCTGCTTCTTCTCGACTAGGGCTTACCCTCGCTACAGACAGTCTCTATCTGCTTCCTTGCTGCACTGTCCAGCTGCTGCAGCACGAAGCAACACAGAGCCAACCAGCAGCAGCAGCAGCAAATGCAGCAGCAACAGTTGCAGGGGAGGGCTCTGAATCCTCTAAAGAAGAGGAAGCACGAAAAGCCTGCTGCGCCCGTGTGGCTGTAGAGCTCAGTAAGGGCGAGGAAGAAGGAGAAGCAGCAGCAGGAGCAGCAGCAGCAACAGCAGCAGCAGCAGCTTGCTGCACGGGCGTTGCTGCCGACTGCTGCGAATGGCTGCCTCGAGAAGCAGCAGCAGCAGCAGCAGCAAACTCTGCAGCATTTATTCTCTCAGGAGCTAAGGGGTTTATTTCCTCTCCTCTACCACACAAAGAAGGTTTGCTGCGCCTATTAACAGACAGCCGCTGGTCTTCAACCCCCAACAGCAGCAGCAGCAACAGCAGCAGCCCCAGCAGCAGCAGCACCCCCAGCAGCAGCAGCAGCAGCAGCAGCGAGGTGGTAGGGATAGAGACAGCTGAGGCGCAGACGCTTCATTTAATTGGCTGTCCCCACGTGTTGGGGGTTGGCGAAGAGCGACGGCTGCAAATTACACTGAGAGAGAAGAGAGGAAAAACCCTTATAACGCCGGACTCCCTCAAGTACTAAACCCTAAACCCTAAACCCTAATGTTGATGCAGCAGCAAACCTTCTTCTCTATTCGCTTCCTTTTTTAGTGGTTGTTGAGGGGTTTGGTTGGGGGGGAAGGGGGTTGGCGTTTGTTTGTTTGTTTTGCTCTGTCTATCTATTTCTTACTCTTTCTTTCTTATCTCTTTCTTTATTTCCTTTTATTTCTTTTTCTTTTTCTCCCTCTTTTTATTTATTTATTTGTTCGTTTCTCATTATTTCTTTATTTCCTTTTCTTTTTCTCTTTTTGTTTATTTATTTATTCATTTCTTTCCTTTTTCTCCGTCTTTTTATTTATTTATTTGTCTGTTTGTTTCTCTTATTTCTTCTTCTCTTTCTCTCTTTTTGTTTCTTTACTTCTTTCTCTTTCTCTGTTTCTTTCTATCTCTCTCTTTCTCTCTCCCACGTCGTCTCTTTGTCTCTGTCTCTCCTCTGTTGTCGTCTCTGCCTCTCTTTTCTTCCTCTTTGGCTGTCTCTCTCTAGCAGCCTCTTGCTGTTTGTTGTGTGTCTTTGCTGCTGCGGCAGCAGCAGCACAGCGTGTGTCTGTTGTATGTGTTTGCTGCTGCTGCAGCAGCACCTAGTGCATGCTTCTCTATTGTGCGTGTTTGCTCTAGCAACAGCAGCAGCAGCAGCAGCAGCAGGGGAATGTTTTGTCTCTGTGTTGTGTGTGTTTGTCGATGCAGCGTTGAGTTATTTGCCTCTCACCCCTCAGTTATTGCTGCTGATTTGCTGCCGACGTCCCCTGCTGCAGTGCTGCTGCGAGGGCAACAGCGTGGCTGCAGCTCGCTGTGTATAATGATGCAGCGGGAGCGAGTTGAGGGTTTGCAGCTGCTGCTGCGCTCCTGCTACCGTGTTTGTGTTGATGCTGCTAATGGTTTGCTGCTGCTGCCGCCTGCTGCGCTGCTTCAAGGGGCCTCCATCCCTCTGCTGCCGGCAGCTTTGCTGCAGTCTTCTCTTGCTGCTGCAACACTGCAGCTGCAGCTTGCCTTCAGAGCAGCACCGCTCTTTAAGGCCATAAAGGCTTGGCAAGGATACACCCCACAAGGCGCAGCAACGCCAGCAGCAGCAGCAGCAGCAGCAGCACAACCAGCAGCAGCAGCGTGGGGTGGGGCCTCATGCCTCACGGAGGAGACACTTGCGCTGATGCTGCTGCCAAGCATGCAGCGGCCCTTAGAGAGACAACTTCAGCAACTCCTATTTGATGCTTTTCAGCAAACCACAGTCAACTCAACTGCAGCAGCAGCAGCAGTAGCGCCCTTCGCGCCCGCTGTTAGCGTCCGCAGCCTCAGACTGCTGCGGCAACTGCCAACGACAGCAGCAGCAGCAGCAGCAACAAAAGCAGCAGAGAGACAAAAGCATAAATGTGCAGCAGATAAGGAAGAAGATTTGCTGCTGGTTGCTGACCTCCAGATTCATAACCTCGCCGCAGCAGCTGCTGCCGCCACATCTACACAGATAACAAGCAGCACCGATGCAGCAGCAGCAGCAACACTGGATTCATTGCCAGCGGAGTGGAGAGTAGATGGGGTGCTGCTGCTGCTGCAGCAACTGTGGCGGGGCCTTGCAGCAGACTGGGCAGAGTCTCAACGAGCAGCAGATTTGCTGCTGGGGGGCCCTGCAGCAGCAGCAAGCAGCAGCAGCAGCAGCAGCAACAACAGCAGCTGCGGCTGCCCGTCGTGGCGCTTTCCCCTCGGTGCATTCCTTTCCTGGAAGTATGGCTTTGGTGGCCTCTCCATCAGCAGCAGCAGCAGCAGCAGCAACTGCATGGGGCTGAGCGACCTGCAGTCTTCTGATCCTTCTTCTTTAGTTATTGTGGGGCTCGCCGACTGTACGTACAGCAGAGGGGGAGCAGTTGCTGCATTTGCTGCCAAGCCAGCACCAAAGGTGCAGCTGCTGCAGCACGGAACGCCGCTTGCTGCTGTACAAGTCATAGACACAGCAGCAGCAGCAGCATCTACCCGGCAGTTCAGGCTCCTCGCGCACGCAGCTTGCACAGGTACGACCTCCACATGGCAGCAGCAGCAGCAGCAGTTGCTGCTGCAGCAGCCGCAGCAGCAGTGGGTGGATGCTGAGGAGTTGTCGCTGCCGCGGTGCCCCGCACTAAAAGCAGGAGGCTCTTTGCTTGTCTCCTTTAGACTGCAAACCCTCACGCGGGTAGGGCCAGCAGCAAACGCCTACCACCAGCAGCAGCAGCATCAGCAGCAGCTGCAGCAGGAGTGGCGGGAGCTGGCGTTTGTGTCTCCCTTCTTCAATTCGCGTTTGTCGTTGAGCTGCCGCCTCAGCGACAGCGTTTTGGGGTTGCTCTATAAAATACACACGCAGTTCTTACCCTTACAAGAGCAGCAGCAGCAGCAGCAGCAGCAGCTGGACAACGGGGGCTTGCAGCACCCATCGGCGGCGCCCGTGTGCGCTGTGCGGGAACGCAAGCGGCTTACGGTGCAGGAGGTGCAGCAGGTGCTGCAGCAGCAGCAACAGCAACAGCAGCAGCAGCAGCACTTGCTGGATGAGGCCTCCGTCGCTCCAGAGTGCAGGCAGCTGCTGCAGCGCAGCAACATCGAAGGCAGCAACAAGAGAGCCTCTGGGGCGCTTCTGCTGCTGTCTTTTAGCCGTCCTTCTTCGGCTCTGGCCCTACGAATGGAGCAGCAGCATCAGCAGCAGCAGCAGCAGGTGCAGCAGCAAGTGCAGCAGGAGGTGTTCTGGATGCAGTGCGTGCGGTGGCCGGCAGCGATTCCCTTGCGGCTGCTGCATGATGAAGAGACGCCTGATCTCCTTCTTGCTGCTGACGGGCTGCTCCCTGCTGCTGCTGCTGCTGCTGATGCGCTTGTGCACATCAAACCAGCAGTACAAACACTGAAGTTCTCGCTTCCTAGCAGCAGCAGCAACAGCAGCAGCGGCGATCGACTGGTGGCAGTTGCTTCCAACCGCAGCAGCAGCAGCAGCAAATGGCCTCTGCTGCTGCACCTCTTCCCGGTGCTAAGCGACTCGCTGCCTACAATAAAAGTTTCTAACAGCGCATTTGTTGTGGAGACGAAGCGGCAGGGGCCCCTCCTTACTCTCAGCATCAGGCCCAGCCTCCCCGCAGACAAAGCAGCAGCAGCAGCAGGTGCTGTTGCTGCTGCTGCTGCTGCTGATGGTAGCAGCACGGTGCTGCTCGACTGGGTGGCTCCTGGGCTCACTGAAATTGCAATTGAAGACGCTGAAGGCAACGCGCGGCTGTTGGTGGTGCTGCAAAGCTCGGCTGTACGTCCACCCCACAAGTCTGCTGCTACTGCTGCTGCTTCAGGTGCAGCAGCAGCAGGAGAGGAAGAAGAAGGCGAAGAAGAAGCTCCCAAGTTCCTAGAGACGGCGGCACCCCCTTTGCTGCTGTTTGCTGCTGTCTTATGCATAGGCGGCATCAGCTTGTGGTTTTGCTGCTGCTCTGTTAACTCCAGCGGGCCTCTGCCTGCTGCAGCAGCAGCAGCAGCAGGTGCTGCTGCTGCCAAGGTACACCGCAGCAGCCCTGCAGAGGAGATGAAATCTGTCTCCTCTTTGCGTCTCTCTCAGTCTTCAGTTAGGGCAAGAAAAGGCATGGCCATGGAGACCCCATCTGCTGCTGCTGCTGCTGCTGCTGCTGCTGCTGCGTATACACTGCAGCCCAACGGCGACTGGCGGCCTCAACGGCAGCAACTCACTTCCACAGAGGACGGGCTTCCTGCTGTGGATGTTAGTTCTGTTCGGTTCTATAAGAATTAATTGCTTCTGCTGCAGCAGCAACTGCTGCAGCTGCAGCAGGAGCACAAGCAGCAGCAGCAGCATGAACTGCAGCAGCAAGCTGCCGCCGCAGCTTGCTGGTGCGGCGGCAGCACAAGCTGCAGCAGCAACACAAGCTGCAGCGCCAACCCCCCTCCTCCCTCCCCTTGTACACACCCACACACACATGCACACACCAGGGCCGAGGGTTTAGGGTTTAGGGTTTAGGGCCCTTCCCGTGCTGCACTGAGACCTCCGCAGGGGCCGCTGCATTTTGAACGGCAGAGGGGCCCTTTGCCTTTGGCTTTAGGGAAGAACAAACAAACGAACAAACAAACAAACACCATCTAGTTATTGTTTCTTTTGTCTTCATATATATATATATATATATGTACATACGTATATTAATATATATTAGTACAAAAATATAATTATTATATACATATATATATTTATTGTATATATTTCTGCATCTATATATCTATATATATCTATAGCTTTATCTATATCTGTATATACATATATATATATATATATAATAAATAGCTACACAATAATATAATAATAATAATGCCTCTGCTAACACCGATTGCACTCCGTGAAAAAAAATTAAAATTTAATTTGATAAAAACAACAAAAAGAAATTCTTCGCCGCACTTCGGCGAAGTTCGGGGCAAACAAAACCCCAAAAGCAAACTCAAAAAAATAGCTAGCCAGCTAGCCATCATAAAATACTCTTAGCTAGCCAGCTAGCCATCATAAAATACTACCTAGCTAGCCACCTAGCTAGAGGACAACTAGCTAGCTAACCAGCTAGCTAGAGGCCAGCTAGCTAGCTACTCAGCTAGCTACACAGCTAGCTAGCAAGCCAGCTAGGTAGAGGCCCCCTAGCTAGCTAGCCGGCTAGCTATAGGCCGGCTAACTAGCTAGCCAGCTAGAAACCGCCAACTAGCTAGCCACCTGGCTAGATAGAGGCCAACCAGCCAGCTAGTTCGAAAGAACTAGCTAGCCAGCTAGCCAGCCAGCCAGCCAGCCAGCTAACTAGGTAGTTAGCCAGCTAGCTAGCCAGCTAGCCAACCCTCAGAGTGAAGTCCCGAAAGGGTAGGCCGTCCGGTCTCATAGCCTGTTGCCCCCGGGCCCGTCTACACCTAAAACTGATCCATGCTGCTGCTGCTGCTGCTGCTGCTGCTGCTGTTGCTGAAGAGGTTGGAGGGGCTGGTGGTGTTTCTGCTGCAGCTGCTGATGCAGAAGCTGCTGCTGCTGCTGCATCAACTGCTGCTGCTGCGGCTGTTGCTGCAGGATGTGCTGCTGGGGGCTGTGTTGCTGCAGCAGCTGCTGCTGCTCCTTTGAACTTGGCTGCCGTTGCTGCTGCGCTTGTTGCAGTTGGTGCGGCTGCAGCAAGTGTTGCTGCTGCAGTTGCTGCTGCGCCACCTGCTGCTGCAGTAACAGCTGCTGCTGCACTTGCTGCTGCTGCGCTTGCTGCTGCTGCACTTGCTGCTGCGGCTGCTGCATTTGTTGCTGCTGCTGCTGCATTTGTTGCCGCTGCTGTTGCATGTGTTGGTGCTGCATATGTTGCTGCTGCATATGCTGCTGTTGCATATGCTGCTGCTGCATGTACTGCTGTTGCATGTGCCTTTGAAGTTGTTGCTGTTGCTGCTGCTGCTGTTGCTCTGGAGAAGGCTGCTGCTCTTGTTGCTGCAGCACCTGGAGGGCGTCCTGAGCAGAGTTGGGCTTTTGCTGCTGCTGCTGCACTTGCCCTTGCTGCTGCTGCATTTGTGGCTGCTGGTGCTGCTGCTGCATGTGCTGCTGCTGTTGCTGCGTCTGTAGATGCTGCGGAGTTTGCTGTTCCCGTTGGCAGTGGAGCTGCTGCTGCTGCTGCTGCATTTGCTGCTGCTGTTGCTGCATTTGTTGCTGCGGCGGCTGCTGCAACTGCTGCTGCTGCTGCGGCTGCTGTTGCTGCTGCTGCTGCTGCTGTTGCTGTTGCTGCTGCTGCTGCTGTTGCTGTTGCTGCTGCAACTGCTGCTGCAACTGCTGCTGCTGCTGCCTGCGTTTTGCTGCCAGTGCTTGCCTTCGTTTTCTCGCGGCCTGTTGTATTTTTTGTTGCTGCAGCAGCAGTTTGTATATAGTGTTAAGCTCTTTATGCTCTTGCGGGTTTAGCTGCTGCAGCGCAGCAGCAGCAGAGTTCCCCTGTGCTGCTGCTGCTGCTCTTTCTAGCTGGTAGGCCCTCAGCAGCAACTGTCTCCTTCTTTTTTGTCTCTGTATTCGAATCTGTTTCCTGATCCACTTAGCAGCAGCCTGCTGCTGCTGCTGGTGCTGCTGCTGGTGCTGCTGCTGGTGTTGCTGCTGCTGCAGCTGCATCGGAGCAGCGAGCAGCAAGCCCCAGCACGCATCTTCTTCTGTTTGCTGCAGCGCTGTACAAGAAAGCCCCAAGGGGTCTCCTAGCCTGGGTTGAAGCCAAGAGACAGCGCCGCGGTGTATATACAGCTGAGAGAAGTCATTTGCTTCTTCATAAGGCACTCCATCAGCCATATCTTCTTCTTCTGAGGAGCACACTGAAGAAAAAGCATCAAAAATACCTGCAGCAGAAATAGGGCAGCGAGACGAAGGGCAGCGGCACAGCAACCCCCCCAAACAAGCACCTGAAGCTCCTCGCTCTCCTCCTAATACACCAGCACTGCTGCTGCTGCTGCTGCTGCTTTCCTGTTGCTGCTGCTGCTGGGCCTCCGCAGACTGCTCAGGCTCCCGCGCCTGTTGCTGCTCCCCTTGCTGCTGCTTCTGCTGCTGCTGCTGCTCTGAAGAAGGGGCTTTCAGGGATAGGTAAACTTCGCCAAAGTTGGGGTCATTTCGCTGCTGCTGCTGCAGCAGCACAGACAGGGGAACCTTGGGAGCCCCCCCCACGTAGCCAGCAGCAGCAGCAGCAGCCGCAGCAGCAGCAGCCTCGGGGGGCCCCTGCTGCTGCGGGGCCCTCCACCCACCACCGTCTCCTGGGTTCAACAGGAAGGGGCTGGGCGTCGCCAGCAAGCAGCTGCGCGTCAGCATCCGCTCCACCTCCGAAGCTGCATGCAACAGCACCAGCAACAGCAGCAGCAACAGCAGCAGCTACGGCGTCAAACCATTTCAAAGTATGCGAAAAGAAACACCCTCACAAGGACACAAGCAGCAGCAACAGGCTCAAGAGCGAGCCGCATTTGTTTGCTGCAGCAGCTGCAGCAGCAAACAAAAGGAAGCAGCAAGCAGCACCACACAACAACCCCGCCCAAACTCACCGGAGGCCTGGGGGGAGAAGTCAGCAGCAGGAGACCCTACAGAATCTGCTGCAAGACAATCAGCAGCTTCAAACAGGGCAGCAGCAGACTCGCACAGTTGCTGCAACACAAACAGCAGCAGCAGCAGCAGCAGCAACAGCAGTAGAGCAAACAGCGGCAGCATCAAATTCCAGCTACCCTACCAACGACAGCTACGAAAGCAACCCATAAAAGACAGATATAGCTAGCTAGAGTGCCAGCTAGACGTGCAGTTAGCTAGCTAGCTAGCTAGCTAGCCTGGCACGCACATACAGCTAGCTACATAGCTAGCTAGCTAGCAACGCCCATACAAACAGCTAGCTAGATCGGCGGCTACCTATGCAGCGAGCTAGCTACACATATACAAACAGCTAGCTGGAGTCGGAGGCAGAGACACAGAGAGGAAAGGGCAGCAGCAAAAGAAGAAAGGAGGCCGCTAGCTGAGTCAGCTCTAGGTACAGCTAGCTAGCTGTGTTTATGTGTGCGGCTATCTATCTGGCTAGCTAGCTAGCTAGGTAGCTAGGAACATACCGCTGTGAGTTTTTGTCTGTCTCCTTCGCTAAAGACAGGAGCCTCCTGCTGCCGCCTCTGCTGCTGCTGCAGCGGGGGCAACCGCTGCACTGAGACGTAGAGGGGCCCCTCGCATGCTTCAGGGGCCCCCAAAGAGACCTCAAGGGCCTCCAACTCCTTTCTCTCTCTCCCAGCCTCCTTGATATCAATTTTCTTCTCTCCACCGGTGCTGCATGCACCCGAGGGGCCCCCTGGGGGGCCCCTGGGGGCCCCCTGAGGGGCCCCCGAAGTAGCTTCATTGGGGGCCCCCTCAGAATAAGCTGAGGGTTGCGAGGGGGGCCCCCCACACATTGCTGCCCGGCGAGAAGCGCGAGGACGCTTCGGTGTATCCCTTAACAAAAACACAAACCCTAAACCCTAGAAAAACCCTAAACCCTAGGAAAACCCTAAACCCTAAAAAACCCTAAACCCTAAAAAACCCTAAGCCTACTCCCTAGGAAACCCTAAACCCTAGGAAGCTCTAAACCCTAAATCCTAGGAAACCCTAAACTCAAAACCCTTGACAACGCTAAACCCTAGACCCTAGCAAACTCCACATCCCAAACCCTAAACCCTAGAGAACCGAAAGACAACTTTAAGCCTAGCTTAAACCCTGAACCCTAAACCCTCAACCCTCAACCGTAAACCATAATCCCTAAACCCTAAACCCTGAGTAGGCGTACCCCTCTTGCGCCGCAAGAGCATCAAGTTTTCTTAGCAATGCGTCTGCTTTAGCTGCTGTTAAGGCATGGGGGCCCCCCCTGGGCCCCCCCCTTGGCTTCCTTGTACCCTCAACAAGCTTCCGTATAGATTTTAAGAGGGGCCCCCTTAACGCTACTGTTTCAGGGAGGGGCCCCGCCACTAACCAGAGGCCCTTATCTAGAAATTCATCTTTATAGAGGGGTATCTTGAACGCAGACAAACCCTCTTCATTAGAAGCAGAGCCCACTAGTCTTCCAATGTCGTGGGGGCCCCCAGGGGCCCCCTGACCTCCAGAGGCCCCAGGGGCCCCCCGGGCCCCAGGGCCCCCAGGGGCCCCCTGGCTTCCAGGGGCCCCCGGGGCCCCCCCCCCATCTCCATCAGGGCCTCGCGAGGCAGCTGTTGAAGAAGGGGGCCCCCCTCGCCCTCCCGCTGAGGCCCCTGCCATTGGGGGCCCCCCACGTGTTGATACTGAGGCAGTCGTTTGGCTGCTCTGAGGCCTCAACGCCACGCGACCCGTACGGAGAGGCCCCTGAGATAAGGGGGGCCCCTGGGGAACGGGGGGCCCCTGGGGTACCGGGGCCCCCTGAGATAAGGGGGGCCCCTGAGATAAGGGGGGCCCCTGAATGTCGTAGGATTTAGGGTTTGGCATAGATGTGAAGGGAGGAGAAGATGAAGGAGAAGGCGAAGCAGAAAGAATTATACATGGAGAACCAACAGACAAACGGCTTACAGAAGGGGCCCCTGATGCTGCTGTTGCTGCTGGTGGCGCTGCTGTTGAAGACGAAGACGGAGACGGAGGTGCTGCTGCTGCTGCTCCTGTGGTTGCTGAGGGAGAAGGGGCCCCCCTGAACCCTCCCCCTGCTGAGTTGGGCTCCTTCATTGATTAAAGCTGCAGATTTCTACGAATAGAAAACCCAGTACAGGAATAAGCATCGGCTGCAGCTGTAGCTGCTGCTGTTGCTGCTGCCGCTGCTGCTGCTGAGAAGAGGGGGAGCCCCTAAGCAGGAACTCCCCCTTCTGCGTGAGTTGGGGGCCCCTATCACAGCCGCAGCAGCACAGGGGCCCCTGGTGCCTCTGCCGCTGCGCTCCAGCAGCGGCTTGCAGCGGTCTCCCGAATATATTACAGCTGCAGCAGCTGCTGCTGCTGCTGCTGCACCGTTCTAGGGGCCCCCGAGATAAGACAGGGGAGGCTGCAGGTGACAGCAGTTGCTCGTGAGAAAACTGTGAACGAGCAATACATAGGGTTTAGGGTTTAGGGTTTAGGGTTTACTATTCTTTGGTCGGGGGCCCTATAGCGGGGTTTCGCCTGTGTTGTGTTTCGTTTATTTCAGGGTTGCATTAAAAGAAGGGAAGGAGAATATATAAAATATATTTAAAGACATTGAATTCAGAAAGAAATAACTGCAACTTTTCAGCAGCAACAACACCAACAGCAGCAGCAGCAGCAGCAGCAGCAGGGTTGGGGCTGCAGGCGGCTTCGGGCGCGGCTGAGAGTTTGCTGCTGGTTCTTCTTCATGAGGGTTTAGGGTTTAGGGTTTAGGGTTTATTTTTGTTTTTTCTTTTGTTTTTGTCTAGTAGATGGGTTTAAATTAATCAGTGAAGGAGACCCTGAAGATGCCTAAGAAGAAGCAGCAGCGAGGGGGTTTAGGGCGTCGCCGCTGCAGCTGCGGCTGCTTCCAGGATGCTTCTGCTGCAGCAGCAGGAGCATCAGGAGGAGCAGGAGGAGGATCAGCAGCAGGAGAACAAGAGGGTTCATGCTCTGTGTGTGGATGTGGAGGGCCCTCAGGGGGGCCCCCTAGGGGCCCTCGAGGGGCCCCCCATATGCCTTGTTATGCTCCTTCTTTAGACAAAGAGTTAAGAGCAGCAGGGCTTCGAGTGCAGCAAATAGTAGCAGACGGCAATTGTTTATTTCGTGCTGCAGCAGATCAGCTGTATGGAGACCAGGAGCGCCACAGTTTAGTGCGTGCTGCTGCTGTAGAATATATGACGGCCCATGTTGAACAATTTGCTGTCTTCTTTGATTCTGAAGAACAAACTTTTGCTTCTTATTTACGCCGTATGAAAAGAGATGGGTGCTGGGGGGGGCAATTAGAGCTCCAGGCTGTCTCCTTAGCCTTCAAAGTAAACCTACTCATATACGTAGCGCCCCAAGACGAATACTACAGCAGCAGCAGCAGCAGCAGCGGAAGCAAGGGGGGCCCCCGTGGGGGCCATTCATCTTCTTCTTCGCGAAAGGCGAAGCAAAAGAGGGGAGGGGGGGCCCCTCTGTCTCCTCCGGACTCACCAACATCATCATCATCAGCAGCAGCAGCAGCAGCAGCAAGTGGGGGGCCCCCCAGTTGGGATATATGGAAGATGCAGAATTTTCCTTCTTCTGCTGTTTGTCTGCAGCTAGTCTTCGATCCTTCAAAAGAGCATTACAGCTCCTTAAGACTTAAAAATGCGCAGCAGGGGGCCCCTACCTCCGTTACGCTAGCTCAGCTGGAGGCCCTCAGTGGGGGGGGGGCCCCCAACCTGAAGCCTCAGCCAGTAGATGAAGAGGAGGCCTCAGAAGAGCAATCAACACTTAGTACAAATAAAACTAATGCGGCAAACAACAGCCCCAGCAGCAGCAGCAGCAGCAGCAGCAGCAGCAGCAACAGATTGGTAGGAATCCGTGAAGAGGAGATGGAGGGGGCCCTTAGGGTTCTGGCTGCTGCAGATGAAGGGAGGCCCCTCTGCTCTTCCTGCTGTTCCTATCGTCGCTCTGCGTTCAGGCGGGGGGCCCTTGTGGGGCAGCTGAACGTCTGGGGGCCCCCAGGGGGCCCCCCTAACTCACGCAGCGATGCTGCTGCAGGTGCTGCAGCAGCTCCAGCTGCCACAGCAGCAGCTGCTGCTGCTGCTGCTGATGCAGCAACAAAGTCGGCACTCGTAGGGAGCCCCTCAGCCCACCGCAGATGGGCAAGCAGCGGCCCTGCTGCTGAGGGGCCTCGCAATAGCCAGCCAGTGGCAGCCCCTACAAACTGCAGCAGCAGCAGCAGCAGTAGCAGCAGCAGCAGCAGCAGCGATACATGCAGCAGCAAAGCCAAGCGCGGGCCTGCCAGCCGCTCGGTGTTTGTGGCGGCTCTGCAGCCGCTGCGCTGCAGCAGCAGCACTGCGGATGCGTGCTGCGATGGGACCCTTGTCAGCAGCAGCAGCAGCAGCAGCGATACATGCAGCAGCGGCGGCAGCAGCAGCAGCAACAACAACAACAGTAGCAGAAGCAGCAGTAGCTCCGTTGTAGGGGGCTTCTTCTCTACTGCTTCCATCGGTCTTCGCTTCCACAGCAGCAAGAACACACAGCCAGCAGCAGCTGTTGGTGCAGCAGATGCAGCAGCAGCAGCTGCTGCAGGAGAAGCAGCAGCAGAAGGAGCAGCAGGTGCCTCCCCCACCGCAACGGAAAGAAGCTGCGAGCCACACCAAAGAGGAGACACTGCAGCAGAGCCTGTTGAGGAGCAAGCAGCAGCAGCAGCATCAGAGGCAGAAGCAGCTGCAGCAACAGCAAAAACAGCAACAGCAAGGACAGCAGCAGGAGTTTTAGTTGCAGCACAAGAGTTGCTGCTGCCGTGCGGTATTTGGGCAGGCCCCGCAATGCTGCGGATAGAGCGGCCTCCGCTGCTTCCTCACAGCAGCAGCAGTAGCAGCAGCAGTGGCAGCAGCAGCAGAAGCAACAGCGGCAGCAGCAGGAGGGCTGCATCTCTTCCACCGCGGCGGATTGTTTTGCTGCCGTGTGCCCGCGTGTGGGTGGCAGGGGAGGCAGCAGCAGCAGCAGCAGCAGCAGCAGCAGCAAAGGGATCAACAGCAGCAGGAACAGCAGCAACAGGAAGGTGGCAGGTGTATCGACTTCAGGCATCGGCCGGCAATAGCAGGCTGACTGTCGTTGAAGCGCATGCAGGGGAGCTCGGTGCTGCTGCTGCTGGTGCTTCTGCTGCTGCTAGTGAGAGCGGCGAGGAGGAAGCTGCTGCTGCTGCACCAGGAGCCGTACCGGACGAGCAGCAGAAGCAGCAGCAGCGGCAGCAGCAGCAGCAACAGCAGCTGTTGCTGCTGCAACAACTGGAGAAGAAGACGAAGCTGAGTAAGAAAGAGCGAGCGGAGTTGAAGAGGGTAAAGAAACTGCAGAGGTGCGGATACACCCAAAACCCAACAACACAAAATATAAATATATATATATATCCGTATATAAATATATATATATGTATATATATCCGTATATATATGTTTAGAATTATATGCGTGTATGCATATATATGTTTATATATGCGTGCATATATGCATATACGTATATGTGTATGTACATACATACATATGTATGCATATATATATATATATGGAGAGAGAGACAGAGACGGAGACAGAGAAATATGAAAATACACAGAGACAGAGAGACATCTGCTGCATTGAAAACAGCAGCAAACAGACTCACCAACCCTCTCTCCAGCAGCAACAACCAGCAACATCGTTAGGGTTCAAAGCTGAGGGTTTAGGGTTTAGGGTTTAGGGTTTGTGTATTTCGCAGAGAGTTATCTCGAGCTGAACGGCGAAGAGCAGCAACCATGAACGCTTCCACAGCGCATGGGGGCCCCCCTGGGGGCCCCTCTGGATTAGAGGAGGGGGGCCCCCCAGATGTTGAGAGGGGCCTTGAAAGCCTCGCAGAGCTGACGCGGAGGGTGTTAGCCGTTTAATGGGTTTGTTGCTGTGATATATATATATATATATGCGTATATATCTGTACATATATATATGTATATTTGCATATATATATATAATCTATTGTAGTGTGATTCCATAATATATACACTATTTGTTTATATTTCTATGAGGTATGTATTTTTATAGATAATGCATTATATAATATATATATAATATATAATATATATATATTATATATATTCCATATTCACTGTTCTAGTGTCTATTTTTATACACTTTTTTGTATATTATAGTTTGTAGATTGTATGCGTTGTATGTATAATGTATCGTGATATATATATATATATAGATGTATATATATATATATATAGATGTATATATATATATATATATATTATACACAATTATGTAGAACGTCTATGTGTACAAGGAGTATAGTATGTATATAAAATAGGAGGTGTATATTATATATATATATGTATATATATATATATATATATACATATATATATATGTTAAACCCCTGAAGCACTTTTTGCACTATACAATATGTCTGGTACTTCTGTTGTATTATATAAACACTGCATATAATATGGAGTATATAATGCCATATATATATAATGCAGAATATGTACAGATTAATTATATTATATATGTTTAATATATCCCGTTCATCTAAATGCAAACAGCACAAAACCCGTCTGCGGCTTCCCTTCATTGGGGGCCCCTGAACTGTCTTCTCTCTTAAATGAAGGGGCCCTCAGGGGGCCCTAGGGGGTTCCTGGGGGCCCCAGGGGGCCCCTGAGAAGCCCTGGGGGCCCCTATGGGGCCCTTTGGGGGTTCCTATGGGGCCCTTGGGGGGCCCCTATGGGGACCCCTGGGGGCCCCCATGGGGCTTCTGTTGCGTGTTTATGATGCAGTTGAGATATGTTGGCTGGGTTTGTTTGGCTTCGTTGAGGTATCGGCGGTGAGCGTTGTTTGTTTCCGTCATTGTTCGTACTGGGGTGTACAGGCAGCTCGTTGCATGCGAAGGTTTGCTGCTTTTATCTGCTGCTGCCTCCCCGCTGCATTTTTATTCTCTGTTTGTTGCTGCGGGCTGCTCCTTTTTGCATGTGCTGCAGCTGCAGCTGCAGCTGTCTGTACGCTTCAAATACAAACAGATGCGGGGCCCCACTTCCTGCTGCTGCCGCCTAGTGGGGGCCCCGCAGCATATATATATATATATATATATATGCGAAACATATATTTGTATTTTTCACTTGCTTCTCTGTTGAAGCCTGGTCGCGCTGTTATGAGGCCCCTGACTACTTAGCTAGCCAGGTATTTGATAGCCAGCTAGCTACCTAGCTATCTAGCAACTGGCTAGCTACCTAGCTAGCTAGCTATCCCCTATCCAGCGAGCCCCTGAGTTAGCTCTGTCAGTAGCTGCTAGCTACCTAGCTAGCTATATCTTGGGCAGCTAGCTAGCTAGCTAGCTAGCTAGCTAGCCACCCAGGGAAGGGGGTAAGGTTTATTATTATAGATTAGAATTGCGATTTAAGAAGAGAAGAGGGGTTCCTAGGGGAGAAACTGCAGAGACAAAAGGGCCCGAAGGGCCCTCAATGTTTTGTGTTTTGTTTTGTTTCTGCTTGTCTTTACTTCGATTGCTTGTTTGTCTTCGTTTATTTCGTTTGTCTATTATTTATCTCCCGTCTGCTGTTTATTCGTTGGCTTATGGGCTGATGCTGATACGTTGGTCCACCATCTAAATATATATATATGTATATATATGTTTATATATATATATATATATATACATGCTTATATATGTACACATATATCTATATATGTATATATATTATCTATATATAAACATATATAGATAATCTATATATAAACATATATAGATAATATATATACATATATAGATATATGTGTACATATATATATGCATGTATGTGTGTCTATATTCACATACATATGCATTGATATATACATATATATTATATATGCGCATATATACGCATATATCCATGTATAAATATACGTTATATATATGTATATTGATATGTATAGGCAAATATAAATATAAATATAAAATATAAATATAAATTGTTTCTTGTTGTTTGTTTTTTGTATTTGTTTGCTTTTCCTGCCGTATTCAAAAGGGGGAATAAAATATTGCAGCAGGGGATATAACAAAAAAATGCGTCTGTTGTTAAGGGTTTAGGGTTTAGGGTTTAGGGTTTAGGGTTTGGCGATTAGGGTTTTGATTTGGTAATGTGGGTAGTAGTAAGCGACAACCTTCTTCCCTCTACCTCCTTGTGGTTCTCTTCAGTGTTACGTTTTAGGGTTTATGAGGGTTTATGACTGTTCATTCATTAGGGTTTACAAGGGTTAACTAGGGTTTACAGGGTTATTAAAGGTCAGAGTTAATAAGGGTTTAGTAGAAGGTTTATAAGGATTTATAAGGGTGTATTAGGGTATATTATGGTGTATAGGGGTTTACAAGAGTATACAACTTAGGGTTTACGAGGGTATATAAGGATGTAAGAGAGTGTATGAGTAAGTAAAAGGGTTTATAAGGGTTTATAAAGGCTTAGGTTTATAAAAAGGTATACGGACGGTGTTAAGGGTTTATAAGGGAGAGCATACGGGTGTATTGGGGTTTATAAGAGTTTATCAGGGTTTATAAGGGTATATGAGGGTATAGGGGTTTACAGGGGTGTGTTAGGGTTTATTAGGGTTCTATAAGCTTGTACAAGGGTGCATTGTTAGGGTTTCCAGGGGACAGTATAAGGGTTTATAAGGGTTTAAGGGTTTAAAAAGGTTTATAAGGGAGAGTATAAGGGTTTATAAGGGTTTAAAAGGGTTTAAAAGGGTTTATAAGGGAGAGTGTAAGGGTTTATAAGGGTTCATAAGGGTTTATAAGGGAGAGAATAAGAATTTATAAACCCTTACAAACCCCCTTTAAGGGTTTACAAGGGAGAGTATTAAGGTTTATTATTAATATTGTAGGTATAAGGGGCTCTATAAGGGTTTATTATGAAGTTAATAGACGTAAGAGGGGCTGCTACAATGCGGGTTTATTATTTTATTTGTGCAGTACGGGATATAATAATAAAAATATTTTATTATTATTCTAATTGTATGATTATTGCTATTATTAAATCTGTATGATAATTGTTATTATAATAATTTTATTATTAATTTTGTACGATAATTATAATAATAATAATAATTTCATCATTAAATTTGTATAATTATTATTATTATAACTTTACTATTAAATTTGTATGATAATTATTATTGTTATTATTATTTTATTATTAAATTTGTATGATTATTATTAAATAATTACCTTTATATAAACCCCGTTATTATATTATTCTATTTGCAGAGGAGCAAGTCTAATAAAAACAATAATAATACAAATAAATAACAACAATAATAAATGATAATGATAATAATAATTATTATAATAAATAATTATAATAATAATTATAATTATTAATTATAATTATCGTAATGATTTATTCTGTATCAGACAGATTAATTACTTCTGCTGCTTTATGCTGCAGGTTGTCTTTATATGCTTTTAAACCAGAGTATACTTCTAAACAAGCAGCACAAGCAACAGCTTCTCTAATAAATCGAAGGCCCTGGGATCGATATGCAAACACGATCCCAGGCGAGCAGCACGAACATGTGGGGCATTGACCCTGATGCTCTTTTATTAAACTAAAATCTGCAACCGTAAACAAACAAATAAATAAATAAATAAATAAATAAATAAACCAAGAAAAGATAAAGAAGAGATAATAAATTGTCTTGAAATATGCAGTAACAAGGGGAATAAAATTTAGTAAGAAGACAACAAATAAACAGATAAATAAATGCAGATAATATATGCATATATATATATATATACTGACGACGGCAACAAGAACAAACAGAGAGAAAAAAAAAGAAAGAAATTAATAAGCAAGGATAGAGAAAATAATAATAAAGAAACAGCAAAACAAACGAACAAACAGACAAACAGAGAAACAAGTGCAACAGCAGCAGCAAATGCAGCAGCAGCAAATGAAGCAGTAGCAGCAGCAGCAGCAAGTGCAGCAGCCGCAGCAGTATTGATCTAACCTGCGAAGTTGGCTCTAATCATATGGGGTGTGGCTCCAAGGCAAGAAAATGCTGCAGGGTTTTGCTGCTGCTGCTGCTGTTTCTGCTGCAGCGCAGCAGCAGCAGCAGCAGCGCGTCCTCCTGCTAGAGGGTCTGTCTCCGTGTGGGGAGCAGCAAACCCTAAAGGGTGTTGCGTTAGTGCTGCCAGCAACTCAACAGCAACAGAGCATGCAAGGGCCCCCACACCCGGCCTCGTGACTGTGCACTGCTCGTCCAGCGTCCTGCAGCAGCAGCAGCAGCAACAGCAACAGCAACAGCAGAATCAGCAGCAACAACAACGAGAGAAGTAGCAGCATCGCATGAAGCAGCAGAAGCAGCAGCGTCGCAAGAAGGAGCAGCGGCGTGTTAGGGTTTAGTGTTTGAAGAGCTATAGTATATATAAAAAGAATAAAAAAGAAACATTTTGTTAGTTTTTACTTGCCTATTAGATAAAGAATCTGCAGGCCCATTGACTGCATGACAGAAATAACAACCAAGTTTATTTCCTCCTGCTGCATGCCGCATCACTAAGAGGGAGTCGAACCCCAACGCAACAGTTAAGGCTAAAGGGCCCCTTAAACCACCTGTATACCCAACAGCCTGCTGTTGCTGCTGCTGCTGTTGCTGCTGCTCCTGCTGTCGTTGCTGCCTACGGAAACATATATGCATGCAGCAGAAGCAAACATACAGCAGCAGATGCAGCAACAGTAACATCAGAAAAAAGATGCGAAAATGGTAGAAAATAGAAAGAGAAGCAGCAGCAGCGCCACAGCAGCAGCAAAAACAACAGCAGCAACAACAATAACAGCGGCAGCACCAGCAGTATCGCCATCATCATTATCCCCATCAGTATCAGCAGCGTCAGAAGCAGCAGCAGCAAAAACAACAGCAGCAGCAGCAGCACCAACATCACCATCATCGCTGTTATCATCAATCAATCATGATCATGATCATAATCATAATCATAATCATAATCATAATCATCATCATCACAAGCTTCAATCACCATCATATTCACCATAATCAGTAATCATAATAATATTCACCAATCATAATCATAATCATCATCATAGTCATCATCATCAACATCATATTCTTAATCAATCATATTCATCATCATTCATGGACAATCAATCATAATAATATATTATAATCATCATCGTAATCATCATAATCATCGTCATATTCATAATCAATCATAATCATCATTCATCATAATCATCACAATCATAATAATAATTCTAATCCTAATCAATCACCCATCATCATCATCATGAATATTCATAACAAACATAATCAATCATAATTATAATAATAATCATCATCATTATAATCATCTTCAACAATGATAGTTATCATTGTCATAGTCAATCATGTATTCACATTCATCATAATCATCATCATGAATCATCATTGCAGACATAATCAATTATGATCATAATCAGAAGCATCATCATTAATAATAAATTATAATCAAGATCATACTCATCATAGTAATGATAGCCATAATAATAATAATAATAATCAATAGTAGTCATAATAATCATGAAGATATTGATAGAAGAGCACCATCATTACTTCACTATTTCTTAACCATTCGCAACAATAAGGAAAGGAATAAACATCAAAATCATCATATATAATAATAATCATCATCATAATCATAATCATAATAAAATTAACTATAATCACAAAAACATGAACATATTGATAGAAAAGCATTATTTGATCACTCCTTCATTTCACTATTTCCTACCTGTCCGCAGCAATAAGGGGTGCAATAATCATCATAATCATAATAAATCTACATAATATTCATAATAATCATACTAAGCATCAATACTAATCATCATAATCATAATAAGCATGAGAACAGTGATAGAAACGCATTATTTCATTACTTGATTTTTTCATGATTTCTTACTTATCCGCAACAATAAGAGAAGGAATAAACATATAATACTCATAATAATCATAATAATCATAATAATCATCAATACTACTCATAATAACACTCATAATAAACATGAAAACATGATGGAAAAGCATTAAAGCATTTCATGATTTCGTACCTATCCGCAACAATCAGAGAAGGAAGCCACCTCGACTCTCTGCTGTCCGTCAGCAGCAAAACGACATCATGTCGATCGATTAAATTTTCTAACACTCGCACACTTCTTTCGAGTAAATCGCCCAGTAAGTAACGAGGATGCCCTGCAAACAAACAATCAACGATTAATAATAATACGCAATAAACTATAAACAGTAAGCAATAAACTATTAATAATAAACAATAAATAAGAAACAACAGACAATAAACAATAAACAGCGAACAATAGCAATAAACAGCAATGAACAGCGAAACCTAACGTGAAGGAAACAAAACAAATTACTCTCTGCAACCACCCCCGCACGACCTACACTACACCTAGCTAGCTAAACAGCAAGATAGCTAAACACCTAGCTAGCTATCTAAGCGGTTAGCTAACTAAACAACTAGCTAGGTGAACGGATAGATAGCTAAGCAGCTATCTACCTGAACAGCTAGCTAGTCAAGCCGGCGACCAATCAAAACAGGCCGCCAGCAGAAGAATGGCAGCAGCAGCAGCAATAGCAACACCACGTGCAGCAGCACACGCTACCCAGCTAGCTAGCTAGCTAAACAGCTAGCCAGCTAGCTAGCCAGCTAGACAGATAGCTGACCTGGCATAGGGACGTCTAAGACTACCGCGTTGCACTCCATGCTGGGGCGAACTGCGAGAATGCCGTCGCGGGCCGCCTCCGCCTTCAGACGACCTAAACCTCCCTGAAACCAAACCCTAAACCCTAAACCCTAAACCCTAAACCCTAAACCCTAAACCCTAAACCCTAACCCCAACGCGTTAAGAGGGGAGATATACAAGCCGGCTCGCGCAACAGCCAGCCGACGCAAAGTGCAACAACAGGAGTTCTGACGAGGGTATGTGAGTGGCTGCTGAAGGTAAGGGTTAAGGTTTAGGGTTTGCTAAGGGTTTAGGGTTTAGGGTTTAGGGTTTGCTGAGGTTTGGGTTGAAGCAACGGACGTCGGCGGCGGCGTCTTGGTGTGTAAATAAACTTTGCCTTGAGGGGTTGTTGAGGGCTACGCGGCCCCCATCCACAAAAGTGATGGCCCTGAACAATCGCAAGGGTTTAGGGTTTAGGGTTTAGGGTTTACGGTTCGGTGTGAGGGACGGACAAGCGTAAACATCCACTACAAAGCCATGAAGCGCCGCGCATACGCCGAGCCCTCCAGCTAGGGATTAGGGTTTAGGGTTTAGGGTTTAGGGTTACCTGACACCCCAAGAGGCCAGCAGCCTCGCAACCCCACAACCCAACGTCCCCGCCCCAATCGCCAAAACCCTCAACGACTGCAGCGCCTCCGGCACGAATGAAGGCAGCACTCTCCACCTGAACGCAAACCCTAAACCCTAAACCCTAAACCCTTAGAACCCTTTAAACCCTTTAAACCCTTTAAACCCTAAACCCTAACCCCAAAAAGCACTTCATTTCGAAGGGTATAGTCTACCCCGAGACCGTAGGCGGTCTTGGCCCCAAATAAACCCTAAACCCTAAAACCCTTAAACCCTAAACCCTAAACCCCAAACCCTAACCCTCAAAACCCCAATAACCGTAGGCCCTAAACCAGCCCCAAACCCTTTAAACTCTAAACGCTCTTAATATATATAAACCCTAAACCCTAAACCCTTGGAAGCCCCACTCGGTAAGCCCTACACCCTAAACCCTTTAAACTCCAATACGCCTAAACCCTAGGCCCAAACCTTGTAAACCCTAAACCCTAAAGTCTAAACCCTAGTTGTTGCTTGCCTGATGAGCTGTATATTGAGGTTGTCTGCCTCTTGCTGCATTACTCGCGGGTCTAGAAATCTCCCCAACTCAACACAAAAAAACTGCTGCGCCTTCGAGAGGCAGCGGGGGCCCCCAGAGGCCGCCAGCCGCTTCAGTCTCCCCACAACCATTGAAGCGCGGCGGGACCCTGCCTCTGGTGCTGCTCCTGCTGCTCCTGCTGCTGCTGCTGCTGGAGGTGCAGGAGGCGGGCAGGGTTCTTTGCTCGATGCTGCTGCTTCTGGTGGGGCTTCTGCTGCTGCTCCTGGGGCTGCAGATGCTTCGCCGTCACCCGCTGCTGCTTCTGTTGCTCCTTCTCCTGTTGATGCTGCTGCTCTTCCTGCTGCTGCTCTTGTGCTTCCTCCCTCTGCTGCTGCTGCAGGTGCAGGGGAGAAGGCCCCAACCAGCTCTTCAGCAGTCGGCAGCCGCACTACAAACACCCGCGAGAGCGGTTCAACAACCTGGCCCCAAGCAGCAGCAGCAGCTGCTGCAGTTGCTGCTGCTCGCCGCGCTGCTGCTGCTGCTGCTGCTGCTGCCTCCTCCGGATCCTGATCTGCGGTCCCAGCGTGGGCAGCAGCAGCAGCAGCGGCAGCAGCATCCGCTGCTTCTGCCGCTTCCGCAGCAGCTGCTTCTGCAGCAGCAGCAGCAGCAGCAGCACTCTCAACTCGCAGGTCTATAAGCCAATCTCTAAACGATAAAACCCTGAGGGCCCTCCCGAACAAACAAAAACCTTCACTTAAAGCCGGCAGCAAACAACGCAAAGGCCACCCTAAAGCGGTGGGGTTGCAAGAAGGATCCATCACGCACAAATACAACTGCTGCTGCTGCTGCTGCTGTTGCTGCAGCTGCTGCTGCTGTTGTTGGCCTTGTTCTGGCTCTGCAGTAGGGAGAAGGTGTTTGAGGCGCTCCAGAGCCTCCAAGGGCAGCAGCTGCAGCGACGCAGCCGCACCCTCCGGGCTGCAGCAGTTGCTGCTGCTGCTGCTGCTCCCCTTGCCGCTGTCCCCGTTGCTGCTGCTGCTGCTACTGCTGCTGCTGCTGGTTTTAAGCAGCAAAAAGCATCCTCCCGCCAGAAAGGGAGACGTGTTGTTATCTAAGGAGCGAATTTTGCTAGATATAACCGACAACTCCGCAGCAGTAAACTCTTCCCTCTGCTGCTGCTGCTGCTGTTGCTGCTGCTGCTGCCGCTCCTGCTGTTGTAGCTGCAGTTCTTGAAAGGTTGTGGGTTCGAGCTCTGCTACGAGGCGTTTGAGGGTGACGGGGTGCGCAGCAGCAGCGGGTTGCTGCAGCTGCTGCAGGTCTGCTGCAGGTCTAAGTGCAGGTGTACAGACAGTGTAAATCGCCTTCTGGTTTTTTAAATCGATGAATGTCTCCAACACAAAACGGCAGGGCCAAGCAGTTGCTGGCAGCTGTCCGTACACCGCGCGGCACGCACAAAACTCTCTTCCTTCACCTCCTGCTGCTGGTGCTGCTGCTGCTGCTGCTGCTGCTGCTGCAGCTGATGCTGGTGCTGCTGGTGATGGTGCTGCTGCTGGTGATGGTGGCATTGCTCCCGCAAATTCTGCTCCTGCTTCTGCCTCTGCTGCTGCTGCTGCTGCTGTTGCTGTTGCTGCTGCTGCAGGTGATTCACATTCGGCGGGTGGCGAGGCGAACTCGGAGAAGGCTGGGGATGTGGGGGTCGTGCAGCTGCCCATCTCCTGCTGCTGCTGCTGCTGCTGCTGCAGGTCGCGGCAGCGAAGGCGAAGCCTCCAGAAGTCTGGGTCTTTGACAGGGAGGTGCATTACCTGCAGCAGTTCCTCCTCCTGCTGCTGCTCCTGCTGCTGCTGCTGCTGCTGGTGGTGCTGTTGGTGGTTATGTGTGTTGCAGCTGCTGCAGCAGCAAATGACTTCCTCCATCCTGAGGAGGCAGCGCCGTGCTGCTGCTCTGCTGCGAGCAGCAGCAACAAGATCAGCGAAGCTGTTATACACACGGACTAACCCCACTAGGGGGCGGGTGCCGCTCTTTAAGCACTTAGAAGCAAAAGGAGGTAAAGACATGAGGCCTGTACGGCGAGAGCTTCCTGCTGCTGCTGCTGCAGGAGGAGGAGGCGCCCCTGCTGCAGCGCCTGCTGCTGCTGCTGCTGCTGCTTCGGCTTCTGCTGCTTCCGGGGAGTGCAGCGGAGAAGAACCCCCCTCCCCATCTAACCAATCTTGCAGCAGATGCAGCTGCAGCTGTTGCTCCTCCTCCTGCTCCTGCTGCTGCCGGCTGGGCTGCTGCTGCTGCTGCTGCTCTTCAGCAGCATCACGTCCTGTATGCTGCTGCTGCTCCTCCCGCAGCAGCTGCTGCACTATATCGAGAGAATCTGCATCAATACGAACTCTACACGGGCCAGCAGCATGCTGTCCCGTTTGCCGCTGCTGCCGCCGCAGCAGCTGCTGCTGCTGCTGCTGTTGCTGCTGCTGCTGCTGCAGTGGCTTTGCTGCTGTGCAGCTGTAAGTAGCAATCAGCGGCACCCACGGAGTGCTGAGCCTCCAATCTTTTAATTTACGCTCCGATAGAAGACGCCAAAAAGAAACCTCAATCAAAAAAGAAAACGGCTGAAACGCCACAAGATCATGCTGCTGCTGCTGCTGCTGCTGCTGCTGCTGCAACTGCTGCTGCGGCTGACGCTGCTGCAACTGCTGCTGCAACTGCTGCTGCGGCTGCTGCGGCTGCTGCTGAGGCTGAGGCTGCGGCTCGTGTTGCTGCTGCTGCTCCTGTTCATGCTGCAGCTGCGACTCTTGTTGTTGCTGTTGTAACTGTTGTTGCTGCAACTGCGGCTCTTCTTGCTGCAGCTGCAGTTGCTGCTGTTGCTGCTGCCTCTGCTGCTGCAGCTGCCGTCGCCTCCTGGACTGTCGCTGCTGCTGCACCGGCGGAAGCGGAGCCTCAGGAGGCAGAGAAGCGCTGGAAGCTGTTTCTTTCTTGCCATCCATTGCTGCTGCTGCTGCTGCTGCTGTTGCTGTTGCTGCGACAGTTGGTGTTGCTGCTGCTGCTGCAGCAGGGGTCGACAGCTGCAGCAACAGCTGTCACTTCAGAGGCTTTGCTGCTGCTCTGAGGAGCAGTTCCCGATGCAGCTGCCAGCAGACCATCCGAGCAGCAGCAGCAGCTGCTGCTGCTGCTGCCGCCGCTGCTGCTGCTGCTGCTGCTGTTGTTGCTGTCTGTGGAGTTGTAGCAGCACTTGGTGCAGCAACAAGAAAAGCAAAAAGTGATATTTCAACTAACAGAACGGCGGTTGTTGCTGCCACTAGGGTCTGCTGCTGAGCTGCTGCTGCTGCTGCCGCAGCAAGCTGCTGCTGCTGCTGCTGCTGTTGCTGCTGCTGCTGTTACTGCTGCTATGGACGATAACAAATGTTTAAACAGGCTCCCTACGGCCTTTGAATCTCAAGAAAAGCCGTAACTGCATTGCAGTGTACGTACACCTTAGAAGTTCTTGATGCCACTGTGCAGCAGCCAACTACGGGGACTGGTTTCTGCTGCTGCTGCTGCAGCTGCTGCTGCTGCTGCTGGCAGCAGCGCAGCGTGGGGTCTTGCTTATGCTCTTCCTTCTGAGATGGAGGAGTCTCTGCTGCATTTGCTGCTGCAAAAGCATCTAATGAGTTGTTGAAGCGAGTAGAGAAAGCAGTTAGCTGCTGTTGCTGCTGCCCTCCCCCCGGCAGCAGCAGCAACAGCAGCGGCAGCAGCGGTAGCCGCTCCGGCTGGTGCTGCCGACTACGAGCATCAGCAGCAGCATGTCTGCTGCAGCGGCAGCCACAGCAGCAGCAGCATCAGCACTTTGTTTGAATTGTTTATGCCTATGAGTTCCATTTAATAGCCACATTACCAGCAGCAACTGCAGCTGCTGCTGCTGCTCTGGCTTTTGTGCTGTGCTGCCGTGGGGGCCCTTGTCTCCCGCAGCAGCAACAGCAGCAGCAACAGCAGCAGCAACAGCAGCAGCAACAGCGGTAGCAGCAGCAGCAACAGCAGCAGCAACGTCAATATTAAGGACAGAAGACAGCAGCATAATACTGGCGCAGGCTGCGCTGATCCCGCTGCAGCGGCAGCAACAACACCGGCAGCAGCAGCAGCACGGCAGCAGCAGCAACGACAGCCACAACAGCAGCAGCAGCAACACAACAGCAATAGCAGCAATACAACGTCAACTTCAGCAGCAGCACAGGCAACAGCAACAGCGCTAGCAGCAGCAAAAGCGGCAGCAACAGCAGCACCGACAACAACAGCAACACCTGATAGCAGCAGCAATCGAAGCAGCAATAGAAACAACAGGAACGACAGCAGCGTAATGAAGAGACACAGCTGAGGCACGGCCTCAGCAGCAGCAACAGCAACAGCAACAGCAACAGCAACAGCAACAGCAGCAGCAGCCGTGTCTTCAATGCCGCCTCTTCGGTGCACACAACCTATCGAGAGCCGCTGCAGCAGCTACAACAGCAGAAGCAGCAGCAACAGCAGCAGCAGCAGCAGCAGCAACAGCAACTGCTGTGATCCGAGAAACTGTCCGCAGTCATCCGGCGTGGGCTGTTTTGAGGATGCAGCGGCAACAACAGCAGCAGCAGCAGCAACAGCAGCAGCAGCAGCAACAGGTGCCCGGCAGGTCGCGTGTACGTAGCAGCGCATCACCTTGCCGCCTCTTCCGATTGGGGTTTTTTCTGGTGCTGCTGTTGCTGCTGCTGCTGCTGCTGCTACAAGATCTCGGCAGCAAAGCAGTGGCTCTTTCTCTTCGCCGCTGCCTCCCGCAGCAACAGCAGCAGCAGCATCAACAACAGCAGCAGCAGCAACCCCTGCATCTGCAATGGGCCTTCACCTCTCCGCATTTGCTGCACGGGAGGTGCTGGGGCTGCCGTACACCAGCAGCAGCAGCAACAGCAACAGGGCCTCAGGTGCTTAAGAAACTCCCGGGGGCCCCTCAGGTTGGTGGGGGGCCCCCTTGGGGGGCCCCCAAGGGCACGGGGAGGGGCCTGGGCCCCCCCCTGCATGCGCTGAAGGGGTGGAGGGGGGCCCTCTTCGGCAGCAGAAGAATTCGTATTCAGAGTGAAGAACAGATGGAGAAAGCCCTCGCTAGAGGAGTGCCCCTAGCGTGCGTAAACCCTAAACCCTAAACCCTAAACCCTAACGTTGCAGTTGAGCGCCAGACGAGGGCGCAGCAGCCGCCTCGCCGCTGTAAAAGACCTCTCTTTACCTGCTGAGGTAATACGGATTAGGGTTTAGGGTTAAGGGTTTATATTTTTGTGGTTTGTACACAGGTCAATGGAGGTGTGTGGGGACCTTCACTGTCCTCAGCCTCCTTTTAATCCGGTGTTACTGCTGCGTCTGCAGCATTTGCTGCAGCACCTTCTAAGCAGCAGCAGCAGCAGCAGCAGGGGTACAGAAGTTGCTCGTGCCTCTATAACCCGATGGCTATGTGGGCGTAGCGACGACCCAGCAGCATTTAAGAAGGGGGCTTCTGTGCTGCTGCAGCACTGCAGCAGCTTGCTGCAGCAGTACGTACACCCCGTTCTCTTGCTGCTCTATAAGCGCCGCTTATTAGGTGGGGGGCCCTTTGGGGCCCCCCACCTTTCTAGCTACGAGGGGGGCCCTCATCTATGGAGTGTTAGGGGTGTAGGATGGGGCACTGACGGCCCCGGAGGCCCCCAGGGGCCCCCGGGGCCCCCCGAGTCTGTTGAGGGTATATTTTCATCCGACAGTGGGTTAAGGGGGGGGGGGCCCTCCCGCGGGGTTATGGAGGGTGTATCCTCTTTAGGGGCCCCTTGGGGGGCCCCTGGGGAGGGTAAGGAGTCTCTTGCACTTGCTATTGAAGGAGGAGCTATGAGGGGTTGTGTGTGTGCGGGTATGGCTATATGTTTATCACATTTAGGGTTTATAGATGCTTTTAACGGTGTGTATGGTAGCAGTGCAGGGGCATTAATAGGAGCATTTGCGGTGTCTAGGCAGCTGGCTTATGAGGGCAGTGCAGTGTATACAGATTGGCTGCCTTCTTTAGGAAAAGGATTTATTAACCCGTTTCTCTTAGGGAGGGCCCTAGGGTTAGGGTGTCTCCTTGATGGAGATATATCAAGCTTTCTATGTCAAAGATTAGGGGCCCCCCTACTCAATTTAAATACCCTTTTCTTCAATGTGCTGCAGCATAAGCAGCCCTTTCACTGGAAGCAATTCGCTATAAATAACAAAAAACAACCCCTCAAAGTACACCCCAACACCCCACACTAATAATCTTTATAATAATAATAATAATAATAATAATAATAATAATAATAATAATAATAATAATAATAATATATTTGTTTTCTTGCATTGTTCGTTTGTTGTAATGAACCATCCATAAAAAGAAATATATTATTATTACTTCTACAATATGCAAACATTCACAATACACAAACACCACAAGCAACCCAACAGAGTTTGTTTTATTTTGTTTTGTTTTGTTTTGTTTTGTTTTGTTTTGTTTTGTTTGTTTTGTTTGTTTTGCTTCGTTGTGTAGACAAGACCTGTATGTATATACATGCATATATACATAGGTATATATATATATGTATATATTCATGTATACATACGCATATATACATATATATATATATATATGTTCGTGCTTGTTAATTTCAATCTTATGGTGTATCATGAAGTACATAATAACTCCCTCAATGTGTTATTTCGATTTATTATTATTTTTGTTTGTTTTTTATTCAGATAATTGCTTCAGGGCTGACGAGCCTTCACTCTGTTACCCTTGACAGCGCAGGAGGATTTATAAAAGATCTTCCTTCTTTGTTTGAGTGTCTCCGTGCATCTATGTTGCTTCCGGGCTTGACCGGACCAGTGGTCCATTTGCCCTTGTGGGGCCCCACATGGGGGCCCCCCACCTCCCGTACAGGGGCCCCAAAAGGGGCCCCTACATCCCCCATGGGGCCCCAAGAAGGGGCCCCTGGTGGTGATAAGGAGGCCCCTACTGGTGATAAGGGGGCCCCTACCGGTGATAAGGGGGCCCCTACTGGTGATAAAGGGGCCCCTAGTGGTGATAAGGGGGCCCCTAGTGGTGATAAGGGGGCCCCTAGTGTTGTTGGGGGGGCCCCTAGTGTTGGTTATGGGTCTGCTGCTCGTCGCCCTTTGTCTATGTATTGCCCTCTTGCTGCATCTTCTTCTCTTCCTCGTTTCTCTCCTGAGCTTCCTTGTGCATATGTTACGGAGGGGCTTGCAGATGCTCTTCTTTTTGAAGCTGTTCCCTACAGAAGTGCAATTAGTGAAGGAGCTACACATGTTCTTGTCCTGAGAAGTAGACCCGACAAAGCCCCCGTCGCTCGGCTCAAAGGAATCGAAGCTGCAGTAAACAAAAATTTTGTTTTAATGAAAAGCAGAGATTAAAGAGGGGGATTTGTATTGGTCAATTCTTCTTATTGTTGTTTTTATTTATTTGTTTTATTCGTGTTATTTTATTGTTGTTGTTTTATTTATTTGTTTTGTTTTTGTTGTTTTATTGTCGTTGTTCTATTTATTTTTTACTCTTGTCGTTTTATTCGTGTTGTATTGTTGTTCTTTTATTTACTTTTTTTCTTGTTTTCTTCTTGTTCTATTGTTGTCTTATTGTTGTTTTATTCTTGTTTTTTTGTAATTGTTTTTGTTGTTTTATTTATTTGCTTCTTTCTTGTTGTTGTGTTAGTCTTGCTGGCTTGTTTTGTTTTGTCGTTGTTTTGTTGTTGTTTTCCTCCTTGCTTTGTTGTTGTTTTCTTTTTGTTTATTTTCTTGTTGTTTGTTTTCTTTGTGTTTGTTTCCGTTGTTGGTGTTCGTTTTCTTGTTTGTTTTCTTGCATATTTGTTTTTTTGTTGTTTGTTTCCTTGTCATTTGTTTCCTTATTGATAGTATTCTCTTTCTTATTATCACCCTTTTCTTTATTATTATTATTATTATTATTATTGTTATTGCTATTCTCCTTTTTCTGTTATTGTCTTCTTACGGTTGTTTATCTCGTTTTTTGTTCGTCTTTCTCGCCACATTTCTCCTCAGTATTATTATTATCATATTATTACTATTATTATTTTTGTTATTGTTATTACTATTATTATTGTTGTCATTTTTATCGTTATTATTATTGTTGTTCTTATTATTAGACTTGTTCCTTGATTCTTATTTGTTTCTGTTTTTGTTATTGTTGTGGTCAGCGCTGCTTCTTCTTCTTATTCCGTTGTCTTTGATTGTTTCTGTTTTATTGCTTGGATTTCTTCGAATAAAATTTAATTAAAAATAATTCTTTTATTTTCTTTACTTTCTTCTTTTTTTCGTTGTTTTGTTTGTTCTTCAGGTGGAAGTGCAATTAGCTCGGCGTTTCTTTTTGCATAAACACAGAGGCCTCCGCCCTGTCTTTGATTTTATTAAAAAAAGAAAGCATAGAGAAATATATATGAGGGATATGCTGCGTTTAAATGCAGCAACGAACTCTCTATCTACTCGTATTTCAGGGCGTCTCCCTGGGGGGCCCCCTGGGGGCACCACTCCTGCTGAAGGGGGGCCTTCCTCTACCCATTCTCTGGGGGGCCCCCTTGGGGGCCCCTCTGGTTATGCTTTTGCTGTTGCTGTTGGGGGAGAGGCTAAAGAGACGCACAAACTAACAGCAGCACGCAAAGATATTATTAAAGGAATACGTAGTGGGTTTGCTGCTCTCTGGAGGGTGTTGCAGCCAGACCCTCTTCTTCGTGAACGAGGAGAAGAAGAAGCAAAAAAGGTTTGTTTATTTGCTTTTTTGTTTGTTTTGTTTGTCTTGTTTATTTGCTTGCTTGCTTGATTGGTTGGTTGGTTGTCTATTTGTTTGTTTGTTTGTTCGTTTGTTTATTCGTTTGTTTGTTTTTGTTTGTTTGTCTGTTCGTTTTTTTAATTCTTTTCGTTGTTTGTTCTTTTTGTCGCTCACTATTTTCCTTGTTGTTTATTCTATTTCTTTATTATATTTCTTTATTCATTATATTTCTTTATTCTACTTCTTTTTTCTATTTTTTTCATTGTATTTCTTTTTTCAGGTCTTTCCTGACGATCTCCCCTTCTCTCCTGCATTAGGGGGGGCCCCTCTTCCCTCTCCCCCTGTCTATACAGCCGAAGAAGAGTCTGCGCAACTCTCCCCAGCAGCGCTAGCAGAGTACCTCCATACAGCATTAAAAGCAGTCAGAGACATTCAGGGGGACCCTCAGGCGGGGCCCCCTACAACTTAGGGGGGCCTCATAAGGGGGGCCCCTTTGGGGGGCCCCTAAAGGGGGGCCCCCTAATGCGAGAGCCCCATACGGGGGGCCCCTTAGGGGGGCCCCCAGTGAGAGGGTCCCATAATGGGGGCCCCTGAAGGGGGGCCCCTAACGTGAGGATCCCATAGGGGGGGCCCTTAAGGGGGCCCTTGATAGGGGGCCCCCAAAGGCAGGGGGCCCCTGACGGGGGCCCCGTATTGGTTCGAATGCAATAAGCGCAAAAGGGATCCCCATGCGACGGGGGAGGAGAGTTTGTTTAGAGGCGTTTAATATATGAAATGTATAAAATATATATGCATGTGTTATATATATTATATCGTTTAATAGAAAAGAAAAGACGGGGGCAGTGTACATGGAGAGAAACAAATAAAAGCAGATGAAGAGGGAGAAACAAGCAAAGAAAAACAAACAGAGATAAGCAGAGAGAGACAAACAGAAAATAGCAAACAGATATACACAAACAGATATATACAACAAATATACACAAACAGAGAAAACACACACAAGCAAACAAACAGAGATAAACAGACAGAAATAAACAGAGACAAAGTAATAGATATACAAGTAGATATAAACAACTGGATATACACAAACAGATAGAAGCAAACAGAGATAAACAGAGACGAATAGAGAGAGAGAGAGAGAGAGAAACATAGGGAGAAACAAACAGCAACAAACAAAACAAAGGAAACAGAGGAGAGCGCCAGTGAATTCAAAACCTATTGCTCCTATCTCTCTCCACAGAACCCAGCAGCAGCAGCAGCAGCAACACCAGCAAGAGCAGCAGCAAGAGCAGCAGCAGTAGCAGCAACAGCGGCAGCAGTAGCAGCAACAGCGGCAGCAGTAGCAGCAACAGCAGCAGCAACAGCAGCAGCAGCAGCGAGCAGCATTTGCTGCTGCTGTCTCCTATCTACCATAAAAAAACGAAAGACAAACAACGCATAAAGAGAATATTAGTCGAAGCAAAAATGAAAGAGAGGCCTTTTCTTTATAAATCCCCACACCCTAAATAAACACAAACGAAAAGCCCCTGCAGCCTCAATGCATATGCATAATGCTGCTCTCGCTGCAGCAGCTGCTGCTGCTGCGAGTGCTCCTACTTCACTTGCTGCTGCTGCTATTGCTCGTGCTGCATTTGCTGCTGCTGCTGCGACTGCTCGTGCTGCTACTGCTGCTGCCAGTAGTTGCTTGTGGGGCTTGTGCGTTGTTTGCTGTTGAGGAGTTTGGTGTGGAGTGCTGCAGCGGCAGCAGCATAAGCGAAGCATGTGTGGGGAGGCAGCAGCTGCAGGGCCAGCAGCAGCGAGAGCAGCAGCAGCACAGAGAAGCTTCTTCTGAAGTCTCTCCCTGCAGCAGCAGATGCTGCATATTCTCTGTCTCTTTTGCTGCTGCTGCATCTGCTGATTATCTTCATCTCGATGAAGGGAGAGAAGCCCTAAAACCCTCTCTCAAATCCAGCGTTGCACCATCAAGAGGGGCTCCTAATGAGCTAATATGTTAGGCAGCAGCAGCAGCAGCAGCAAAGAAGGTAGGAGGGGACGGTTTGGGGGCTGGAGACAGTTCAGGCCCCAATGGTGTATCTGCTTCGCAAACGAGCATTAACGCCTCAACTCCCCTGCTGCTGCTGATGCTGCTGCGGCTGTTGCGGCTGCGGCTGCTGTGCCTGTTGCAGCTGCTGTAGAGGCTGCTGCTGCTACTGCTGCTGCTGTGGCTGCTTGCTGCTGCTGCTGCATCAGTTGCTGCACCTTCTGCGTTCGAGGGTTTTCCCTCCCTCATCTGCTGCAGCAGACTCACCGTATACAAGAGCGGAGGAGTCATATATTAATTAATTTGTTTATTTATTCACTCAATTTGTTTGTTCATATATTTTGTTTGTTTTTTATTGATATCCGAGGTTGCTGCAGCTGCAGCGCCACACCAAAAACCCCCGGCTGCTGGAGTGCTGCTGCTCCCCCAAGAGCCTCTCGCTCAACTCCCCTGCTGCTGCTGCTGCTGCTGCTGCTGCTGCTGCTGGGGTTTGCGCTGCTGCTGGGGTTTGCGCTGCTGCTGCGGTCTGCCTCGAGCACGAGATGAGGGGCCGCCAGCATTTGCTGTTGCTGCACATACCAACAGCAGCAAAACCCTAAACCCTCACAGTGCGACTCTAAACCCTAAACCCTCAATGCTCCTGCTCTAAACCCTAAACCCTAAACCCTCACACGTAAGAGGCCTTAAGCCTCATCGAGACAGAGGGAGTAGTTTGACAGTTTCAAGCCTGCAAAAGTCCGGGATTAGGGTTTAGGGTTTAGGGTTTGTTACATCTAAAGACGCCTTCTAGAGACAACTCAGGGCCCCCAAGTTTTGGGTTTGGCTGCGACGCCCACTCCATAAAAACTGCAGCTAGCCGCTCCACTTGCTGCAGCTCAGCCAGTGAACGCACCCTGTGCTTCACACACTAATACCACCAGCAGCAGCAGCAGCAGCAACAGCAGCAGCAGCAACAGCAGCAGCAGAAGCAGACGCAGCAGAAGCAGCAGCAGCAGCAGCAGCAGCATGTATATGACGTACAGCGCTAGGGGCCGAACGCGGGGGAATAAACACAAAAAACCAAATAAATAAATACTAGAGAAAGAAATAAAGGAAAAGAAAGAAAGGCAAGGAAAAGAAAAGACAAAGGAGACAAAGAAAGGAGACAGAGACAGAAGAAAAATATAAAAGAGACAGAGAGACAAATAAGAACAAGTGATAGAGAAGGAGACATATAAATAAATAAATAATTAAAATATACAGATAGAGAAGACAGAAATAAGACAAAAAGAAAAGGCAAAAGACAAAGAGAGACAGAGACAGGGAGAAAGGAAGTGAGAAAAACTGAAAGGAGACGAAAGATTGAAAGAAGAGACAGAGAAAGAAATAAAAAAGAGGAGGCAGAGACAGATAAATAACAAAGGAGACAGATAAATAATAAAGGAGACAGACAAATAATAAAGGAGACAGACAAACAATAAGAGAAAGACAGAAGGAAGAAAAGGAAGAAAGAGAGAAAGAAGAAAAGGAAAAGAGAAGAAATATAATGTTGATAACGAAAGAGAGAATGAGACACAAACTAAACAATATAATATATATATAATAAATATATATAATAATAATAATAATACAGAGAAAGATAAAGAAATGAAATAAAAAAGGGTTTGGGGTTGGGCGTACAGTGCGGCCATCCGTCACCTTCACCCTCAACAGAGAATCGCTCCTTCTGTACTTCATGCAAAAACGGGCCTGACTCACAAACCCTAAACCCTAAACCCTAAACCCTAAACCCTCGGTGGAGCTGAGATGTTTTGAGCTGGGGTTTCGTCTCTCGGGTTGCTGCCCCAGTCCTTTGACACGTGGTTCATAGGGATTAGGGTTTGCGATTAAGGGTTTAGGGTTTACGGTTTAGGGTTTAGGGTTTAGGGTTTAGGGTTTACTGTGGTTGGGCTGTTTTGGAAGATGTCCCGGACAGAGAGGGCGAAGGAGCCCCAGTCCTGAACCCCCACCATAGCGGAGTTTGTTTTGCTGTTGGGTTTATATAAAAGAAAAGGGTTTAGGGTTTAGGGTTTAGGGTTTACAGCGAAAGAAGAAGACGAAACGCTGCCGGTAGAAAGCAGAGTATAAAACAAAGCAGAAAAAACAAAGGCCGAGACACCCAAACACACACCAAACCCTCAATACCAACCAAAAGCAAGAGCTAGGGTTTAGGGTTTATGGTTTAGGGTTTAGAATGAACAGCAGGTTAGCTACAAAGCAGAAGACTGCTGTGTACAGACAGCAGCTTCTGGATAAGCAGCAGACAAAACCCACAGCTAGAGAAACCAGCTGGATCCTTCGCTTAGAGTTTGGGGTTTAGGGTTTACGGTGTAGGGTTTAGGGTTTAGGGTTTAGGGTTTGCAGCAGCTGCTGCGCTGCAACTCGTGCTGCATGCAGTTTGCCTAGGCAAGACAGCGCGGGGCTGTGGCTGCGATATCAGCAATAAAAAGACAGAAAATATTTATTTATTCATTTATTTTGCTTTCATGAGTTGTTTATTTTGTATTAACGGACAAATATATTTAAAGAGGTCTTTACACATCCAGTACATACATACGCATGCCCCTGATAGCTGTCGTAACAGCAGCAGCAGCAGCCGCAGCAGCAACTGCAACAGCAACGCCACTAGCTGCAACAGCAGCAGCAGCAACAGCAACAGCAGCAGCAGCAGCAACAGCAACATTAACAGTACAGCCTCCATTAGCCGTTCCTTACAGTGGCACAACAGTAGCCAAACTGAGAGTAGCAGCAGTAGCAGTAACAGCAGCAGCAGCAGCAACAGCAGCAGCAACAGCAGCAGCAGCAAATAGCAACGACGGCTGCTGCTGCTGCTTCTGCTGCTGCCGCCGCATGGGTCTGTTTCTTCCTGCGCCTGCGCGTTGCGTGCATAGACTACAGCTTGTACCGTGTAGAGACTGAGGGTTTATGGTTTAGGGTTTAGGGTTTAGGGTGGCCTGTCTCTTCCTCAGGATGCGTAGCTCCGGGTTGGTGCTCTTTAAGAACAGCAGAAGAGATGCTGCAGCTCCTTTCTGCTCGTCTGTCTCTTTTATGTCTTTCTCTGTCGCTGCCTTCACCTCCAAAACCTCTCGTGCTGCTCTCAATGGGGGCCCCCTAAGGGCCCCCGTCTTTATGCGCCCCCCCCTCACCAGTTCTCTTCATTGCAGCAGAGTACCCCTGCATCTCTCAGGGGCCCCTCAGGGGTTATGAGGGGCCCCCCAGGGGCCTCGTCTTCTTATTGTGCTTGCACTAATTTAATGCTGGCTGCAAGGTTTGGATCCTCTTCTGAGAAGGCAGCAGGAGCAGCAGGAGCAGCAACTGCATCAGCAGAAACAACAGCAGCAAGAGCAGCAGCAAAACCAGCAGCAGCAGATGTAAGATACCAAGCAGCAGCAGATGCGCTGCTCTCGGGTCTGGCGGAGCAGCTGCAAGAACGACAGACAGCTCTATGCATTGAAGACATAGAAACCAGCGTAAACCCTAAACCCTAATAAACGCTCATAAACCCTAATTACCCCTTATTAGCCTTAGTAAACCATAAGTACGCTCTATAAACCCTATTAAACCCTAGTGAAGTCTAATAAACCCTAATAAACTCAGTAAATCCTAAAGAGCAACGACATAAGGGCGGAGCTGCTGCTGGGCCAGGGCCACTCGCCTCCTTATGCTGCAGCTTGGCCGTCTTCAGTTTGCTGCTGCTAGTTCTGCTGCTACGCATGCTGCAGCTTCTACTGCTGCTACGCTTGCTGCTGCTTCTACTGCTGCTACGCTTGCTGCTGCTTCTACTGCTGCTACGCTTGCTGCTGCTTCTGCTGCTTCTGCTGCTGCAGGAGGGAGTATTGAAGGTGGTGTGTGAGAGCGGGCTGACGCTGGTGCTTAATAAGCATTATGTCACACAGCAAATTTGGTATGCCTCCCCGCAGAGGTGAGCGCATGGTTCAGGGGTTTGTTTATGTTAATACAACTTTATTAGGGTTTATTAGGGTTTGTTAGGGTCATAAGGGTCTACTCAAGTTTATTAGGGTTTAATTGTGTATATACAGCATTATTAGAGTGTATGCAAGTTTATTAGGGTTTTTAGGGTTTATTTAAGCTTATTCGTGTTTTTTAAGGTTTTTTAGGGTTTTTTAGGGTTTGCTAGGGTTTATTAGGGTTCATTAGGGTTTACTATTCAAGCTTATTAGGGTTTACTAGGGTTCATTAAGGAATGGTAGGGTTTATTGGGGGGTCATTTAGGGTTTATTAGCGGTTGTTTGCATTTGTTAGGGTTTATTAGAGCTTGTTTTAGTTTCCTAGGGTTTATTAGGGTTTAGGGAAGCGCTGCTAGCGGCATCCATACTAGGGTTTAGGGTTTAGGGTTTATTTTTTGTGGGTTTGCAGCGGGGCGCAGTACTTCGAGTTTGACAGGGGATGGAGATGCTCCCGCACAGGGCGGTCCCTCCTTGATGTACTCACTAAAGACCTAAAAGCTGCAGCAACCAGCAGTAGCAGCAGCAGCAGCAGCGACAGTAACAGCAGCAGCGACAGCAACAGCAGCAACGGCAGCGGGAGCGAGCAGCGGCCCACCTGGTCGCTCACTTGGCCTCAGGGCTCGCTCTGTGAGACCATTCACGAGACGCAGAAACCCTAAACCCTAAACCCTAAATTATAGGTGCTAGGAGGCTGCTGCACCGTCGGCGGCTCAAGCAGGAACTGCTGAGGTGTATGAAAGCCAGCATCATCTCATTTAGTGAGTTGTATAGACAGCATCATCTCGTTTATTTTGAGGTGTATACACAGCAGCAGCGTTTGTTGCGGTGTACAGACAGCAACAGCTCTTCTGTACTCCGTGGCCATATTCGTGTAGCCAACAGCAACGGCCAGTTTATAATTTTTTTGTCTTTGCAACAAAAGAAATGAAGAAATATTATTGAGAGCCCAGCAGCGCACTGCTGCGGCTCACGAACTCCCAGCTGTACGTACACCTAAACAGTGGATGAATGGCAGGGAGGCAGAGTGTTTGTAGAAATATACTGTTATCTACAGGGGATGAAGATTCACCTCAGGTTTATTAGCTGCTACACACAGGGACGCCCTCTTCACTACGCGTACTGCTGCTGTGTGTGTATACACCCCAAAAGCAAGGAGCTGCAGCCTACGGAAAGAGACTAATAATAAAACTGTACTGCCCGCTCACTTGCGCGGGGAAACCTGCCCCTATAATATTACTATATATATATATATATATATATATATATATATATATGCGTACTATATATTCACCTAAAAGCTACCTAAACATATTTACCTATGTAAATTCCATTTTATATATATATATATATATATTGCGTTTGTTCGTGTTGGCTACGAACTCATTCATATATATTGAATTAGTGTGCGGATAGGTGTTAAGATAACGCGGTAAGCGCATTGGTGATCACCTGATCCCTTAAAACTGAAAAAGAAGAAGAAAGGCATCGCAGGCCTTGTTAGATATTGTGTAGGCCGTTAGCTTTCCTTCTCCTTAGAGAGGAGAACAATAACATAAACACCCCCCATATATATGGTTTTCTTGCAGAAGCCCCGCATATCCCCATACATATATATATAATAAAGAAAGCTACAGCAAAAAAAAACCAAATAACAGCAATAACACCAATCACCCGAAAACCGGGCTGGGGGGAGAAGAGGCGCAGGCGCGGTGTACGTACACTCCAACACCAGCAACAGCACGAGCACACCCTTTCCTTTATGCAGACAGAAGGAAAGACACACAAAGATTCGTACTGCAACGCGCCCTCAGCTTCCTTTGCGTCTGCTGGCTGCGCCTGGCAGTCTCACCAGACGCAGACACGCATGCATACATACATGCATGTTTGCACGCATGCATGCAGTGCAGTGTACGTACACCACAAACGGGCGGCCTACAAATAACAAAGGACGCCAATACAAACGCCTCACCTCTCTTCAAGCCATGCCTATCGATCTGGAAATATAAAGAGGGAGCAGCAGCTGCAATAATATAACTGACCCTCTCTCAACAACGAGAGGAAGGTCCTGAACAATGCTATAGCCCTGCACGCATGCATATGCATGCATATACATGCTCATGCATGCATGCATGCACATGCATGCATACAGGCCGCAGGACTCAACGCGAACGGCTAGCTAGCTAGCTGGACGCCAGCTTCCCGCAAGAGGAAGAGGAGCCCGAAAAAGAACCGGAGGGCCGCGTCCTATCGCATACAAATAGAGAAATAGTGCAGCAGCAGCCCCGTGAGCTCGCCTGCATGCAACCCCTGCGGCCAAACCCCATATACATGCAAGCACGCATGCGCATGCATGCATATGAAGCCGAGGAAGGGGAAGGAGGGGACCTCGCGGAAATACAAAAAAACCCGGGAAACGCTCCATTGTAATAATGGCGAAATGGAGACTAAAAATATGCTGCTAACACGCGCATGCAGGTGTGCACGCATGCGTGCATGCAGAGAGCGCATGCATGCATGCATGCATGCACGCATATCTATACAATATGCATGTATGCATGCATGCATGCATGCATGGCTGCAGCCTACGCGGAGCGCTCCGCGGACACAAAAAAGCTGTTGGCTTGAACACAAATGATGAGAGGCGTCGATACACCCTGCAGCAGCTGCTAGATCTTCCCTTGCCCTTGATTTCTGTTGTCTTCTTCGCTTAAGAGCTGAAGCCTCTTTAGGGTGTCGGTGCTCCTTGCTTTGCTGCTGCGAGAGGTGCAGTATTGCGTCTGAGTGTGGTTGCGGTGGCGATTGCGGTTGTGATGATGCATTGCACGCGGGTCTTGTGGTTGAGGTGTATATACAGGTTGAGGTGTGTATGCAGGTTGGGGTGTACATGCAGCTGGTCCAATCATCAATCAAGCGGAAAGTTCTTTTGCATGGCCAGAGCCAGCATGTGCAAGCTGAGTAACAGAGAAATGTCCCGACGCAAGTGAAGGGACCTGCTGTCCTGGGTTGTTAAGACCCGTAACGTCGAAATATTTGCTCATTACTCTGCGTTTTCCCTTGAAGTATGGTGATTCATCAATAGAAAGACCGGCGGTTTCCTTCATAAATATCATAGCGACAATGAAAGCCACCAGCGAAGTGCCGCCGCATATACCCAACATCACACGCATATCAGAAGTTAAGACGAAATCTGATGGCAATACAACAATAATCGTGGCAATTGCATTAATTGCAGAAGCCAAAGAAGCACCAGTCTGCTTGATCTCAGGAGGGAAGATCTCGTGCAGATATACCCAAAGAACTGGACCATACCCGACCGCGAAGGAGATAACAAACAAATAAATGCATGCAACTGTCAGCCACTGCACTCCGCTGTTATTTCTATCAACCAGATTGGCAATGAGGGCGACAATTGTCGATGCAGCTTGGCCGAAGCAGCCTGCAAGAAGCAGAGTTCTTCTCCCTAATCTATCCATCAAGAAGATGGCCGGCACCGTCATCAGCACATTCACAAGCCCTGTAACTACAGTCAACGCCGTGACCAGCGAAGCATCGATATTCAATGAGGTGTACAGCTTGTTGCTGTTAGCAACGAGGATATTGATGCCTGTAAACTGCTGGAAAGCAGACAAAAAGAACGCCAGCAGAAGCACATGCCGGTATGCTGGGTAGGTCATAGCTTTCCTAAGCGACAAACTCTCCGCCTCCAGTACTTTCTGCTGGCAGATAGCCACTTCAATTGTTTGAACTTCGCTAGAAACATCTTCTTTCCCTAAGAGCTCCTTCAGAAGAGCTGTCGCCGTATTCTTCCGTCCCTGATGCATCAAGAAGTGAGGACTTTCTGTTGGATAGACCAACCAAAGAAGAAGAATTGCAATAATCGACACACCCGCAGGGAAAGCCAGCATAAAACGCCACCAACACTGTTGGAAGGTTGTAACTTCGTAAGAAAAGTCTGTATCCGTTGGAGGAGAGCCGAATGCAAGGCCCAATAAAGTAGCAACGAGAATACCTATTGTAATCAAAAGCTGATGAAGAGTTCCATAGAAACCACGAGATGTATCGGGGGAGAACTCCGAGATATACATCGGCACACAGACAGTAGCAAGCCCTACAGCCATTCCTTGATAAAGACGAGCTAGAAAAAGTGAAGCAACGCCATCTGCTGCTGCTGCCAATGCACTTGAAACGAGAAACAACAGGTTCGTCAGGAGTAGGGATACCCGACGACCGAAGTTTGTTACTGGCCCAGCCAATAAACAACCGAACGTCAGACCTATAAATACTGCAGTTGTAATAAGAGAGCCATACAAAACGCCATCGCTACAATCCACCATATGATTAGGGTCTTTCTTACACCAATCAAAATCAACAATAATGATCGCCTTAGATGTATTTAAAGAAGAAAAGCTATAGCCGAACTGAAAAGAACCCAGAACAGCCACTAGAACAAACTGGGCAGCTGCAGGTATGCAGCAACTCTTGGGAGTAAAACGAGGAGGAGGAACGTCGCCTAAGGCCTCAACCTCCTTCTTTGATGTTGCATCCATCTTCTCCATTGTTTGAAACAAAGAAAGACAACCCTCTTCAAGCTACAATACCAATAGACGTTCAAGAACGTGCCCTGTGCTGCCCAGCAACACCACCAGGCGCAGCAACAACAACAGCAGCAACTACAGCAGCAAATAGAGCCGCAGCAGCAGCCTGCCTACTTCTCCAAGTGGGCCTGTCGAAAGAGAGTACAAGTAGAACTCTCCCAGGTTAAGAAAGGACAGAAACAATCGTTGATGCAGCTTGTGAAGAAAATGAAAAGAAAGAGAAGAACGACTCCCGCAGCAATGACGAAAGGAAAGAAGAACCCCAAAAAATCTGAATAGGCGCAGAGGGCAGCAGCGGCAAGCAAGAGCAGCAGCCACCCACAGTCTCACCCACCCACCAGGGAGAGAGAGAAAGAGACACTAAATGGCAGCCCTCTGTAGAGGGCCCGGTATAACTACGTGAAGGTTATGTCCTTCTCGCTGCACTTTCGGCTGTATACTCACAACTAAACTGATTTGATGAACAACACAGAAGCAACGATGCGTCAGCACGAACCCAGCCTCCGAGAGCAAGCAGCCTGTGCAGCAGCAGCCTGTGCAGCAGCAGCACAGCAGCAGCAGCAGCAGACCCCTCGGCACCTCTGTACGCTTTCTAGCCCTGAGGCAGAACCCCTGATAATATGCCGCTACAACTGATAGACCTCTTTTGTATTTATTTGTTGTCTTACATCATTTTGCCCCCAGAAAGACTTTATTTAAATGGCAGACAGACGCACCTTCAGCCCTCTACGCCACCGTCTCTCCCTACTCAGGCCCTCCGCACGCAGTGCGGCGACCATCACCGGCTTTCTTGTCTCGCTCGAATCGCTTCCTTTGCTGTTGCCTGCAATAAATAGTTTTTAAATGTATTTATTATTATTAGAAACTAGAAATAAGACTGCAGAAAGCAGCAAAGCAACAATTTACAAGAAATTCATTAGCCGATACGCAGAGCAGCGGTGCAGACGGACGGCATGTAGACACATCGCTGGGCGCACTTAGCCAACCTCATATAGGGCGCCTGCTCTAAGCAGCCTTTCTTCCTTTTGAATAAAAATTAGCAAAAGTTTTCAACTTGTTCTAAAGATTTATGTCAATAATAGGCAGTATCCTCTGCTGGCGCCCCCAAACCTACAGGCTACAGGCAGGCTTGCCCCTGATTGCTCTCCCCGCACCGTCACTGCATAGGTGGGCCGTGTAGTGTCACAGGAGAAGCAGCGCTTCTTTAGTGAAATAGTTGCAGTCATATATACAATATTCCGAATATTGCAAGGCAATAACTCCTTTTCGCTGCTCTGTGGCAGAACTGCATTTCTTGGTTAACAGGGGGCCACCGTGCCGCTCGTGTATTCATGTATGTTGTTCTCTTGTAAGTTCGTGCGCGTATTACTTCACATAAAAACGTTATAGAGAGCTTTCTACTTAAATATTGAGAACCAAGTAAGTGCTTAGCGTTTGTCTGTGCCGCTTCTGAAATTGTCTTTGCAACGGGACTTCTTCATTTGGAAACGGACAACCGTCGTGTTACATTAATATCAAAATACCTTCGATAAGATGTTCGTATATCCTGCTGATCTTCTCCCCCATCACCTAGGCGCCCTCGGCGTAACGGTCTAAGGCCATGGGCTGGCGTGGAGAGGAACCGGAGCATCAAGAGTAATAACGCACCTTTCTGCAACCTCTTCTGCAACGCAAACATGAAACAACGATACATGAGAGTATACCCAAAAGCCCCTCTTTGGTGCATGAACTTTCAGTGTAGGCAATTCTTCAGCACTTTCATGTCCCTCAGTAGAGAGCCCGCGTGGAACGTGAATCCTTGATAGATACGCAGAGTAGCGTTGAGACCTGCATCAGAGTCCAAATGCTTTCGGTAAGATTTCGCAAACTCTGTTGGCCTCTCCTCCAGTCTCCAGGCGCCCAGAGTACAGTGTCACAATTGGCTGCGGATGGTGCTGAGAGGACAGGGCCTTGCGAGAGTGTCAACGTGCCTTGCTGCAACCTGTTCCGCATGTAAACCCAACTACGCCCGACTCTACTGCATGCACTAACACTGTTGACCAATTATAAGCGCCCATTCTGCCCTCGGTATGCAGCCTGCACGCAAATAAAATGGCCTGTCCTATTTCGGCAAGGCCATGCTATACTGCACTCATGGAAATGCACGTACAGATTTCAACTACATCTGCCACGCCTCTCTCTCCAAAGCACCGTATCCTGTTCCTGCTGCTCTGCTTGGTGCTGCCGTTGCTACAGTTTGTGTTGCTGGTGCTGCTGTTACCACTTCTCTCTTCCAGGCTGAAAGATCTGGTCTTGCCGAGAGTCCAATGTGCAGCAGAAAGGTTGCACCCCCTCACTGTATTTGCGGGTGTCAGATATACTTCACAGCATTTTTCAAGTACCTCCAGTGGCTCCTGACCATTAATAAGAATTTGGGAAAGCACAGAGCCCTGCCGTCACCTCTTGCGGCCACACCACGAGGCAGCACTTTGCGTGAGGGCAAGGGTGTCTCCGCGCTAGTCTTGCTTGCTCCCTTGACTGCGCTTGCCGAACTCCTGCTTCTTTAGTTCCTTAGCTGTTTTCATGCTTCTGTGCTCTCGAATGATGTGACCTTGTTTATTGCAAACAACTACAATGCACCCCTTGGGATCCTTCTTGGTCTTTCTGAGGGCCGAAGTTGCCCAGAGCCGTCGGCTCTTGCTTTTTTCGTTTTCCTGGTGGGCCTTTTTCACATCCCCAATATCCATTGCAACTGTTCCTGGGTTGGTTGCTAGCCCGCTCTCTCCGTCCAGCTAGGGAGGTAGAAACTGCGGTTTCCTCCTCTTTCATGCGTAAGTATTCCCCAATCACGCAACCCTTTCTCCCCTTACTTCCTTCTTTCCAATGGAGCCGGTTACCTACTTCCTCTCTTTGGGGAATAACCTTAAAATGAACCATTGATATGGAGGTTCAGAATCCATCGTTGGACTTCTGCTCGCGAAGGACTGGTACTTCCCGATGTAGCGGCTTATCTATATCTTACCCTGCTTAGGCTTGCCCAGTTTTGTTTCAGCATGTTCACTTGCCCACCTGAAGATAAGCGTCCGTCGCAGCGCAACTCAGCAGGCTTTAATATTACGGATATGCGCCGGAAAAGTTATATCCTTGCTCAGAAAAAACCACTCTTTCCATGCCTCCCCTTTCCAATGACGAAGATATCAATGGCCATTGTAGCTCTCCTGGTGCATTTTGGAGGCGGAAATACAACTCTAGAGGCACAAGGAACCCCTTCGCTGCCCCCTACATCGCGTCGTCCGTCATATCTGAACGGTCGGCACAGACATTCCTCACGAATTGAGGAATGGCCAGAGGAAAATGTCTGAAGACGTCTGCCTCTGGGTTCGATACAGGGGCTGAGCCGGTGTCAACTCGACGATGCTCTCCTCGACTGGTGATCTGAAAGCCGATCTTGATGGAGCCCCACAATGAAAAAGGAGAAAACGGGCCGAGGTTTTGACGAAGATATTGAAGAGAGTACCTAATGTTTTTTTCTTCTCATCTACATGAACTTTCAAGCCATTTTTCAATGAGCTACTAATCACCTTTGTGCACCTATCCGCATTGCTGTGGAGAGAGGGTTCGTTGCGCCCCCCCATCCCGATGAGCCATTCGGTGCAACCGAGTGTAACGGAGAGTCCACTGTCTTAAGCGAGGACCCTAATGAGCCGCAATAGTGCCACCCGGCATAAGAAGGATGTGTTCCAAAAGCATAGGAACACCGCTTCAATGCCCAGGCGTCCTAAGCGTAGCGATCACTGACCAGGGAGCTGTTGCGGAGAGGAGCAGGCCGGTCATGAGCTGCAATGCACCTCGCTACTACTAAAGCTGCAAACACAACTAAACCACCACCTGTGCATGCATCAACACTTTAGGTTGTTGTCAAACACTTAGTTGGCCATGGCCCTCCATAGCCAGCCTCCACCGCGGCTCAAGGGCCTGTAACTGATGAGGAAAGCAAGCGGCTTGCCGTAAGCTGCAACGCGTCCTGCAGCAACTCCTGGTGAAAGGAAACCATGCGTGCAGGCGCAGCCAACCCCCCCTCTGGTGCAAGCAGTAAAAATGTGGATATTTGTTTAACGCGTCCATAGCCATTAGTAGCCGGGCTGCACGCAAGTACAGGTTTGGGTTAAAAGTTCAGGAAGGTCACACCTTTCCTAGATAGACGGACACATTGCTCAACCATCATAACTGCCGCCGCCTCCTTGCAGCGCTGTGTGTTTGCTGAGAAGTGACCGACTGTAAGATTGGCCACTCATCTGAGAAATGTGGGCCATTGCTCAGCCAGTGGGGTTTAGAAACCCCCAGAGCCCAATCCTTTCCGCAAATTATATCACATCTACGTTAAGGGGGTTTGTATTAACCGTTTCCTTCTGCCCTGGAACGCGGGCGTTGGGGTTGCCTTTTCCATTGTGCTCGTCGCATCCCTACTTCGGGCAAAACCCGGTTGCTCTATTCTTCTTCCTGAAGTGGTTCGAGACCTTGTCTATTCTACTGACTCTATTGAACTTATTTATTAGACGTATTTTTGGTGCTCTGCTTTGTTTGCCAAGCAGTTCCCGGGCGCCATGACACTGTCGGGAAATGCACTGTGTTGCAACGATGGCAAGTGTCTCCTTCTGCAATGGCAGGCGGGGGTAGAGAATCTGCCAAGAAATGCAGCTTGACACAAAAACCGCCCTTCTAAAAAAGCAAATGGAAGAGATGGAGTACGAGAATTATGTCCACAGTCGTGCTTTATAATCTCCAAACGTTAGGCGCCGCGTATAGACGTGCAGGCCCGTTGTGCCGGGAGCATCGACCCCTATCTCCACTGCACGCTGCCACGTCGGGCGTTGGAGAGAAATTAATTCAAGCGTTCACCTTATTTCAGAAAAAGTTTTTTAATTGTTTTATTTTCTTCTTATTTACTGCCCCGACCGGCGTAAGTTCATTCAGTGACCTCCTTGCTTGGCGGCATGCTGTTCTGATGCGTGCAGCTGCGAGTTTCTGTTTTATAATAGCACGAGTCTTATAGAAGCTCGTTCCTCTATCGCTGATGGGTGAAAATACATCATCTATAGAGAAGGTTGGGAGGGGTGTCAACCTGTCGTCAGAGCACGAGCAGCAGCTAGGCGCACTGCAGGGCTCTGTACTTTCCACAGCATCTTCTTACGCAAATGTGGCTGTGGGCCACCAACGTATGGTCGCACCTACTCCTGAAAATGAGGAGGTCCCTCATGCAGTGTTCTCAGATCACACGAAGTATCGTTTTCAAGCCCAAACTCCCTCCGCCCTTCTATGGCCCATTCTTGCCTTTTTTTTGGGGGCGTTGGCTCTCGCGTCTGTTTGCAACTCTGTGCGAAACAGCACTGCGAAGTTGGGTCTTGGCGTTCGGCGGCTGGCAAGTAAAGACAATGAAGAACAGGATGACGCACTTGATGATCTCGAAGTGCTCTGCCACCAGTTAGGCGACTGGATGCCACAAGTTCCCTCAGGTGGTGGAGAGCGTTCGTCACCGTCTATTGTAGAGCATGTTTTGTTGGGTTTAAAAAAATACGATGACCCTCCTCCGACACCTTTCCTTGGAGTGACGGCACGAACAATCAAGATTTTGGAAACTGATTACGATGGAAATGAAAGTGATGATCAGGCCAGCGAACCCTACCCGAAACGATTCAAATATTCGTTTGATCCGGAGCCTTACCCTCCGGAATTGACGCATCAACCAATGCAGGTACTGAATCCTGGGCAGCATCCCTCTTGGGCGCCTGCCACGGATTCCTCTGCAACTTTTCCGAGCCATCCTCCTGACTCTCAGCAGCCAACTTCTTCCCAAAACGTGCAGACAATGGTACCTCAAGGGTATGCACACCAAGAAGGGCAACTGCTGCCCAGTCGTGTTGCTCTGACTGAAGCCGAACAGCTCGGCACGCCTCCGGCAACTTCAAGTGGGGTGGCACAAATGAAGTGGTATTACGTTGCCAGTGGTGATGGTTGTGATGAGGATGATGAGGATGATGATGCTGCTGCTGATGATGATGGTGGTGGTGATGGCGCGGGCCCAGGACCCAGCTCAGAACTATTCGAGTTTTCGAGTGGTCCGGATCTGGAGCCTCCCCTGACAGGGCAGCACCAAACAACGCAGCTTTCGAATCTTCAAGATCTCTCTGGGGTGGTTGGCAACTCACTTGCTGAAGATGCTTGGCTCCACCTTCCCGAAGCTCAGAATCCAAGTCATTCCCAAGGCGCCCAGGCACAGGCGGCCGAGTTGCTTGGGTCAACATCTGGAAGTTTCTCTTCAACGACGCCCACAGGCAGTCAAATGCAGTGGCAATTTGTAGATGTGGTGCAGGATCCTGACGGGACAGGCCTTCCGCTGCCCACCCAATCGTTGCAGCATCTGTCGACAGCCGAACTGCAAGCGAGTTCAGTGGAGTCACAGTCAGAGACAAGCGCGCAACTCACGGACATTTCCAATTACACCCACCAGTTTTTTTCTTCACTGCTTCAACGTGTACTGAGCAGCTCTTCTCTTGGTTGTCCCAACTGCACTGGCACCCATCAAGAGGGCAGCGACGAGAACTCTGCCACAGCCTCCAGCGGCACTGGCATCCAACAAGAGAGCAGCAAGGAAGACCCTGCCACAGCCTCCAGCGGCACTGGCACTTATCAAGAGGGCAAGAACGACGACTCTGCCACAGCCTCCAGCGGCAGTGGCACCCATCAAGAGGGCAGCAACGACGACTCTGCCACGGCCTCCAGCGGCAGTGGCACCCATCAAGAGGGCAGCAACAAGGACTCTGCAACAGCCTCCAGCGGCAGTGGCACCCACCAAGAGGGCAACAATCAGGACTCTGCAACAGCATCCAGCGGCTCGGCAACTCTCAAAGACCTACTCAAAAGCAAGAAACCAAAGCAAGCAACAAAGCGCAGTGCTTCACAAGGCGAAGGCGAGACAACCGTCAAACAGACTTTTCCTCGGCTTCCCACAGTGAGATGCAAGGTGAGTATTCCGCACTCTAGTGTGAGGTCGCCCGAACTTCCGTCGCACACTCCGTGTTACCTCGCCCGCGAGCTTTTACGCGTATGGCGTATCTGCAATAAGCGTAGCATCTATCAGAGAGATGTGGAGCGTTTACTGCGGCAAGCGGGCAAATTGGCCAAGCACGCTCAAGATCTGATGGCCTCCCCTCTCAAGCAGACTCCCACGGAGGCCGTCGACCAATTGGGGCGCCGGTTGCTGTTGCTTGAAGCGATGTACTCGATCAAGAAGGTCCTAGGACCTCGCGTGCAGTGGGATGCGTGGTGGAGATACTTCACCGCCGGAATCCCCTCGGACTACTGCAGGCCTTTGCCAGAGAAGCATCGCCAGTTATCACGAACTCTACACAATCTTGCCTTGGAGCTCAGCATCGCCGTGATGAAGTACAAAATTGGCGACGCCCCTTCACCGGAAGAAGTTGCGACCCTCAAGGAAAAGTTGTTTACAGGAGAGACAGCCACTAGTCACTTCCGTAGGGAGGAGTGGGACGCCTGGCGGCCCGAAGGACAAAGCTCCACATGACGCCATGCCATCAATGCATTTATCTCGTGCTCTCGCTCCGCATCGTTGCCCACAAGGAGCATGTTCCCCATGGAGCAAAGGCTACGCAAAATCCCTGCTTCAGCGAAGCGTATTTTTTCTCTGGGATATCATTTCATTCATTTTATCTCCCGCCGATCCCAGGCGTTGTTTATTTTAGATGGTCAAACGCAAGCTTTTTCGGCTTCTTTCACCCACTTGAGCTCTTGAAGAGCTCAGCGGGTTTATTATTTTATGGCACAGAACCAGGGGCCCGTGGCTACCGCGGTAGCGCGCCGACCTACAGAAGTTCCACCCGAAGCCCAACAACGTTTTTGCCAGATACTCAGGCACTTGGTTTTTATGCTTTCCAATGTGATCTAGACCAAATGGTCCACGGACAGAAGGGCGTACCGCCACCATCCCCCTCCCCCCGCCCCCACAACGGCTAGTCAGGAGTCTGGGAATGTAATCACGCAGTCTCTCGCCTATTGTTACAAAGCAACAAAAAACGAAACTACGTACTATCAGAAGAACACATGACGACTCTACGTGAGGCCCATTAACAGCACACGGGCGGGCATATTGTTGAGTAAGTGCAATGAGTTTGTTGCAAATAAGCCACGCTCACTGTCAGGGCTACTGCTCTTGCTGTCTAGCCACTGTAGCAGATGCAGCAAGTGCGAAATGTTCTTCTGTCTGAGTTCCTGTTACTGTAGAGCAACAACCAGAGGCGATCCACCGTCTGCCCGGGAGGGTGCGGCTGCCATGAGCACTTCGCCTGCTGCGCCAGGCTGTCCTCCTGCCGACCAGCAATGAGCAGAAACCAACTTTAGCACACCTCCGAGATGAAAGTAAAGACACGAGCAACCGCTGCTGCCGCTCCTTAATAACAGTAGTGCCTCCGCGTGAAGTCACAGTAGCTGTACAGACGGAGGTTGCTGCTGAGAGCTGCAGCGGCGTTCAGTCACGCTGCTGTTGCTGAGTGCAAGCCTGGAGCCTCTCCCCGTTGCGGTAATGCCGCTGGGATGCTCGAGCCGCAACAGCAGCGGCAGTCCTTGGGCAGCAAGTTGGCTGACCTGAAACCTTTGCTCAACAATTTTGCTGCCTCCGGGAGGTGCTTTGGTGCCAACCGCTCACGAGGAGCAGCTATTGCTCTGTAGACGGAAGAGAACCAATCATCTGGGGGGTCCCTCATTCTGGTTCCATAGAGGACAGGACGAAGGACGGGCACAAACAGCAGGAGCTCCTGCTGTTTGCTTCCTTGGCTCAACACCAACACTGCCATTCTCAGCGGCAGCATCGGAGTAGTCCGAGGCAGCACCAACAGACCGGCAGGCAGGAAGTGGGAGGAGCACGACAACACTAACAGCAGCACTAAGAGCAGCCTCGCTGCCCCTTGCAGCTGTAGCAGCTGAGTCTCTAAGTGACAGCGCAGGTAGCCCCTGCGCACTGCGAAAGGCCAGCTCCCAGCTCCACCAGGCAGCCTGCAGAAACGGGCAGCGGCTGGGACTCCCTCCAGCAGCAGCCCACTCTAGGCCATAGCCGTCTCGGAGGCCCTCCCCCATAGCTCTCAGAGGAGGCCTGCAGTGACTCGGACGCTTCGTGTCTTCTCTACAAAGGAGGGATACTCGCCGCGCCTGCAGACAACCAACAGTAGCATCAAGTGCATGCAAGACAGAACGGAAGAACTCCTTCCTGTACACTCTTTGTTCACTTGGCTGCCTGAAAACTAGGGTATCTTGCCACACACACAAGAGCACGCCAAACGAGAGCACAAAAAAGACAGACACTTGCCGTAGGCTGTTGCATGCGTTCTATTCTGCAGAACTGTCTACTTCAAATCTCTGCGGATACATCCAAAACAAGCCCAAGGCTTCCAAGAACTGACCAAAGGTCTGGTGAGACGGGGTGCAGTTGGATGCAGGAGGCATCAGAGCCAATCCTCCCATTCCTGGAAGCATCGTCATGGGCTGCATGCTGTAGTCAGGTACATAATCATTGGGGGCGCTCTGCTGCAACTGCTGCTGCTGCTGCTGCTGCTTGTCCAGCTGGTCGAGCCGTGTGTTTACGTCACGCACTACCTGTCACGCAGATCATTGCAACCAGATTTCCGCAGCAGCTCCAGCAGCGGCAGAACGCGATTCGTAGCCCTACAGCCTCACCAGTTATCATACTGCGGCTTTCTACCGGCCGTGGCACCCTTACGTGGATAAGGTAAGGCATGATAAAGTCCACCACTTTGTGGCGCCATGCTAACTCCAGTGCCACGTCCGGCTTCACAAGGTCACAGCAAGTGTGAAGGCAGGCAGCGAACGCCTCGGGGTCTTTCAAATCCGTTAACAAGTACCTGCAGATGGGAGGCCCACCAACGAATACCGCTTGGCCTAGTAGCTACCGGTAAGTGCCATTCAAGAATGCTTCAGGGTCCATACGAGGTGTAAATAACCTCCCCAGGCAATTCATATCGACTACGGATTACCACTGCAATTCCCGTGTCGAAGGGTGCATGGCAATGCATACTGAGTATTGCGTAGTCACAACTCCACGTGCATGGGACACATAGCATGAAATGTGCACAAGGATCCGGCTTACTTCAGCAAGTCTTCCACTAGCTGGGCGCTGCCTGACTCCTTAGCAGTTTCAATGCAGTCTTGAAGCTGTGCGTCTTTCTTGGAAAGTTCGATCGCCAGGGAGTACTTCTTGTTCTTCTGATACAAGAGCGCTGCAATCCTGAAACGCAGCATCTCGCCGTATGCAGAAAGCCGTTGGACTGATATAGCAAGCGTTGCGACTGCATGCAGCTGCTATTCACAAAAGCCTGTTATTGCTGCATCTCTCAATGGTTTAGCTTTGGGTTTGGACAGGGTGCTCCGCCTCCCCGGTCAGCACGCAGGACGAAGCTGGCCGACACCCGCCCCTCACGAGCAAAATTCCAGAGCACCTGACGGGCAAGACCATCTTTGCCTAACCTACATCCTGAAACCGTCAGTCGCAAACCCAGATAAAAGCATCGAAGGCTAACCTGCGCATGCCAAGTTCACTGTGCCCCTCCAGTTGCTTTGCCAGGCCCAACTGGTCGAAGTTATCGCACTCGGAGATTAGCTCTCGAATGCGCTCTTCATCTTGGGCTTCGACGAGGAGTTCCAACATGGCTTCGTTGACTGCTGCAATATTAAGAGGAAGCTGCTCCTGTAGATACTTTTCTATCAAGGGGAGATGTCCCGCCTTGCGCAGTTGCTGTACTACCCTCGAGTGGTCCACTTTCCGGTCAATGCCCTTGAGCAGCGCGCACAGTTGCAGCGGATGCTCTTCCAAGTAAAACGAAATCGCACGGTAGAGCAACTCCACATTGGAGACCTTCTGTACGACCTGAGGCACCCGCACACCGAGATCAACACCACCGAGATCTACAGACCACAAAGTTGGGTAGCGAGCGTCGCTACTTTTGCTTTGTCTTTCTTGATCACGACTCCTCAACTCGTTCCCGATCCCGTCGGCGCTTCTATGGCAAATGCTGAATGACCTTTCGCATTTTGCCGCCCTGCATGCGAAGGCTGTGGCCGGAGACTGCAGACGGGCAGCGAGAGACAAACCTGGATGAATTGGTCATGTTGCCACGCCGTGGGATGGAGGATCATGCAGTTTGCCGCCTGCTCGTACTCGTCGTACATGGTGTGTAGATACACCGCTTCCTTCCAAAGACAGCACTTCTCGCAGGTCCGAATAAGTCGGGGGATGTTCATGCGTGCCTTGTGCTGCTTACAGTGATCCATAAGTTTGGCGCTGTCGTATGTCGCATACAGCACTCCCAGCTCAGTGAAGAGCCCCACGTGCGTCCGCTCCCCTTGAGCTCCTGTTTCCTGAAGGAGTGCAACCAGAAAATGCAGACCCTCCACGCCCATCACAGCACCGTGACATCACCTCTGTCAAGGCATGTCTCTACGAAAGCGCTCGAGCTCACCAGAAGCTCCATAAGCTGCTTATGCAAACCCCATCTCTCGTACTCCTCAACCAAAGCGTCGAGCAGGTCAGGATGGGCAATAAGCTGGAGCCCAGCTGTGTGGGCGCACTTTATGTCTCCTTCATTCAAGGCCCCAAAAGCCACCTCCTTCCAAGTCTTGGGGTTCTTTGCCTTTCGCGCAGCATCCACAGCCGCCCCAAAGTCCTTCATCCGCACAAAGCAGCTCGCCAGCTTGCTGTAGTTTGGCAGACTCTGGTACAAGATCTTCGAAGCCTAAGGAAAAGGGAGAACAGCACAGCAGGTACGCTTTCTAGCGTCTCAAGCACATCCTCTTACGTAATACAAAATAGGCAACAGCACAAAAAGTCCCCTTCGTGTTGGTACAACAAACGACGCCGTGAGGAGTCGGAAGAGCCTTATGGGCCTGCACAAGGCACTCGGCGTCCAGCTGGCGTACTTGATAGCGACCCTGCTCGAAGAGCCTATCCCCCACAGCCTGAACGTTGGCAGTGTTGGGCCCGTTGAGGAACATCTCCAGGTCCTCGAGTCTCTCAGTCATCGCGTAGGAGTAGAGCAGCTCCGAATCCAGAGTCTGGTCCTTGATAGTAATGCTTTTGCGAGCCATGAGCAGGTAATCCGCCAAAGCCTCGAAGGCCCCTTGCTCAGTTGCCTTCTCAACAACCTCCTTGAACACTTCACCGTCGTTGGCCTTAATCAAGGAATCCACAGCCTCCACCACACGAGCCTGCCGCAGCTGCGCTCTCCCCAGTTTGCGCCACACCTCCGCACTGCCGCAGCGCTGAGCAAATTCTTGGGCTCTTTCGAGTTCCTGCTCGCCCCCCCCAGCAGCGGCTTCCAGCAATGTGTCTGCTGCCTCCGCCAGCAACCCAAACTTCCTATATATCGTCAACGCCTCCTCTCGCAGGCCGTTTTCCAGGGCCACCTGTGCAATCGCCGCGCCGTCAAAATTCTGTAGCCGGTTTATGTATCCCATGACGCGTGAAGGTTCTGCTTTGATGGCTGTCAAAATGAGCAGGTTCTGCAAGTTCTGGTTCGAGCTGAAGTCGCTGTTGTGCAACACAATCTTCTCCAGCAGCTCCGTCAGCTCCTGTGGCAGCTGTGCGCTGATGAAAGCATTTACTGCCGCAGACACCTCGTCTGCAGAAGATGACTCTGGAAGGGCTGAGGAGACCACCTGGTCTATCACCGACCGCCGATAGTTATTCTCGGGCCTCAAAACGTAGGCCCACAGTTCCGCGCACTGACGCTCCACGAGGTATCTGCATGCACGCAGGACACAGGCAAAAACGCTAGGAAGAAAACCACTTGTTTTTTCTTTGGTGCACGCGCAGGTTGAGGAAGAGTTACCTGGCTTGGAGCCGGAAGAGGCCGTTCTTGTTTGTAAGCTCCACCAGCTGCGTGTCACATGGTCCCCAAGCTCTCTTGTACGCAATGAACGCCAAATGGGGGTCCCTTTCTTCGCAGTACCTCCCCACCTCCATTGAATCATAAAAAGCATTCGTCTTCAAAAAGTTCTCCGCATCGCTGCGGGCACCAAGGGCGTACAAAATATCAATTCCGCCTAACACCAAATAACTGGTCCCTAACCTTATCTAAGGATGCAAAGGCTACTCGAACCCGTTAGTAAGTACTGCAGACTAGTGGGCGCTGCAGCTGCTATTTCGCCTCCCAGAAGCACAATAACTCTTCTACCCTACGGCATATCCCCAACTAGTGAAAGGAACATTTTCGCATCTGCTTCCATGACTGGGTAGTGTTAAGATGTCTACTCAGCTCGTTAACTTCAAGCGGATCCTTACCGGTTTGTATCGATAAATATCTTGGCCAGGGCATTGTGAACTGCTGGGTCCTGGTTGCCCTCCGCCACGCGCTGCTCAAGCCACTGCAACAACAGCCTCAGCCTGTTCCTCTTCTCGACCTCCTCTACGAGTTGCGCGGCGCTGCAGTTCCCGCGGACTGCTTGAAGTAGCTGCTTGATGAAGTCCTCTGGGGCGTCTAGGTCCACGAGCGCCCCCACCACCAGCGGGGCGTTCGCCGCATTCACGCGAGAGACGTACACCTCAATGTACCGCAGCAAGGCGTGTTTGTACAGGTACTCTGTCAGCTCGACCACAAAGCCATGCAGGTCGCAGACGTATATCAAAGGCCTGGGGTCGCTAAGCTTGGCTTGCTGCAATTGACCGCAACGGAAGACAGACGCAATCCGAAAATAGCCTACACGCTGAGAAAGCGAAAGGGCCTGTAGCTGGGGCCCCACACTTGTGATATGCGGAGACATAGGGATGCTTGCTGCATCCAGCGGCAACCAAGGAAACCCATGCGGAAAGAAGCGCCACAAAACGCTACGTGGGGCATGCGTCTAGATCCAAGTGCAATCTTCACGAGGAAACTCGGAAAGCACCGCCAAAAACCTCAAAACGAAATGCATGCGCAGCTTACCTTGAGGAATTCCTTGACGCGCTGCGGCTCGTAATGCTTGCTTTCTCTGCAGACTCGCTCGACCTCCTGTGTGTGGTTTAGTTTCGCTGCCGCCTCGATGTACTTGAAGTGGACCTCTGGGTCTGTGGAGAAGGCCAGGATGGAGCCTAAAAAGTAGAAGATGCCTTCGTAGCTGCTGAAACGCTCGAACATGGCAATTAAACGTTCTGTGCCTAGCTGTTCGTGGAACTTGATGGCCACGCCTACCACGGCCTGCAGGTTCTGAGATGAAGAGCGCAGCATATCCGTCAAGATCTCCACACACACATCGGGGGCCATGCGGCCAAAGAACTGCGCCATCCATTCCTGCGATATCTTGCCTCCCGTTTGCAACAGCACGCGCTTCACATCTGCCAGCTCCGTGTAGTTCTCCAGAGCGCGCTGGTACAGCCCTGCCGCCTCACACAGCGCCCCCACTTTTTGCCGGTCGTAGTGAGTAAGCATTTCCATTTGGAATATGGCCTCCGCCACTTGCGGGGAATGCTTCAGGTTTATTTCAAAAAGCCGGGTCTGAAGGGGCCCTTGCTCTGGCTTGTTACCCTTCAGGTACTCCAGCAACAGCGAAGACAACTCTTGAAAGCGCTGCTGCTGCAAAAGAACATCGACCACTTGGTTGGGGTCTACAAGCGGAGGTTCCGTGGCAAGCAATTTCTGAGCAAACGCCATGGCGCCCTCCGGATTGGTCGCCAGCATCGAACGCAGCAACGCCGAGTAGTCCGCCTGCATGCGAGTCTGCGCTGCGTACTCCAACAGCTCATCGGTCTTACCTTGCTCCACCAGCATGAGCATAACCTTCTGGCCAGCCTTGGCCTTTTTGTATACCTGAGTGGCGAGCGCTGCATCCAGAGGCCTCAGCACATCCCCAAGCTCCTCTGTACACTCTAGTTTGTCTTCTCGCAGCCATGTCGTCACGAAGTCCTTCCTTCCTTGGGCCACCACCGGGCGCACCAGTTCCAAACTCTCCACTGCATTCAAAGATCCGTATTCCAGGAGGGTTGAGAAGTACAGCAAGATGGCGGATGTCTGTCCTGGCTGTGCCGGGACACCCTTAAACTGCTGCAACACTTGTGGCGTCCGCAGGCGCCCCGACTTAAGCGTGGCACAGATGCGCGCAGCTCCCCGGTAGTCGCCGCTAGCAAAGTGCTGGTTAAAGGCCTGCATGCATGCCACACACCTGGCGCCGCAGAAGCCTGCCCTGGAGGCCCCAAAGAGTTGCTACCCTCTCAAGAAGCCAGCCTCAAGCCGCAAGAAGCGGAGGCAGCCGACCAAATGCATGGTCAAAAGGCGTACGTATGGCCACGCGATAGCAACAACGAGCGCACAAAAACAGGAATGAGGCTAGTATGCGCAGCATGCACGCTCACCTGAACAAGAGCGTCGTCAGCCCCCGGGAGGCCGTAGCGCTTCGCCAAACTCAGGTATATTTGGGCTCTGTTTGGCAGGTGGGGCAAAGCATGTTGCATGTAGGGACCCAGCAATCCCACGTTTACGGTTGTAAGCGCCACCACGCCCTTCTTGTGGACGGTGATGACGCCTCCTGTTTGAGGAGAATCCGCAGTGAGAAATACGGGGTCTTGGGAAATCCGGTGTCTCAACAGCTGGGTGCCGGTGAAGGCGTCAAAGAGCAGAAGGAAACCGCCCTTAGTGACTAAGAACACGAGGCCGAGCTTCTTGCTGAGATGTACGGCGAGTGGGAAGTCCGAAGGCGCATCTGGAGATAGGCTGATGTCTGCACATACGCGAAGGGGAGGCTTGCCGTCTTCTCTCTTGGGAGCCAAGTCCCTGACATGGAGTTTAAACTCAGGGCTTCCTCTCTTTTTCTCAGCAAAGCAAATAACTGGCTGAGGGCCCAGCGCCTCATCCACCACCAGCCCCCCGAAACAGGCCGCGTGCCCCTCCAGCTGCTGGTGTTTCTTCAGCTCCATAGAATACAGCTGCAGTGAGCCATCGATCGTCTTGCCTCCGTCTTGCGTACTGATGCCTGTGAGTACGCACCACTTCATTTCTTTGTCCGTGGAGTACCCGATGATCTGCACGCCCTCCGCGAGTCGGCCTTCTCTCTCGCAGATCTTCTGAGGCTCCCCCGCCTCCGCCCCCTCTCCCAAAGTCCAGTGCCAAACAGCCTTGTCCGTGACTAAGGCCAGCACGCGGGGAGCCACCCACCGCCAGTATACAATTGATTCCGACATAGGGGCTGTGCCCATCCGTGCCTTCGTCTCCAGGTTCAGCACCTGCACTACTTGCTGCCCCCCATCTGCCTTTGCACGCAGAGCAACGATGGGGTCCGTTGGGTGGTGCAGCGCTGCCTCCGCCTGCGTCGGCTTCTTGGTCACAGAGTAAGCGCCAGAGCTCCCTGGGGCCTCCAAGGCCTCCTTCGGGTTAAGCGACACAAAGTATAACTCGTTGCTCTCCACATCACGCACCACCAAATGCTTGTCGCCGTCCACTGCCACATTGCCAAACCGAAAGGACGCGCTCTTCACACCCGTGTCCCCAAGCTGCACCCCCCAACACAAACATACATACAGGCGCACTCAAGCGCCCCTCCAGCATCCCACGCACACCGTGACAAAGCCCGTCTACAGAGAACAGGCTTCGCCGCCGCACGTGGCAGCTACGACCCATAGTAACAAAGGAAGAAACGCACTGCGTTCTCCTGAAGGCACGGCCACATCAAGTGCATGTATATGAAAAGGAGACGTGAGGCCTTACGTTGACAATGGGGGTCAGCTGTACAGGCAGCTGCTGCGCCATCTTGTGGATAGAACCTCAAACAAACCCGATGCAGATGTTGGCTGCATTCCGCACAATCACAAGCCAGACATCCTGCAGATTAGGTTGCATAAACTTTCACCTTCGGACACTCAAAAACGCGCATAGCATTTTTCCCTTGGCAGCACATAGCAAGGGCGACCACTGCAGCTGATGAATGGGGTCCGCCTGCCCCAGTCTTGAGAGTCGGCGGGCGTCGGGCGGCAGAACTGTTCCCTGAGCTGCTCTCGCCGCGCCAACTCCTAAGTTGCATCTCAGCACAGGCTCTGCACAAGAGTCAAATACAGGGCCCATTTAGGTGTGCGAAGAAGCAAACGAAACTCCACGGGCCGCTCATCCTTAACGGCCGTCGCTCTCGTGTCTGGGCGAAACGAGTGTTTCCCTTGAGGGAGAGCCGCCACCAGAGCACCCAAAAAAAGGACACCAGGGTGTACTTCGATGCAGGTGGACAAATACTCACTCTTGAACGCAGCCTGTTAGGCGGCGAGGCGCCGGGAGGAACCGGAGGACGGCCTGTAGTGCCTGGCACTACAGTGTGCCTGGAATTTTGAAAGGAAAGTCACAAACACAATAGGAAGATGAAATAAGACAGAATTGAGCCTGCTTGCCCCTCTCTAGAGGGATTAGCTTGATCCTAGTTCCAACAAGGCACACGTGAGTGTTTGGGGCTGGCTGAGACTGCGTGCATCGCGCAGAAATGGGTTTGGAAGAGCGGTTCGTTCCCAAAAATCATCAGAAAGGCCGACTCATGTAAGTCATCTTTTGTGTCTTTTCACACGCAGTGAGATTTTGGGTGTATTTGGTGCGTGCACCTGGAACTGCCGTGTGCCGAAGTTGCTCTAATGTGAGACGGACGTGTTTCTGTGGATGTTACACTTGTGTAGAGTGAATCTGTATCTGGTAGTGACCTTGAGTCTGTCGCCAACATAGGAGCGGAGGTTCCCACCGTGGCTTCCTCCCCTGCTGCTACCTCGTGTATGCAAGGGATACGGTCCTGCTGCGAGCCTCTAGTGCTGGGAGTTTTGCCTGTATTGAGCCAATTCTGGCTCATTCAGCTCTCTGTTTCTTCTATTTGTATTTAAAATGCCCGGCTTTTCGATTTCCTCTACGTGAAATTTTGATTCTAGCCTCCTCTCGGTGGGACTGTTGGTGGGTGAGCGCTCCCAAGGTGCCCATTTCGGTTAGAAATACTTGGCGTTCTCCTCAGCTAATTGTCAATTTATTTCAGACTAGCTTTGTGATTCCCAGACGGGCAGCGGGCCCCCCTGTAACGAGAGTCGGCAACTTATAGGGAAGACATGGGGAGCCACTTTGGAAGTCCAAGTAAGCCAAAAATTCCGGAGGAGCAGCTTACTTCTACTGTAGTTCCCACTCACCCTGGGCACAACGGCACGAACTCCTGGGGCTGGTGGGGAGAGTAAACGGTGCCTCCTGAGCGAGGCAACCTTTCGTGCAAACGAATCCAAGGCCCGCTTGTTATGCCAGCACAAACACTGTACGCAGTTGTTGAACACTTCCTTGGCAATCAGCAACAAACCTGCATGCAAATAGAAGTACACCTATCAACTGCATATAGACAGTGTCGCATGGGCCTTCCCTGTCCCACGAAACAGCACAACAAATGGTATGTGTGGCTGCCCAACGAGGGGCGGTGGTGCCAAGGCAGAGAAGAGCGCTGAAAGGGAGGTGAGCCCCGAACACGGGAAAAATATTTTTTGATCTACGAAGATGACGAGCGGCATCTGCCGCTGCTGTGTATTTATGCTGCTGGCGCTGGCGACCGAACCTCTCTGCGGCGCCACGGCTGAAGCCTTTGCCTTGTGCTTGCGTTAGAAGCAGTCTTCTAGTACTCGCATCCAAACCCACTAAAGAGATGCAGTGAACCACCTCCGGCATGGAAGATCAGTACTATCGTGAGCAATGGTTCAGGACAGCGCCAAAAGGGGGACTGTAGCAAGGACTGTCTGTTATTGTCTGTACTTACGTGCAGGCTGGCTGTTAAGGGCCATGAAAGTATTTTAATGCAGGTATACAGCGTTAGCCCATGCATCAAAGGGAGGCTTATGTACACCTGCATTTGCCTTACAACAGAAGTTAGATCAAAGTGCCTTGAATACCTTTGTGGGGGGGCTCCTCTCCGCACTAGCCGCAGGCCCTTGGGCCGGTGTATCCAGAATGCGGAGAGACTGGAGGGGAGATTCAAGACGAAATTTCGCTTCAAGACGAGATTTCGCTAGAAGCGAAATCTTGTCTTGAAACTTTAGATGGTAGTGCCGCTCACGACATTCCTGTGCAAAGGTGGAGGAACCCCGTCACAGCGGTCCAGGCACCGTAATATATAAAAATGAGTGTGTAGTCGGCGCAGCAGCACCTAATTAGCCACAGGTAGACAGACGGGCATAAATCACAGCAGAGTCAGCAGAATAATTAACTCCCGCGAGTGCGTCGTTTAGAAGGTGTGAGCCCTTCTATACATGTGCCAGAGCAACCAACAACAAAAGGTAGGCCCCACTTTACCCCACACTGCGGACGCCCACGCTTGAAATCTCCGCTGCAGAGTTGAAGATGGCCCGTGCATATTTTCTCCACTTGTTGTCTTTCTGACAGAGCACCAACAGAGCCATTGTTTCACTGCTCCTGGTTGTTCAAAAGAAGGGTTCGTCGAAATCAGGGTTCGAGGCAATGTCACGTGCCTGGAAGGAGTTGTACAGCCTTCCTCTTCTGTATCTGTCCAGGTTTGTCCCTCTCCATCCGCTAGAGGGGAAACAATGGTAGCCCTTTCTGCGATAAAGTTGCGATAGTAGGACACGAGATGAAGGACCTTCTGAACCTCCGTGCGAGTAAGCAGGGGAAGCGGCCACGCCCGAATGGGCTCTACCGTTGCTAAATCTTGAGTTTTGCTGCGGAAGGGCGAGACGCGAAGAGGCCAATTGCTTGCATGGAAAAGATCGCTGCTGCGCTCCTCCAGAACGGTGCTTCTTAGGCAGCGCATACCGCAGGAGCTGGAAGAGCTCCCGTACGTCCCGGCTGAATGCAATAGCGTCATTTTTGCATCTAAACATTCATCCCTAAAAGAAAAGGAGCAGCCTGTCGCTACAGTTTGGCAAGCGCATTGAGGATCCCAAAGGGGATGCAGATGTACTCTGCTTTACTAGGGAGGTTGCAGACCTCAGTCTTGTGTCTTTCTCCGGGATGTACAGGAATACAAAAGTGTATCAGCGAAGATGAGTCATAAAAATTTTGCTCGAACTAGCAAGCGGTTAGTTAGTTCGTCGACCCGCTGCATTGGAAACTTTCGCTTCAGTGTGATTTTTCTTGACGTGCTCAAATTCGAACCTCATATGCACTTACAAATCAATTTTGTTCCAAATGCGATCTTCATGTGCAGCTCTGAACACGGCTTGGGGCCGGTTGGCGAGTTATTTCGATGCGGTGCACTGGGTGGGCGTCCAGCGGTGGCCTCTTCGCTGGGAGCTCTCTGTCAATCCCATTGACTACGCGAGAGAATACTTGCCCACTCTTGCTGTTCCTCTGGTTTGATTGGGCCTATTACCCCGAAATCACGGGATTGGTAAAACAGCGGCGGAGTGCATGTATTTCTCCGTCGTGTCGAGCAGTGCCTCTACACTGCGTTGGTGTCCTTATTGTTGACACACTGATTCCATTCGCCTCGCTACAGAAGATTCAACAGCTGTTACGGACGCCAATAGATGCACTTTCTCAGTAATTTCTAGCATATGGACCTTAATAGTGTCGGTTGGAGGCCTCAATCGCTCCCTCGGCTGACTCCACCACCAGGTGCCTAGCAGTATGTTATGGTGGACTGGTCTCAATGCAAACCCAGTACCATGGCAATACAATCCACTTTAGAATTGGGCACTCACTTTGCACCCGCACTTCTACCGTTCCCCTTCTGTCATCGACAGAACTGAGTTGCAGAGATTGCCCCTATGGATAGACAGATAGCTTGCAACGTAGCTTGGTATATAAGATCCACTTCGCATCCTGTGTCAAGTAGTGCTAGCAGCGCCAAATCCCTAACACGAATTTGGGCAAACATAGAGTTGCGTCGGGGACGATCTGTAGGTATTGATTCCACCTAGTTCCCCTCCATCACTAAGCTTCACGTCGCGTGGTGGCCAGAGCGCATGCCTGCTCACTTTTTGGTTCTCCGGGAGGCACTACTTGAAGTCTTACTTTTCTCGTGCCTAGGTGTCTACATCTGTCTTCAAGCTCGAACTATGTAACCTTTTTCGTCGCAAAAGAAGCGCATGCTCCGTTTGGTACGTCCCACCGGCCTCTTGAGCACCAGACTTCCGGGTTACCGTGTGCTCTTCCTTCCACCATACTCTGGGCGGGGCCGGCACCACACACGGAGTGCGCATTGGCTTTACACCAGGGTCGTTTTCCAGGTTATCAAAGAATTCCTTCACTAGCCCCACATCTATGCTCCCAGCACATCTGGGCGCTTCGCGGTTTCCACAAAATTGTTCTTGCGGAGAGAAGAATTTCCGCTGGATAAGCTGCGGATCCCACTCCCGTTTCAATGCAACTAGGCGCCCAGACCCCCGACGGAGAGCAGATCGTGAAAAATATTCCTTGTTAGAGTAGAGAAGGGCTGAAGTTTTAACAGAGGCTATATAGAGAATATCTCTTCTCCCTCTTCTCTTGGAAAGGGGCGCGCTCGCGATTATTCAGTTCCGTACGCCATGTCGCCTCGCTGTGGGGGTGGGCTTCTCAGCTCGCGCCTGACCTTCATATCAATGCACTGCTACCAGGTATAACTAGAATTCTCGAGTTTTGTCTAGGACTGTTGTGAGCTGCACTAGAATCGAACAAATTCAGACACGCCATGCAACACGCTCGCAGGCGCTGCACATTAATCCCCTTCGGTTTTCACAGGAAACAATAAATATTGTGCTCTGTCTGACACACTTCACCTGAAACAACTTCCTTTTCTTGGCGTGTTTGAAGCCCTTGAGTGCAAATGGTTCGAACCGCAAGTCGCTATTCCTGACGGACAACGGAATGCTGCGAAGTGTCGAACTGTCCGCCTCTACAACTAAAAGGTGAATATTGAAGGGGTCTGAGAAGCTCTGTAGGACTTCTGCAAGTGACTCACATATCAGCGAGATTAACAGCATGCGACGACCCGCAAAGGCACAGGCGTAGCCACTCGCCCAAACTTCAAGGGTTCGACGAAATAACAGGGTGCTTTAGGCACCCGCGAATGCATGGAGAACCCAGTAATTGCATTTCATACTTGCTGAGTAGAATAAATATGATTCAACAGGCCTGGGGCAAGCTTTTTTCAGGCTAAGCTGGCCGTTGTTGAGGTTGGTGAGGCGGGCCGGACGCTCCCCTGCCAGCATGACTGGTACCCTACAGTAACGGCAGCTTCACACCTCGCCCTACTTAGCGAAAGCAGTGAATTAATTTCTAGTTGAGATAATTAACTATATTTCATCCCCTGAGTGGAAGTGCCAGTTACGCGCGACTACCTCATGCCCCAAAAAGCCGTATCCCTAACGAGCCCTGGCTTTCCGCTAGCGGGAGGTTGGGGTGTTCGCCGAATGAGCCAGATTGGGATCAGCGTTTTGAGTTCTGCTTTTGCAAGTCAAAAGCCATTGTGCTTTTGTAGAGGGTAAATGGATTGCCTGTGGCCGTGGCTGCTCCTCGTGGCAGCAGTTGAAGTCGCTGGCGTGCTGGCAGGAGGATCGATTGGTCTTGCTGAGCCTACCACGGAATCTGAGACGACGAGCAGCACCTGGCAAAGCCGTCGTCCTTTTCCATCAACTATAGAGGAAGAGCTTCCTGTACTTGGGGGCCACCCAGCGTTCGCAAGAGTGGACACCGAGACGGCGCTGAGCTGGGAAGATGCCACCAAGGCTTCAGTCAGCTTCCCCTGCACTACATGCACTACTGTAGCGGACGAGACCGCTTCTGTGCAGGAAGAGACAGCAGGCTCATTCGAAGTGCTGCAGTCTAACCCAGATGAACTGCCAGTGGAGGAGACCTCCCCGGTGGCGGCGGCGGCTGTCCCCCTTCGAGGACTTAAGTCCCTTATTCTGAGCTCGTTGCTCCTGGGTGTCTTACTCCTTATTGTAACTGCTCCAGATGAAGTGTACAATGAAGACAACGCCTTGGTCGCTTGGAGGCACTTCTTCGCCGAGGAGATGATAGACGGAATGTTTGCGATTGATGACTTCTTGGACGCGAAGGCTCCAGTTTTCCCCTTCAAAATTTTCAGCTTCTGGATGCTCGCAGGAGCTGTCCCGATGATGTTTGTGTCGGGTTTGGTAAATGTTGTACAAAGCATCAAAAGGCGAAGGCAAGGGCTACCTCTTCTCCAAGGCCCGCGAGTCTCCGGCCTGACCGTGAGCCTCATGGCCGCCCTTCTGAGCGTCTGGGTGATGCTGTTGCCCGTCTACAGAAGTGCAGGCGACTATGAGGGCCATTTATTGGAGGAAGTCAGTGTGAATATTGCATGGGGCGTCAATATCGCGTGCTTGTCCCTCCTCTTGCTCTGAGCAGGGCTCTAGAAGGGGTGGAAAAGGCGGCTCAGCTGAGAGACCAGCAGCTCCTCCAAGGCTTGACTCGATAAGGACACCTCCAACTTGAGAAGACAGGCGCGCCCTGGTTTTTCTTTTAAAGAGATGACGCCAACCAGCTCACAGCCTGCTGCTCTCTCCATGGGGAAGCAGCTGCCACCTGGAGGCTTGAGAAGCAATGGGCTTCTGCGGACAGTAGTATGATGGGCGTTACACTCCAAGGCTGCATCAATATCTGTTCGTACTTGATCTACCATACTCCTTTCCGCATTTTTGTGGAGTTAGTACTGAGAATGACAAAGCAGCAGTTGCAGAGGCGAGCAATCGCACGGGGCTACGACGTAGGCCATTGCACCTGTGGCGTTCATCTCGATTACTCCCTTCTTTCAGCTTTAGGTGATTCAGCTTTACAGGTCGTTTGTTTCAGAACTGTTTCCGTGAATTCGTGAATTCTAGGCACGTCTCTGGGAACAGCGTCCCCGAATGCATTTTCCCACAAGAAAAGCCTACAGATCGAAGACTCGTATGAATATGCAGCGTGTAAGAAGAACGGGCACCAGCAGGGGCCGAAGCTGCTCCAAATGTTTGGCCTGCACAGGTTTATTTCTGTCATGAAACATCACTTGCTTTCAGAGGAGACATCAGTTGGGCTGATTCGACTCTAGCCAGCAACTACGAAGTGGGAGGCTTGCTCCCACTTCGTATTTTCTTTTAAAGCCTTTACCAGCAGTGGAGAAAAAATAAAGGTGAAGGGCCTTTATATTCCAGTTTCTCAATCCTGCACATATTCGGGGAGGGTGGGGGAACTTTGGTAGTGAGAGGAAGAGACAGAGGTAGGAGTGCAGTAAATTGCGCCGTACCGTTGTTTCGATTTGCCAATACGGACAAGCCGGCGTGCGGATTCGCCCTCTTAGCCTTGGGCCTGAAATTTCTATGGCCATTATAATGTTGGTGTGCAACGCTGCTTGCAGTTGTCTCCGTCTGAATTTGCGTCCAACTCACTGCAATGCGTGAGCTCAGAGGGATAGTGAAAGCGCCTAACGTCGGCAATAATGAGCACTCTACTCCTCAAACGGAGGTTGGATGAGCTTCTGACCCAGCTGCGGACCCCCGTATGCAGCAGGACACGGTGCAATCGGAGAAGGGCGTACTTCGCGTTCCCGTGCCCCGTCTATGTTGTAGCTAGGCCGGGCCGGGTGGCCGTTGACGACCTCTCCGGTTACTGCGGTTTGAAATTTTAAACTGCATTCTACCAACTGTACAAGTGCGACAGCACTTCATGGATATTTTTCGGGCTTTCCCGCTTGCGTTTGTAGGTCACTCGACAATTCTGGTTGTCCAGTGTTCGATTGAGGGTAGGCTAGATAGTGGTTCTGACTCTGGGGCTTTCAGTGGGCGAGAAAGAAGCTTAAAGGCCTTGGAAATGTCCCTAAGAGCACAACGAGGGGTCTGCGGGCTCTCCCGCTCATCTCTAATGTGGGGGCAAGGCCGCACGTCAAGCACCGATGGGAAGAGGGAGGCAGTCTCTGTGGAACGGAGAGTGCTTCTTTAAGCACTTAAATATTAAAATACAATTTAACTTGCAATGAGTCCAAGCTTTCTCTCTGCTGTACGTTTATGCGCCGCCACCGTTCCTTGCTGCAACTGGCGGCCGCAGCCGACGGTCTGGTCCGTCCTGCCTGTTGGGGCTTGCCTCTCAGAATAAGCCGCTCGTTTTTTGTTTCCGTCTGCCTTCATGGCATCTTCTTTCCTGATTTGAACAACAAAAGTTTGTGTACGGGCACAGGAGAGTTTCGTGAGCAGGTCGATGCTCTGTTACGGGCGGTGTAGCGAACAGCGCTCTCTGCTGTTACTACCTGTCAACACAACTGCTTAGCTGCACATTTGCTACATGTACGCTGCACTCACCGCATAACCCTTGAAATAACCTTAAAATTTCAAAGCATGCTTTCTTCCCCTTTATCTGAGTCCCATCTTCTCAATAATATATCCAATTATAATAGATCTGCCCGCCAGCTGACCCCCTCGAGGGTCAGTGCCTACGCGGCAGTGCCAGCCTCACGGGAAGCCCCAAACCCTGGGTTTCTGCCGAGTACTCTCAGCCTCACGGCCTTATTTTCTCTCTAATGCCACTTGATTCATTTCTCGTAAGACTTTATTTTCACTCGTTCTGTCCGATAAGCCAAGAGAGGAACAACTTGAGCACCATTGTAGTGCCTGCGCACTACAGAGATGGCCCTGGTGGGCAAGGGCTCCCTCCCACCCTCGGGGCCCCCAAAAGGGCCCCCTCCAGGTGCAAAGATTGCCATCAAGGGCAGTGGCCCTCCCCCTGGGAAGGTTGCGTTGCCGAAGCCCCCACTGCCCGGTCCTGCTGCTGCAACCAAGCCAGGCCCTCTACCCAAAGTGGCGGTGGGCCCCGGGAGCAGCGTTATTGCCCCCAAACCCGCTCTTGGGGTCCCTGACGGGGAACTCAAAAAGGCAACCCTTCCTCTTGCGAAGAAAGACCTGCCAAAACTGCCGACGCCCCCAGCAGGCACGAAGGCGGCAGACAGTTCATTAAAAACTCTTCTTCCGCTCAAAAGCCCCATGAGTCCCACCAAAGCACTTCCGGAAGAGATTCCTGGTGCACTGAAGCAGCCTGAACCAGGGCCTCCTTCTGTTGGAGTGCCGAAATCTGCTGCTGCAAAGCCCGTGATCGCGGCGGGAAAGGGACTCCCCGGAGGTCCGCCAAAGCCAGCAGCCAAAGATATCACAACTAACGGCGGCGCCAAAGCAGCTAAGGTGCCACCTAGTCCTTGTCATCCAGCTGCGCCTAAGGACCTCCCAGGCACTTCCCTTCCCCCGAAGGACGGGCCCCCCTGTTTGACGCCAGCATCAGAGTGCCATCCGGACTTGCAGGTAGCAGCAAAAGAATCATCTGGGTTGGCAATAGCAGCAAAGAAAACGCTTGGCCATTCCTTGTCAATAACAGCCAAGGGAGCCTCATCTCCTGGCCTGCCCTCGGCAGGATCTAAACTGATCCCCCCCTCTGAAGCAGAGCGTGGAAACCCATCTAGGGCGGCAGATGGAGCTGAGAGTCTATCCAACGTGGTGAGAGCAGCTGGGACAGAGTAGTGAGAGATGCCTCGGCCCAGGAAGTCATGTACAAACAAGAGGCAGGAAACAGGGCAAAGATTCTATGCGTGTACCGGCGAGTTGTGGTGCCTTCTCTCCTTCAGGGATCACCTGGAGTGGATGAATTCGGGAGGCAGCGGGGTAGCGTGGGAGATTTGGCACCCAAGAGCGAGCTAACTCACGATCTCCGTGGGAACGTCATTCCCGTATTCGACAAGGCGTAGGTGCAGCTGACAACTGCAACGGTGCAGGAGGTTCCAGCAGCTATTAAATAGCCCAGCATGCGCACCGGCCTGTTGTGCAGCTATAAGCAGCTCCTTGCAGAGGTGGCCCACTGGTGGTTTGTCAATGAGTGTCTCCCAGTTCTCCATATGCCCCTGTGAAGAAGTTTGAGTACGAGAAATCCCTCGTGCTTTCAAGACCGCGGGATGGCCATATCGTTTGGGTGTTGCTTTCTGGGTTTCTGTGCCTCAGGGGCAAGTTCGTGGCCTTCGCTTCAGGCCCACCGGCTCCGCTCTCTCGTTCCGACCCAACGAGGCGTTGTACGCAAATCGTTACTAGGCGGTAGCTTGTATCTGTCTTCCCTAGACACGTTCACTTCTTGGTGAGTACTGAAGCACTGCCAGATGTCCTCTCTTCATGACATTTGTGCTGCTATTGTGTGCTAAGCCCGCCGCCTTTCTGACCGAAAACCTCAAGAACGGGATACGATGAGAATGCCGTCAGCGCGAGGGGTGGACTACGGAGCGTTAGGAGGCTTGAGTGTCCCGGGGGGCGTTCCGGGCTTTTTCTTATCCGTACCGCCTTGGCCAGCGCCAACCCCTGTGCCAATGGACCAGGCGGCAGGCTGGGGTGCGTATAATCAGTTCGCCGGCCATCCGGTCCCCCAGATATCTCCCTATGCCGCTTTTCCTCCACAGGCAGTCTCACAATTCCCTTATCCAGTGATGTATGGGCAAATGGGCGGACGAGGTGAGGAGCAGCAGGGCTACGCGCCACAGCAGGGGACTTTCGAAGGGACTATTTGGCCGGGCTACCCTGAATACCCTATTCATCAGGATGCCAAAGACGCCTGCGGCGCGGCATCTAGGGGTAAGGATGGCCTCCGGAAAACAGTTTAGCATCCGCTGCACACACAGCAGCTGCCTTTTTCACCATCCTTACTTCTGCCTCAGAGTTCGACTACTACTGCCCAGATGAACTGCCTGCGGCGTCTTCAGTATGCTCTACTACCGTGTTTATCCCTTCGTTTTTCTGATGCAGGCGCTCCTGCCTTCTCCAAGGTTGCATTTTCTCCAAAGGCACCCCCGCCAAGGGAATCGAAGTCCCGCAAAAGGTACGGAAAATCTGTTGAGGGGAGGGTCTAAAATGTTGTACTTCGATGACGCCAGTTGAGTCAGATGAGACGCAAATAGCTTATTCGTGTTCTCTTACATGTAACGACAGTTAGATAGACCGCCCTTTCCTACCGTGAGTTTGCTGTCCCCGCGTAATTGCGCAACATGTCAGCTCGTCCTTTTGCTCTGATTCTTCCTTACATGGCGAAGATACATCTGAGCTAGGTATTTTGACGAAATATCCGTTTTCACGGTGAACCTTCGTCACCTGCCGTAAATGGGTAGTTGATCGTGTGTTCACCGTGCAGCAAGGGACTTCCTCTGGATGATTTCGAGGTCTCTCGAGTTAGGTGCAACGCAGTGGCTCGCGGTGACGAGGAAGTGGGCAAGAGCAAATGGATGCCCATCGAACGACATGTATGTTTCATTTGCTCACCTCCCAAAACGACTGTACGAGCTATCGCAGCTTTGAAGAAACGTTTTTGAAATCCCGCAGCTTTAGATACTCCTTTTAGACAGCTTAGCACCGATGGATAACTTGGTCCATCCTTTTCTTCTCAGCTTAACAACATAAGAGGGGGCTACGGAGAGGCCTACCGGCCCCCTGAAGAGGAAGCGGTTCCTCCCAGAGAACCTTCTGCTCGGGCGAGGCGCAGGAGCTCAAGCGTTAGAGATGATGTATATTCGGGTTTTCGTCCTTACTACATTCGGGACAAGAAGCCTTTCGTGGACGAAGATGGTCCTCGGTAAGCCCTCTGTTCATGAACTAATTGTAGCATGCATCAACGTACACTGTGTCTTTCGCCTGAAAAGATGCGTTCAGTCTCAGATGTTACAAAGCACTCCTATATGAGAGTCATGGTCCTTTGCACTGCTGGAAGGGTAATTTTAGTCAGGCTCTTCACATGGTCTGAAACTGACGGTATTCTTGAGCAGAGCCTTGCAGCTGCAGGCTGCATGACGTTGTGTAGTAAAGACTCTGGTTGTGATTGATTCATTTGCTCACCCATTGTACCGTAAAGCCTGAATTCATGCCTTGTAGATGATATTTGTGGGAAAAGGGAGCAACAAAATGGGCCGTCGGCTCGGGTGGGTTCAACGGATACCCTTTCACGAGAGAGGGTAGAGTGTGCGTCGGTCTCTACCTGTATCTGTTCTGCGTCTGCGGCCTCATCTTCTATTTGTTCTGCGTCCGCTTTAGGTTTGTGGATCCCAATGGGCCTTCCGGCAGAGTTCCTGCGCCCCCTAGGAAAACCCCGTTGATGACAAGGCCTAAGGACCGCACGTGGGATCGTTGGGGCTCGACTGGATTGACAGCCCCCCGCAAGTAAATCAATAGTCCTTCTTTGCATCTGCAGTAAAGTTTTGCGCCCCCTCTGTGCACACCGCATCTGCGGGACTTTGCTTCCAGTACTTCGGCGCTACCAAGGCCATGGGTGTTTTGCAGGCGAACCTACCAGAGTCTCTCGGAGCTTGCGAGCTGCTTCTCTAACCTCGAGGCGGAGGACCAAGATGACGTAATCAGTCTGCTGCTACTTTGCAGGAAGTGAGTGGTTCTTCATAATATGGGTATTGTATGGCTTTATTCCCCAGGCGCTCCCGTGCGGCTGCGCAGGTCCAGTGTTGCTGCATGCTAGGACAGTAAGATACGGGGAAATGCAAACACAACGAAGGAGATAAGCGGCCCGTCTGCGTACAGTTTGCGTGCGACTCTGGGGTGATTGCTGCAGGTTGGAGCAGCAAGTTGAGAAGCAGCATGTTGTTATAGACATGCTAGAGCATGAATTATCAGAAGCACAGAAGGTGCTGAAGTTTCCGCCGGAGTGGCGAACACTAGAAGGTCTCGACCTCGCGGGAATGGTCCCTTCAGGTAGGATGGTGCTCATTTGCCCGCCGCCCTGCAGGTATAGGGGCTGAGGGGATCTCTTGTAATGCTAGCACACATGCACGCCGTTGGCTCCGTGGCGTTTGTCGTCGAAAGTCCATTAGGCTACGCTGATAAAAAGAGCTCGCCCTTTGTGGCAGTCAAAGGCCATGCAGCTGCCAGTACTGCAAACCTTTGCAGTGGCCGGTCTAGCTGTGCGCAGCTTCAGGTTTCGAATGAGCCTCTGTAAATGTGCAGCTGCTTGGCATGCCTGTGGACATTCTCCTGCAGATGCGCCCTTCCAAGCAACTGCTGCAACGCCCCTCTACATTAAGAGCGCGAGTGTGCTGCCTTCGAGCGTCCCCGATGACCCCAACGCAAGTTTCGGAGTAGGAGTTCCTCTGACACGAGAGAACAAAGGAACATCCGCCGCTACCCCATCACCAGCCAAGAGCGCCGCGGCAGCTCCTGCAGGAGGTGCTGCTCCCAAGCCCGCCGGGGGCAATGTAGAGGCCACGAAGAAGCCCCCAGCATTATTTAAGCCGAAGGCTTCGGTAGTGGGTTTTAAGAAGCCCGTATTCAAGAAGATGTAGCCTCAGGTATGTTTCCACAGATGGTATATGGCACTGCAGGCAGGGGAAAAGGAATATTTTTTGCCAGCACATACTCCGGCAGTAACTTCTTCCTTGTCCGCAGAAAGCAAGTTCGAGCTCAAGGGTGTAGCATTTCATGAGCCGCTGAGGGGAACTGCCTCAAAAGAGCCATCTTCCTTCCTTTCCTAGAAATAGCATGGCAGGAAATGAATCATACAGTATACTATCGTATCGCAAGCACACGGCTGAGGAGGCACAAAGTAACCGCTTCTGCTTGGCTTGCACACTTGAATTTCTCGACCTAGCCAGTAATGGGAAGGACACCCCACGTTCATTCTACCGAACTCGCAGTGCAGCAGTGCGTTAGTTATTGCTGAATTTTTCTACGCATGTCAGGAAACAGCTAGACTACCACGGAAAAGCAGCTTAGTCTACCAAAAACTTTCATTGTTCCGCTGCCGCCAAGTAGGCAGGAGCTCCTCATGCACGAACTGCATAATCCGTAGGTCTTCTTAAGGTTAAATTCATTCCCTCTTTAGGCCCTCAGCTAGAACTCCACCACTTTCGGTTCTGTGCACGTTGACAGTTCGCGAGCGGCCGAGTGGTTCAGGCCTCAGCCCCAATAAAAGGGTTCTCGATGCGCTGTACGCCGTCCACCGGCGAAATCAGCACAATGGCGCTTCCCCTCGCCACAATAAGCCCCAGAGGTCGCGTGGTCTCCAGCAGTCTGCTTGAGTCCTCCGGGTCTGTGGTGAATAGTACGCATGCAGGACAGACAGAGCGCATGCAGGCAGCCACCCAGACCAGGGATTCGGCAGTCCTTTTTAGCATGTTAACTCTACTAGTAAGCACTATCCCCACCTGCCCCATGCAATAAGGAGCACACGAAAAGCGAATTGGCAGTACTGTGAAGAACAGCGCCTACCCCAGCATGGGAAATAACAGCAAACGCCATGTGCCAGTAAACGTACACCAAACCACTCTGGGTTTGCGAATAGAATTGTGTCTACTGAGCCTTGACCTGAGGTTGCCTACAAGGCTACCGTATGCAGGGTGAATTACCTCGCAAGAACTCCTCGGTGTCATCCAGCACCAGGTTGCACACGGCGTCGTGGCCCTTGAGGGTCCCCTCGACTGAAAGCAGCGACACCAGCAACCAAGACAGCAACAGCCGCAAATGTAGCTAAAGAAAAGAAATCATACACGGACTCAAAGAGGGGCCCTTTCGCAGCATGAAGCTATGTGCGCACTGTTTCCGGCGAAGGAACTTGTCGCAGGCCGCAGGGGGCCCCCCAAGAAATATGAAATGCCCTAGCAGCTTCACGCATGTACGTGGCCGTACTCGAGAAAGCGAAGCTTGGTCTAGAGGTCTCTAAAGGGTCTTACCTTCACGGCCTCCAGAGAACTTGACTCGGACCTTCTTGTTAAGAAACTTCGCGGGGTCGATGACGGATCGCGGGTCCTTCGACGACATCTTGGGTAGTTCTCCGAAACAAAGTGAAATTAAGCTGAGAAAAGCAAATACAATTAAAGCCCAAAAGGACTTTATGCAGGGCTTCCCTGGGTCGTCGGGAAGTAGCGACGAGGGGCCCTCTAAGTACGGGGCTTGCTCGAAGGGTGCTGGCTGCTGCAGATGCTGTTGCTGCTCTTGTGGTGTTGCTGCTTACTGTTGTTAGTAAACGGGCGCCTTAGCAGTAAAAACTTCCATTGGAATCTAGTTAGTCACCAAGATTACACGTGGACGCGGGTATTCATTCCTTGACTAGAAATTACTGCAGGCGCTTGCAAGGGGTTCGTGCGCAACAATGCCGTGGCCATGATGGTGTGGTTCTGTGAAGGAGCGCACATCCCTATGTTTGCTGCGTGTACTAACTTTTCTTCCAACTAGGGTTGCTCGCTGAGCCCAAGGGCCCACAGGTGTCTCGCACACGGCAAGGCCGGCCGCGTCATTCTATCCCTTGTTAATGATGGAGATTTCGGTCGCCCACGGGCTCGTAACGCGCCGTCTTCCCCTACCCATGTGTCTGTAGGGCGTAACTGTGGACCCTGTGGAGGGCCCAACCTACTTGCATGCGCAACTGTGCCGCACAAGAGCACTGAGTGGTGCGGAGATTGACGAGCACCTCATATTGTTAGAAGCAGCAGTAGGAGGAGCAGCACATGCAACGGCAGTGAAAACAGCAACAATGACATCAGTAGCAGCAGTGCGGGCGTGTTGTACATCTCCACTTTCCCGCTTCTGCTGCGGCGGCCATTTTTTCCACACAGCAGCAGCAACAGCAGCAGCAGGAGCACCAGCAAGAATTGCAAACCCTCCACCAGAGCACCAGGTTCCCTCGGCAGCTCAAATACGCTTGCTGCGCGCAGGCACTTTGTTATTAAACGATCCTCCTCCTGAGTATGAAGTCTCTGTTCATCGGGGCTTAAAGGTGCAGGCGTCGTTGCTGCTGCAGCGGCTGCCACTGGTGTATAGAGAACCGCCTTATGAGCAGCGGTTCCGGCTGTTCAAAGAGGAATGGGAGAGGAAAACCAACAACAGCACAATTCTCAATGACGAAATAACGTACATGCAGATGCCAGGACACTTCCTGGAAACGCAACAGCAGCAGGAGCAACGGGAGAAGCAACAGCAAAAGACTGGCGACGCGGAACTGTCTGAGCTGGACATGCTGCTGCAGCAGGAAGGATTGATGATAGACAGGCACAAGATGGGGAAACAGAGACGGAAGCAGCAGGAGGACGCTGTAAGCTCGGCCATTTTTAGGGCTGCAGTGCTGCATCAGCTGGTTTGAGTGCAGCAGCAGCAGCAGCAGTGCCCATTGAAATCAGCACGTATTCTTTGGCTGGTCTGCGGCTTTGCTTCAGGCGGGGTCAGCTCGCGCCTCGGCAATAGCTGCAGCAACGGCTGAAAGGGAAGACCGGTCTCTGTCGCAGCACCCGGAAAGAGTGCTGCTGCTGCTTGTTAAGTATGGCAACGGGTGGCAGCTACCGGTGGAAGACAGGCGGCACGGACAGACGATGCGCCAGGTGGGTTGCGACGAATCCTGCTGAAGCCTTGTTTTTTTTCTTTGTGCATTAGCTGGGTGCATTAAGTACAAGACGTATTTGTGTCTGTTGATCGAGTGTCATTACACACCATTCACATCTCGGGCGCGAAGTTGCAAGCGGTGGACAGCAGACTTTGACATGAAACGCCAAACCATTTCCTGAACATTTGCTGCTCTGTAGCTGTAGTCGTTGACACCCCCTAACTGATTCGTTTCAGTTCTCCCCTGCCATATGCCTTTGTCCTCCATCTTTCATTTTCCTGCTTGGGAAGGCTTTGTGTCGCCAACGCTGCTCCTGCGGCTTTAGCTCCCTGCTCCGGTAATATTTCCTGTTACTGGTGCTGCTGCTAATACTGTCGGTGGATTTGCTGTTGCTGTTGTTGGTGCAGACATTGGCGCGTCTGTGCATGAAGCAGCTGGGTTTGCGCGAGGCTCCTTTCTTGGTTGGCTTTACCCCTGCGGCAATGCGGAAGATACGAAGCAAGCCTAGTGCGGTCGTTCAGGGCCGAAAAGTGCGTTTTCGTCATTCCGTTGTCTCCTCATAGTTTCCCCCCTCTGCATTCGCATTCTGTCGTATCTCGGGTGTCATTCGCGCTGGGTATCTGGCTCGCTCAAGCTGCCCTAGACAGCCAGTTGCATGCGACACTTGGAACCCCAATTTTGAGCTGTTTGGATCCCATGTACTGCTGTTGGCGTCGGTACCTATATTGTATACTGTTCCCGCTGTGAAGGCGGTTGCTGCTGCTGTTGCTTCAGGTTTTCTACTACCGCGCCTACCATGTCCCTGAACAGCCGCAGGTGTGTCCACCGGCGGATAGTCCTGTGAGGGATTGGGCATGGGTGTCGGCAGAAGAGGCAAAGAGACGAATGGCCACCAATGGCTTTCTCGCTATTCGGGATGCCCTGCTTCTTGGTTGAAATGTGGCTGCACCAGAAACAGCAGCAACAAGACCGACACCTTGAGCTATGAGCAGAATCAGCCCGGCTTATTCTCGCCGTTGTGGCGCTGCTGCCTATCGGGCAGAGTGTGCTGCCCGAGCAGCATTTCGCGGGCTCAAGATTTCTGGAACCTGCTGTGATGATGGCGTATTTGGCTTGTTCCCCGTTGTAAAAGCTTGGGGAGTGGCTTTCCCGCTCACCAGGGGATGTGATAGCCCATTGTAACTTCAGACACGCCAAAACCCCGTTGGGAAGTGTGATGCGTATCGTGAATTTCCCGCTGCAGTTTGTACAGCGGCTTTCCTTGGATGGCACAGCAAAGAGTAGTTTTATATGTTTTCTAGATGTTTCCACTACGAAGTTTCCGCAGTGGGCAGTGCTTCCCCAATAAGCTGCCCTTCGAATGATAGGTTCCTGAACTGTTCTGGGTACGCCAAGTCTACGTTGAATGCTCCCACTGCATGGACGCCCACTGCATGGGAGCTGGTGTGGCAATTACAAGGGCGCAGAGAATTGTGAGCAGAAACAGTGACGACTGCCTGTTGTGTTGGATTTCTTTGCTAACGGAACTTTGCTTGGATACCAGCCGATAACCATTCGGAGTTCCAGCACCGCTCGCGTAATGCCACTGCCCCAAGGCGGTGGCGCGCTAACTTTGTATATTTATACCTAATTCGTGACAGGAGAAAGCAACGAATGACTAGCACAAAGCGGCTTGTTCTGTATTGGTCTTTCTCTAAAAAGCAGATAGAGCTGGGTCCGTAGTGGCCTGGCAGTGGACCAAACAATGCCCCCCAAACTGGTGGCATACACCATAAGCATTGGTGACAATGAAAAACAAATTGTAGTGAGTTGCTTGTGAAACATTGGTTCGTGAAGGATTGAGTGTGTTCTACGCTGCAGAGCGGCAGCAATGCTGCTATAGACGCAGCGCGGCTGTCCACGGGTACGCGATGGTTGATCAGCTGCCGTGAGAGCCGCTCCAGCCAAGAACTCTTCTGTAGAATGCTGGTTGGCTGCTGTTTAAATGGCTGATGCTGTTTCTGTTGGCGGCAGCAATGGAACCCTTCTTTCGACCGTCTGGATGCCAGACCAGTCCTCGACGGACGTCCTGGGTGTACACGGTGCAGTTTCGTGACTAACTGTTTGCAAGCGGCTGTGAGGGCTGGTATTTATGCAGGTTACGTGACAATAATGAGGTTGGTATGGCAGGGGTCCTGGCTGTGGTACTGCTCTGCGCGGCGGTCGATGCAGTCGGTCATGGACGAGGCGAACACGCTGGCTGCTGCAACACCTGGGGGCTTGCAAACGAATGCAAGCTACCGCAGGTCCCCGCATTCTATGCTGAGCCTCACCACGACATTCCCCGCAGAACTGGGGACTGCGCATGAAAACAATACACTTCCGTTCTTCCAAGAGGAACCCACGACTTCTGGCGCGTAACAAGGTTTGCTTCACCGAGTGAAGCAAACCTTGAAGTTACGGGTGAACAGCCCGTAGAAGAGGTGTGCGAAAGTCCGCAGACGGTGGAGCACGCTTTTGCGGTGCGGCATGTTGTGGGGGGCGTTGAGACACAGCGCAGGCCGGATACTGAGGGCCAATTGTGCGGTTGACGATAGTCTATGGCGCCATTGCAGACGTCGAAAGGAAGCTTGGGCATGGCTTCATTTGGGGGGTTGCCTTGCAGCAAGAGTTGTAGCAAGGCGTGCAGCAACTGACGACAAGCTGCCCAAAACATGCTCCAGCCGACGGCCCTTGCCGCACTCTCCGTAGGACGCTTACAGTGTGGAGGGTGGTCAGCTGAGTTGTAGTAAAACTATTCTTTGCAGATTTGACTTTGTCACACCTCACGATGTTCTCGGCTAAGTTGGTGGACTTTCGATACACTAGTAGCACTGCTTGCTTACACCTACCTCGCTTATGCGAGGTAGGTGTAAATCTTCCCCGAGCCCACAGCAATGAGTTTACCGCATGTGGCCCGGACGCCGACGATACGAGAGTACGAGCTGCCTGATCGAACTGAAACGTGAAAATGCCTAACACGATATGTAGTCTCGACTCCCCTTTTCGCTGTACCTAATTGGGTTGAGGTCCTTTTCACATATCGGAAACTACCTGGAGGTGAAAAACCCACCTGATATTTCGGTGAACTCGCATGTGTGAGGAAGGCGACTATTCGGTGTTTCTTTGGAGTTGTTCTCACTTTCTGTGAAGAGACTCAATAAAACGGTTGTCTCACTAGCATCGGCTGTTAGGATGGTGGGGCTCTCGAAATCAGGGAGCGCAAGGAGTGGGGAAGATTTGAGATGACAAGCGTCTGGCTGGTCTCTCTTTGGTGTCTGCGGAAATAACTTGCTTTCCCTTCTTGAGTAGATATAGGCAATGGAAAAAAATCCAGAAATCGAAATTTCGGTAGTTTGCGAGGGACCGAGGAACTTTTGAACGGGGAAGCGACTTGACAGGAGAAGTGGCTATGTTCTGTATCTTTCGGAAGTGGCTAGACTGCTGTTGCAAAGACATGAAATGCCAAGAAGCTAACTGTCTGCATGGCGAATAGACACATTTGTGATTCTACAAAGCACTGTTTCTCACGCAGCATGCACGCCACAGGTGCGACGAGAGCCCTTGTCGTCCCACTGTGCAGAAGCAAGTTGTTTACGCAGATAGCCATCTTGCTCTCATCAGTGGGAACCAAGGTATTGTGACTATCCTGTTCATTTTTTTGCAGTTACAATCACATTCCGAAAGGGAATGAATATGGACCTTACTTCTCTAGTGTAGGCTCTGTCTTGCCGTTCGGATGTACTTAAATATGCAAACATGCATCAGCGACGTACATTGAAAAAAGTGCTCAAGCCTGCGAGGGGCGAGTGGTTCATTAGTCTGGGGCACCGGAAACCTTGGTTCCAGGATGAGTTTTTTTGAGGGGCTGGGCAACGGCAGTGCTGCGACCCCTCCCTCTCTTCTTCAGCAGAACGAAATTGTGTCCGAATGCACTAGGCAAGTGTTTAAATTTGTCCATTTATCAGTTTCTGAGTCTGTCTATCCGTCTTCAAGATGCGGAGTACGTGAAAATTTTGGGGCGCCCCGGGGGTGATTTCGATGCGCTGCATGAGGAATCCGGCGGGTGGGAGCACCGTTATATTGAATATATCTGAAACATTTCTTTCAGCTCCGCCCACTCCCGCCGTTCCTTGGGTGGAAACTAGACGGAATGTATGAATTTCTCCGTCGTAACCTGCATGGCATCTGAACTACGTTGAAGTCCCCTTTCTCCTGCTTTTGTGGGTTGTCGATTCCACTCCTCTTACCGTATAGGATTCAAATGGTGTTGAGACCGCCTGCCGGACTCTCTTATTGCTTTTCGGCAAGTAGGCGTTATTAGTGTCATTCGATGTGCGCATGCGCTCCCTCCACTCGTTCGGCCTCGGCGTGCCTAGGGTAATCTCGTGGTGAACTGGTCCGACGCACAAGTCACGCACCTGCCCATCCTCGTGCCCTCTATGCCATCGACAGAGCGTATTCACGGAGATAGCGTCAATGAATAAAGAAGGCCTAGCTTCAGGTATCAGATCCACTTCGCAGCCTGTGCGAGTGCTGCTCGCAATTCCTGGGCCCTAAAACGAACTTCGAAGAGTACACATTTCCCTCAGCCTGCAGATGCGGATGTCGCCGCCCTTGAGCCTGGCAGCGCGCCTCACGCTGCACGAGGTCACGGCGTTTTCCTGATCGCTTCGTTGATTCTTTTGTCGGCGCAGGTTTCCTTCCATGCGCAATATAAAACGATGCAATATTTTTTGTTGCAAGTCAAGCAGGTGAGCCTACCGGCTCACCTGCTTGATTTCCTCCCGCACTTCTGAGTGGCGGATTCGTTTGCGACATTTTGTCCTCGTTGCTCTTGTTCTTCTTTGCAGGGATGGCCCTCATCCCTGCATAGCTCGGTAAGTCTGGAAAATTTTAAAGAGTAGTGCTCCACCATCTCGATAAGCCCAGCCTTTTTGCTCCACAGTTCCCACTTCGCCTCATAGCCTGTTACCAGTTTTCTCTCTCCAGGCGACAGCCCTACTATGAACCAGATACAGAAGCACCTACTCCAGCTTGGTACTCCTGTCTACTAAGGAATGATACTTTTTATATCTTGCGCTCAATCGAGAGCTTCCCTTGTTCAAGTCTTCTTAGTTCTTACATAGCCTGTTACCTTGCCAACATGGGAATGAACCCACATCGTAGCGCATATCTGAAGGCTTCCACTGCCCGGTTGCGCTGTAGTGGTGCCTTTGCTTACGTATAACTGCTATTGCCGTGCCTCCTCTTCTAACACCGAGGATGCTAACAGCAACTGTAGCTCTTCGGCTGCGTTTTGGAGAGGGAATACAACTAAAGAGACGCAACGACCTCTTTCACCGTCTTCACATCGCTTTGGGCGTCGCAGGTGGAGGGTCGGCAAGGGAGGAAACATTTTCCATGGCGTTTTCGCTTTAAGGACATTTTCCGAAGGATGGAGCACATATACTGAGCTGATCTTAGCCCGATGGGGCCCCAGCCCTTGGTCGCTTCCCCACCGGTGGGCAGACGGCTGAGACCGGTCTTCGGACTTTCTAAAAATGCTTTCTGTTCTGTTAAAGCACCATCAGTACTAGTCACTGTTACAAACAATTGGGGGTGGGATACGTTGCTTGCACCTGTATCGATGAACCATGCGGCGTTACCAAGTGTGCCGAAAATCCCCGACCTTGTCTGCGGAGCGTTGTGAGCTGCGACTGGACCAGAAGGCTTAAGGTGATAATTCCTAAAATGTAGATGGCGCCCTCTCCATTATCTAAACGCACTGGACCCAGTGGCCCAAAGGTCCGAATATGCAACGGATGAGACGACCTGACGCAAGTTCTGACGCATATGCTGGAAGGCGCCTCCACTTGCAAGCACAACGTACCCCCCTTTTGCTGTCTGGGCCAACACTGTAGGCAATTGTCGTATTTCTCCTTGCGTGCAGGCTGAATACTCAGGCCAAGCAGGTGTTTATACACCACTTTGTAGAGACCATGATGCACCGGGAGGCGTAGACAACGCGAGCAGTCTCCATTGCGAAGCAACTACAACGTGACAGGGACTGAGACTCACGAACCATAAAATGCAGTAAAAAAATGAACTGTTACTGGCCTCGTTTTGGGGCATTAGCTTGGGCCAGTTCAACAAAGCACTGGAACGGCTATTGGGGCTGAATGACACTGTGTGCGGCAGCTAAGCGCTTCGAGGGATTAAATCAGTTCTATTATTCTGGAGCTTCTCACCCTCGAAAGTAAGGCATTTTGGCCTGAATATATGTTTCTGTTGAAACATTGCTTTTAGTTAGAGCTTGCACCTAAAATAGACTCGGTAAGAGAATTATGTAGCAGTTCCGTAGACATTGAGCTCGCTACAGGTGGGGCCGGCAGGGTGAGATGCGTGAGGCTGTACCTGTTTCCCGGGAACGTTGGCTCTCTTTTCCTCTGCTAACTAATTGTGATCTTGTTCGAAAGTGCTCAGTGTGGCTTGAAGACGTGATGCTGTGATGCGGCTGTGTAGGACCTGACTGATGACTTCCCTTGTAGACGTGGGGGCGCACTGCATGCACAAGAGCTCTATGCCAGTTGCTGATGTGCGTGAACAACGTACTTGCTCATGTTGTTGCTTGAAAACGGGTGTGTTGGAACTCACGAGGAGGCCGTACTCACATCCAGTCAAGCGACGAATTGAAGGGGGGTCGTGGCTTGGGCTGGTAGCCTTGAGGCGCTCCTCAGGGCTCGCATGGAAACTATAGGTCCTCGTGCAGCTTCATAGTAGATGTATAGCATTCCAGCACACGGATGTAGCTATACAGTTCAGCTTTCAACGCAATTTGCCACCTTGCAAGACGAAACGCGTGGTTTCCCTGTTGTGTATGGGGGAGGCGCTGATTGTTGGTCTGAATATTTGTGTCGCAGGTTTGAATTTTAGTTCTTTAAAGGGACGAACGTTGTGATTTGCGTTTCTAAGGCCTGTTTTTGGACTAATTGGGCTGTTGTGTCGGAGTGGGGATTGATATAACGCATGAGTTTCACCTTTTTTCCTTACTATCTGGCTGCAAGCTACACTGCGGTGATCCAGTCCGATTTGCAAACGATGCCTTGTGGGCTTATTCTTAACCAATCGAGCCAGCTGTTTGAGGAAGATAACGCAAGTACCGTTTCTGCCCGGATGGAACAAGTGGCATGGACATCGTAGTGGAAATCAGTCCGGCGTCAAAAATGAAGACTAGCGCCAGAGAGCAGGTGCAACCACAGGCTCCCCTGACAATGGGTCCTCTAACGCAGGGACATGTAAATGGAATGCAGGATGGATTTTCCCAGAAAGATGGGGGGCCGCGGCCAGTCAGGCAGAATATGTTCCGCACGGCGGTGAGTTCTTGATTGGCAGCTTCACAGTGGGTTTGACCGTGTGGCACGTAGCGCCATTTATTCATTGGGGTGTGTCTTTGGAGCAGGAAATGGCGTGCAGTCCATGAAAGTGTCTGCTGGCAATTAGCAATTAGGGGACGGCATTGCTTTCGTGTGGCCGAATTTGTTGTGGCAAACGAATTATTTGGCGCACGAAATATTCATTGTGGTTTGTCCGCTCATAGGATGTAACTCAAACAAAGGGCAACGAATTCGAGGACTATTTCCTGAAGCGTGATCTGCTCAAGGGGATATTTGAAAAGGGATTTGAGAAGCCTTCGCCTATACAGGAGGAGGCGATTCCGGTGGCAATTGCTGGCCGCAACATTTTGGCTCGGGCCAAGAACGGAACAGGGAAGACTGCGGCGTTCGCAATTCCCGTCTTGGAGAAATGCCAAATTAACAAGCGTGCAATTCAAGGTACTTTCCGGTGCTTCAGTGCCGCATCTAAACTGTGCATTGCTGTGAAGGCTGATATTAACGGTCTTTCAAGGGATGCGCCTTTGGTTGCCATGGGGTTTTGTTTGGCTTTGTCTTGTTGCAGGTTTGATCCTTGTTCCTACTCGTGAACTCGCTCTGCAGACGAGTGCTGTCGTTAAAGAATTGGGCAAGTATCTTAACGTGCAGTGCATGGTCTCGACAGGGGGCACAAGCCTTAGAGACGACATCATGCGCTTGCACAACACAGTTCACGTTCTCGTGGGGACGCCTGGGAGGATATTGGACCTTGCGAACAAAGATGTGGCAGATTTACGTCAATGCCACATCGTGGTCATGGACGAGGCCGACAAGCTGCTCTCCCCAGAGTTCCAGCCGATTGTCGAGAAGCTACTTGAGTTCATTCCTATGCAGCGGCAGATTCTGATGTTTTCTGCCACATTCCCAGTGACGGTAAAGGACTTCAAGTCAAAGTATCTTGCTGATGCTCATGAAATAAACCTAATGGATGAGTTGACGCTCAAGGGCGTTACCCAGTACTACGCCTTCGTGGAAGAGCGACAGAAAGTTCATTGCCTGAACACGTTGTTTGCGAAGGTATGGCGCATTGAGGACCGATTGGTTCCCTGCAGTGAAGCCTCTTGTTTTGCCTTGTTCGCCTTTTTCCCGCGTTGATGTTGTCTACTTGGTGCTCGTTCTACAAGGCGTGCGGCTTGCTATGCGCGAAGTGGTTGGGGAACTAAACTAAGGCTTGAGCCATGCTCATCTTGCTGTCCTGTGTTCTGTTCCACTCAGTTGCAAATCAATCAGGCTATCATTTTCTGTAACAGCGTAACGCGTGTCGAGCTGCTAGCGAAAAAGATTACCGAGTTGGGCTTTTCCTGCTTCTACATACATGCTCGGATGTTGCAGCCCCATCGAAATAGAGTGTTCCATGACTTTCGAAATGGTGCCTGTCGCTGCCTAGTTTCGTCGGATTTGTTTACAAGAGGTATTGACATTCAGTCGGTGAATGTCGTAATCAATTTTGATTTCCCGCAAAATTCGGAGACGTATCTGCACAGAATCGGACGTTCGGGCCGCTTTGGCCACCTGGGTCTGGCGGTGAATCTGGTCACGTACGAGGACCGGTTTAACCTTTACAGGTGCGCTCGGTAACGAGCATGGAGTCGACCGTTCTTGCGTTGTTATGGACTTTCTCTGCTCCGCATATGACGGATATCAGGCGTTGACGTGTTGCGCTTCAGGATCGAGCATGAACTTGGAACCGAAATAAAGCCAATACCTAGCCACATCGACCCCGAGACATACACATGATGAATGAGCATTCAAACTTTCCTCACCGGGGGCACGGCATTCTCTCCTTGCCGTTGCAGCGAAGCAGCGGTTTAGGGGCGGGTCAAGGCTTTGGAGCGTCGTTGCATACTATGCTTTCCCTATTGTAACAGCGGTTTGAAGAGAGTATCCACTATTTTCTCTTTCCCATGATTACTAACTTGGGAACTGCAAGACGTTCAATTGGTTGGAACTTTTTTGCTGTCAGGGACCACAGCAAGCACTGTGGTTCACGACTGGAATATATATGCCTTCAAAGATGGTAGCGGCACATGTGATGGCCTAGCCTGGCAGCTTCGTTTGAGTAGGGAGCGTTTTTTTGCAGTTGTGATTCTTGTTCACTCGCGCCGTCCCTCTAGCACTTCTAGCCTAGGTATCTTGCTTTCGTACTGCGGTGCATCAGGAATCTCTCGCATCAGGTTTACGTGAGTATGAAGAGGTAGTGCAGGGGGGCTGATTTTAGAATTATTGTACCCTGCCGGGCGTAGCTAGGTTTCGTTACACTCCCTAAGTCGTTCCGTCACATTGTCTAGCCGCGCGCACTTTGCACAGTTAGGTTCCTTCGGCTCGCGCCGATCGCTAATATACTGGGCCAGTGGTTGGCCGCTTTTGCTTTAGCTGACGCTGCGATGTGTGCGGTGTGGGGCGAAGACGTTCTAACTACAACGTTCGCGCTCAAGCGCGAATTAACGGTACTCGAAAATGCGCATGATGGGCACCTACAAACGGCCAAGCTCCAGGGAGCTATTGCCACTGTATTTCTCCAGACCAGCACGGGCTCGTCTCTAAGAATTAGCGTGCGTTCTTCTTCACCACGTACTTCCGAGAGAGCTTTGTTGCTGCCATATACTGAAAACAGGAGAGCAAACATAACCGATCTGCAGCTGTGTGTAGTTCATGTGTGTGTCGCAGTTGGTGGAGCAACGGCACACCTGGCAGGTGCGCCTACGCAACCAACTCACCTGATGAGGTCCTAATCTCTTCCACTTGAGCGCTTCTGCCTTGGTGAGCTTTGCTCCAGGCTTGGGCATCGCAGTTGTTCGGAGCACGAGGCGAACAGGAATGCCCTTCAAGCCAAATTCCTCCCTGATTGCATTGATCAGCTGGCGTTTATAGTGCGTTGGGAAGTGAGCGTACACATTTGACCATGCCACAAACGTTGGCGGCTTCGCCTGAACCTGAGTAATGTACTTCACTTGGCACTGCGACCCCAGCCTCCACGGAGGGGGCCAGTGGGCTGTGTACTGCTGAAGCCAAGAATTTAGAGTGCCAGTGGGAACGCGGCTGCACCACTGCTTATACACGAGACAGGACTTGTTCAGCAGGGTGTTCAGATTCTGCGCCTCCGTGGCAGATGTGAAGACCACGGGGCACGCTTTCAGGTGCCCCAGCCCAGTCTGTAGGCGATCGAGTACCAGCCGTCTCACGTAGCTTTGCTTACTCAGATCCACTAAGTCCCACTTCGTAACACATACCACCAGGCTGCGCCCCTCCTTCTCAGTTGCCAAGTTGGCTAGCGACAAGTCGTGCGAACTCAAGTGACCGGTTTCCTCTACACGGGCGGCATCAAGGCATAGGATGCACACATCCGAACTGCGGATGTTGCGCATAGTTTGCAATGAAGCTTGCTGCAGCATGTCATCTCCTCGCATTTTCCAGCCTTTCGTAACACCTGCTGTATCAATTAAAGCCATCTGTTGCTTCTTGAAAAAAAAATTAACGCAAATAGAGTCTGTGGTGGTACCAGGCGTTGCACTTGCTTTTAATCGGTTTTCCTTCAAGATGGAATTGATAAGACTCGATTTTCCAGCGTTTGGCCGCCCAATGAAAGTTACCCGAATGGGGCCTTCAATCTCTTCGTCTTGCGGAGCCAAAAGGGGTCGAATTTCCGGAGGGGAAATAATTTCGTCGAGGGTTCCCGGCTCTCCAGTGTCGTGCAGCGGTACCCCTTCATCGCCTCGGCACTCGCCAGATGCCATCTCGTGCTTCTGGAGCAAATCCCGCAGGCAAAATCTACGTGTCTTTACAAGAGAGGTGGGTGGCGAAAAAAAAGCTAAACTTATGTATATTCAGATGACAAGATTTACGCAACCAGCAACTTGGGCACTGTAGTACACCAGCGGCAGGAAATTCCTTTTTTGCGTGATGCGGCTAATAATGCTCCTCCGCAGTACAAAGCATTCTAGAGCAAAACAAAACAAATCAGGCTCCCTACGCGAGTCCATACGCTGGCCACTCAAGGTACTTCCCGCCACAATTGTAATACCGACCGAGTAACTGGGTTGCAACGGACCCAAATGCAAACAGTTCAATATACTCTCCTACGCCACAGCTGTCAGTTAGATGCACCAAGTGCGTTTCGGACGTGTCTACTCAAGAACCCTATGAGTCTGCGTTTACCTGTCTTGCTTTTTCGCCAGCATCCTGCTTTTCGTTGGGTCGTTCGAGCCCTTCAGAGGGGCCGCCGTCCAGCGTTGCCTTCGTTAGTGACCAAGGCAAGTGTAAGTAGCCCCCCAACGGCTGCTTATACGCTAAGGTTGGTTGCACACCGCGGCCGTATCGTCGGCTCAAGCCCTGAAGCCACGCTTCCGTTGCAGTCGCCTTTCTGTGAGAGGCATCTCTCATATTCTGGCGCAAGAAAAGCAGACAATAGGCCTAAATAGGTCACTGTAAAACAGTAGCAGAAGTTGCGTTCACATCCAAGTGTCGGCTTCTGAGCGGCTCATTAGAAAGAGCACAGTACTACAGAATAAAAAACATCCGTGGGTACCTCTTGCTCCAGGGACACTGAGGGAGGGCGTTGCCCCCTTTCTTGTTCTTGAAGTGCTTCCTTGAGTCGTTCATATAACTCGTCGAAGCCCTGTGGCAGTCTTGCAGAGAAGTTCGCTAATGCCGTTTACCTGCTACCCAGTTCGTCTTATTTATGTATGTTCTTTCATTTCCCTGCTGTGTCACGCATCTATCACTTAAAGTTACAATGGTTTTAGAAGGGAATGCTTTGCATCGCCTTACTTGCTTGGTTCTTGTAGACACAGCTACGGGGTGGCCCAGCTGCAGTTCGTAGGCGTCCCCTATGCACTCCGCCCCCTTTACCCCTTCTGCCTTGTTGAGTACAAGAATAACTGATGGAGATCTGCTAGGACTGACTGAAGGCTCTCTCTGATGATGCTCGATGTGGCATTGGGCTTGCCCTCCACGTGCCGGTTGCTCTTCCATGAGTACCCGAAGCTGTCTTGCAAACATTTCATCAATTGGCGTGATACCCTCCCTGGCATCAACAATGAACAAAATTATGTCAGACTGCGCTAGTGCTCGAGCGACCTGAATGTTGAACAGAGAAGTGCAAGACGAACCGTAGTCCATTCGCCCAAGAAGAGACAAACCCTCCCACGTTTCCATGTAGCCCACGCAGACACCTTACTTGTTCGCGTATCTGTTCCACTGGCTCGGATGGCGCATCTTCGATATTAGTCTCAATTCCCGGTGTGTCCATGAGCAGCAGACTCAGCGGTCCCCATGAGCAGAGAGATTCCTTGCGGTCCCGAGTGGTCCCAGGGTCTGGGCCGACAATGGCAAGCTGATGAGGCGCTTGCTGTGAGGGATTCATACAGCTCGCCATCAAAAATCGATTGTATAGGCTGCTCTTTCCCACATTCGCACGGCCAACCAGCGCAACCCGCCAGAGAGGTGCAGGTGGGGAGCCCGGCACAGAGCGATAGGACCCGGTTAAGGTGTGTTGCTGTCTGCAACAACATCTGCTGAAAGGTGAGAGACGAACAGCGGCGGATGAATGAGAGAACGGTTTTGCGGAATGGGTGGAAAGTCCACAGTGTATGACCTTATTCCATGTGTACTTTCCAGTAGGTCGTTTCCAGAAAAGACCTGCTCTACCATGCTGCAAGCAAGCAGCGGACCCCTCGTAGAACTTACCAGCAAGAATCTCACTAGCTTGTCTTACGCCCTGTGTCCCCCTGCATCCCAGGGGTGATGTGCAATGCGCAAGTGACTCGACACAGTGCACGCGTGTCAGCTGCAAAGGAAAAGCTTGGGCGGGGGAACGCATCTGATGCATCAACAGCCACAAAAAAAACCTTCTCGCAGGTCCAAGCTCCCATTGCGGGTGAGGCCAGAGAAGCGTCAGATCATGCATGATTGACCTTGTAGTGCTAACTACAAGGTCAATCACGCATGATCTGGGGTTTCAGAACTAGAATGTTGCACTGGAACAACCAACTGAGGCTGTAACTAGCTAATAAAAACGAGTGTTATGTTTGTTGAAGATGAATCTAGAAAGAAGATAATCTGTAGATAGCCAGACAACACAGGGGGCCCTGCATGTAGGGCAACAGGGACCGGGCCCCGGGGCATAGCGGTACGGGTTGCGGACTGCACACAAACTCTGGGAAGCAAGGGGGCGCATGGAGGAAGAAAAGCTAGTGAGATTATTGCCGGTAGGTTTTATGAGGGGTTCGCTGCTTACTTACAGCGTTGTTGAACAGCTGTTGTTCAAAAAAAAGCACTCTTTTGCGACGGAGGGGAACAACCTGGCGAGCTCCTCTAAGCACAGCGAAAACGCACATAGAAGTATTATTTTGCCTTTTGAGAGTTGTTTGATTGTTTAATGCATAGATTCTGGTTTCTGTGTCGCTGAGTCAATCAGAGGCGCGCACGTAGGAGTTAATGCGGGCTTTACATTGGGGGCGGGTTGCTCCTGGAAACAACAATCTTTTCCTCTCTATATATCTAGAAAACACCAGTCTTTTAATTCTTTGAACCCTGGCTCCCTTCACGTCTCCTACGGGGGTTGACATTAGGTATGCACGCTTAACGGGCGTGGGGTTGGTGCCCATAAACCAAAACCTCGCACAATGTCTACTGTATGAGAACCTAGTAACGCAGAACGGGCAAAAGTTCAATTATCTCCGACTTTGACACATCAGGATATAGTGGATTTCCTTGTGATGGGTGCTCCGAAGAAACCCGTTAATGAGCGCTTCCAGCCAGTGTACCAGTCAAGGGAAGTTGACACACTAGAACGAGAGGCAGACAGGCTTGTCAACACAATACAGAATATGGGTATGCTGCGACAATATTAGTAGTGCTGCCACAGATGCTTTGTGAGAGGGAGGAACACATGAGCACTTCCTTCGCTCTTGCCGAATTTGTGAAGATGAACCTTGAGCAGTGAGTTCAGGGAATATTTAGAGGGAGGTGCCTTGACGTACTGGATTCACCTCAGACAATCAGATGCAAATATGTCTAACTGGTCTCTCGAAAGCAACTTGCTACAAGGGTCAAGTGCTAAAACCCTAATCAGTGGAAAGGCGATCACAAGGCATACACGGCCAACTTTGCGCGAAAAGTTACACGAGATGTGGAATTAGCTGATGAAGATCTTGTTGAATACTTTTTGGCTAACCTACCCACAAACCTGAACCAAGATGTAACCCAAGGAGGCAAGGTGAAGTTGAATTACTGGGGAGATGCAGCAGCCGCCTTGCCAGACGTAGAAGCTCCCGGCTGTCGTAGAGGAAGGCCTGTTGATTCAGCGGCGTGAAATCCAGCTTAGTCTAGCAGGAGGGTTAGCGAGGGCGTGTGGCCCTCGCTAACTGGAGATGCAGCAGCCGCCTTGCCAGACGTAGAAGCTCCCGGCTGTCATAGAGGAAGGCCTGATGATTCAGCGGCGTGAAATCCAGCTTAGTCTAGCAGGAGGGTTAGGTAAGGTTGAGGTTAGGGAACGTTTGCCGCCTTGCGGCGACGTAGACGGCTTAGTGTGCGACAACTAAAAGGGTAGGGGGCAGCTGGTTACAAGCTGCCTCGCGCGTGCTGAAAGGTTACGGCGGAAAGGAGAAATTTGTAAGCGATGTGGAGGTGAGGATCACTACGCTAGATATTGCGCTGCACCAGGTAAGTTGACACTTTTTAGGGAACACGAGGCAATACTAGGGTATTTGAAAGACGAGAACACCAGCCACTTTTAACACAGCCAAGCCTAGGAGTTAGAGGAGACGAACGTCCTAGACACTCAAGATATGGTAAAGGAGTGCTAGTTGCATTAGCAACCGGACCGAATGCTACTAACTTCTCCCCAAGCTGAAAGGAGAGGCTTCTGCAGCCCACAAAGGGGTCGGCCGTCTAGGGGCTAAGGGCGAATCCACGAGCCGTGAGGAGAAAGAGAGACAAAGTTTACTAGAGGAGCAGAGAACCAATGCTGTGGCTGCGGGTTCGGAGACTCGAGGTAATGACTACGGGGAAGAGGCGCTTGCCGAGTCTACGGGAACTAGAACAGAAGACACGTCACCGGTGGCGGGAGGTGCTACCTGCAGAATGATACCACCGGCCTAGTCCCAAATTATGCAAGGGCCACCGCGGGGCTAAGGCTAAAATTCCCATCAAAGAGCTATTGCAACATGCACTGGGCAACAAGACTCATCTTCGGGGTGCGCTGCTGGGCCTTCACTCCATACGAAGTCTACAGAAACTATCCATGTGACAGAAACTATCCATGTGCGTGGGAAGTGACAGGTTCTACTAATCTATGAGGTGGCTGAACATTTTCAACGAGCCTGCACTACTTAGTCGTATACTGTACCTACAACAACGGTAGAGATGGCAAAGAGCCCCCATGGCCGTCAGCAACCTTCCATTTTACCAAGGTCAATGGCTACAGCCAGCTAAGTCAAGGACAACACCCCCTGGTGAAGAAATTTTTTTGCTGGATGGGATGCGGATACTATGCTTCGTTCAATGTGGTGAGGCGCCTAGCCGTTAGCAGCCGCTCCACAGGAGGGCAGATGCTGATGATTCCCCATTGATGGAGGAAAAGCTGAACTTTGACATTGGTTGACAATGGTAAAGGAGAACATCTGAAGTTTTACTTTCGCCAATGATCAGTGATAAACGTTGCCCCCCCCCCCCGCTGAGGGGCTGAGATTGGCAGCTACCGCCTGCCCCTTGTAACCATGCATTTCGACCCAGTGAATTGCGAGTCTTCGAACTCAGCTGAAGACTGTCGCTGCAGCATGGTCTGCCCGAAGCTGGCGTATGAACACTGACTTGGCCTTAGTACGCAGTCTGCATGCAAGCATACTTACAGCAGTTGTTTAATGTTAGTCCAGACGAGAAAAGGGGGATTCATTGCGATTCAATGCGAAGTTACATTGCATCATCAGTTGCAACACGGTGCGTTGCAACTGATGTCGGGCCGCCTCCTCATCTCAGACCCAAATTCTCGGGCCGCTGTGCTCAGAACGCGTGAAGCGGAAACGAACCCTTTTTCAGGAAGTTTAACCTCAAAGTTTTTGGCTTGATTGCAACCCACGATAGCCCTGAAATCAGCTGGCCGACCCACGTCCCAGTTGTGGGCAGCAAAACAGTAAGTTGCAGAAGAGTTCCAGGGGAGGCTCCTGACCTTACCTGCATTCTCCACACGCCATGGGCACAGCGGTTTTAGGGCCTGGGGCTGGTGAGGAGAGGGATTGCCCTGTCGTGAGTTGCTGCACTCTTTGCTGCAGCTACTGCTGCACGGCAAACACACACGAAAGCATAGCCATTCCTCCTGATGCATGGACTAACGCTGTAGAAAACGTTTGCTTGGCTCTCACTAGCTGAGTGGAGTTAGAAATGCATATAAAAGCTTAGGACAGCCCACGGTGCAAAACCTGCACGCAAGCAGAAATTCACGTACCAACCTCTGGCGGAATGTGTTACACGGGTAAATTGGAGACTTTTGTGAGTTGAAGAGCCTTTGATTACATACCAATTATGCAACTTCTGCTGCATAATTGGAATTGGTATGTAGTGAATGGTGTAAGCTTCAAGCGATGCAAGTCTTGGTGCCCGTCGGGAGCAGCCGCACACGACTGCTGGGACGACGAGGCAATTTCAGCATAACCCACTACTTGTAAGTGAAGTATAACTTTGCCCACTTTTTAGTGAGAATGCTGGTTTCGTTTTGTGGGTGCAGATATGCCCACTCCTTGCAGCACCATAGCTGAAACTCTACCCGCAGCCACCATTGCCTCCAACGGGGGCTTTGATCTGCTTGGATTTGTTGCTGCCTTGCAGCATTAGTTGCGTCAAGGTGCGTGACAGCCCAACTAACCCTCCTTTGACATATGCACTTATACTGCAGACAGTTGCTAAACACTTACCTGGCCCCCCATAGACAGCCTGAGCGCGCGTGCAGATACACGTACCAACCTTACACAGACCATGCTACAAGACACTCATCAAAAAAGCTAGCAGAAATGGAGTTGACCTCCCCTCCACTCCCCAGGGGTCCTGGGCACAGAGGCTCAAGAGATCGAAGTTGGTGCGGAGAGAAGGCAGCCTGTCATGAGCTGCAACGCACCTTGCCGCAACTCGTGCTGCAGGTCCCACGCGAGCACAGCACTGCTCAAGCACTAAAACTGCAGTTATTTCTAAAACACTTACTTGGGCAATACTTTCCAGCGTGTGCGCAAGTAGAAACAAAGGCAGTAACTTCACGCCGAGAATGCTGCATCTGAGACACTGCAGTGAACGTCCCCCTATGCTTCTACTACTACCCTGCGCTACGCATACCTACTGGTGCCCACTCAGTATGTGAACACTACACTCAGCGCGAAATCCTTAATTTAACCAAGAATCTCAAGGACTAGTCTTTAATTCGTATCCTAGTCCATTCTTCCTAAAGGAGGAAGACTACTAATCGTTCTGCCGTTGAATGTGCCTCGACTACTGCCATTCTCACATTTAACATCGGACCCTGGGTAGCTGCCGAGCGTAGTTCGCCTGATGGCCTTCCTTCCTGTCTAAATTCGGTTGATTTACTTCTATCAATATATTATTTGTACTCTCTTTGCCGAATAGTCAGGCCCAAATGGAATACCACTTGAGTGGATTGTGCACTACACACACCCTACTTGCATAGTGGTTTTCCATGGGATAAAAATAGGCCCCTGATGTTGCTTACCATCAACACCATTCACATTTATAGGCTGTAGAGCAGCATGCTTCACCAATAATTAATTCCATTAAGATAAAAACATTTTGACGACCCGAGTGCCTCCACATCTTCTCCATCGACGCATTACCGACTGTAGCATTCGTGACTAGTGTTTAACTCTAACTAAATCCCTGCGCACTTCACCAAAGTGTTACAAATTCACTATGTAGGATGCATGGCTGCTCAGACGGGAGCTGCGAGTCCTACTCAACCGCCATGCCACTCTGAGTGAATGGGATCATCCAGCCCCAAACATTGCCATCGGAGCTTCGATGGCCCAGCCTCTCAACGCTCCAGCAATCGAGCCGTTTTTTGTCATAGGAACAACTTCTTTCGTCGTCTTTAGCACATATATACTGATTTCCGCACCTCCTGCAGTGACCGACACAATATTTCTTGTCGAAGGGACATCCGAACCGGTGCTTCTGCTCAACGGATCCATACTAGACGGACGGGGATGCCTCAAAATGCGGCCCCTCACTGAAGACGAAATAAAACTTGTTCTGGAAAAGCTGTCCAAATTGTGAGCTGCTTAGGCCGCGTAGCGGCGGCCCTCCAGGCTGTCTGCGTCGCGAAGGCCGCACAAGAGAGGAAACCCTTCCCGGCTCTCCCTGGCTGTTTCGCTCTGCCAGAGGGCCAACAATCTGCTCGAAAGTAGCTGCTGGAGGGGTGAATAGTTCAGACGTATATCCCCACGGAACACTGTGCGCAATGCGGCTTCTCTGCAGCCTGGGCGACAACTTGCTTCACATGATTGAAAACCCTTCAAACCCTCATCTCTTCCGACTGCACCGGGATCGTGTTTTCTTTTTGAGGTGGGCATTAACCATTTGAGATTATACGTGAAGGCGGCCTACAAGACCTGAAGAACGGCTGCATCTGTGGAACTGACATTTGTGACTGTCTTCATGAGACCCGCCTGCCAGCAGGCAGAATTTGTGCATGTGCGATATCGCCGTAGTAAGCTTTTTTAATGGACTGAGAAGGATGAAAAAGGATGATCGTCACCGTTGATGGAGCTGTGTCTGTCTTCAGTGAAAAACTGCTGAAGGCCGCCGGATGCATTCCACGCAAAAACCTCGTAAGTTTTTGGTTGCAGCACGCATAATGTCCATAATTTAGAAATTAAAGCGGCTTCAGCAGTTGCACCTTCTGGCAGTTGCGAAGTGAGGATTTACACGTTTCTTCGCCCAAGTCCGTCTCTGCGGAACTTCTGGGTCTTTGCACCGTTTCCGCGCAGCTGAGTGCTGGCCAGTGCATTGGTAAGATCACCAAAGGGCGGAAGTTCAGACTTGGGATTACGGCTTTGCACTTGATTGCCCGGTATGCGCCGCACAAGGTGTGGCTAAACCCGGGAGGAGAGCAGGCGTTTGTGTACGGGAATCACATCGTTAAGGTGAGACAAATTCAGAACTGTGACGGCCCGCTGCTACTTTTAAACACCACAAAACGGCAGTCTGTCATCTGGCGTCGCCCGATTGGAGGCTGCTGCGTACAGGTTCCTATGGAACCATATACTGCATATACGTGGTAAATCTTGCCCTCCGTCCCCCTCTGGGGATGGAGGGCAGGCTTACCATTGCTATCTTTGTTCATTCCGGTTATGCACAACTTCGTTTAAGAGTAGCCTGCAGTGTGGAAAAACAATAGCATGGGGTTGGAACATTCTATTGCAGAATTGTGACTTCCTTTGTGGCTGCAGCGCCACGTAGGCCGGCTAACCGCGGACATGCCCAGTGGTGCAGGCGTCTGTGTGCTGTCTTTGAATGGGGACTTACCTTTGGGCTTTGGGACAAGCGCGAAATCAACAGCAGAAATTCACACGGCTCCAACGGAGGCTATCTCGTTCTACCACCATGCAGACGTTGGCGAGTATCTCCGCGAGGAGGCAGACCTCGTTTAAGGCTTTAGACTTGAATCAAGTTTTCCGTGAGGCTGAGTCGTTCTTAAATGAGCCACAACAGCTTGTGCCTACATGAGGAATAGTCAATTCGTTCACAGTTTACCAACACCGGAGTAGCTTTTTTCACTTCTGAGTTTGGTTACGAAGGTGGTAGAGTACTGTGGCCGCAGCTGTGACGGCTAGGTTTAAATTGTTTTTCTCGGCTTGCTTGCGGTGCATCCGCATTTGGCATTGGAGCCGATATTTGTGTAAGTTTCATGCTAGCGCTACTCGGAATTGCAGATGTGATATTTTTTGCTGCCTCTCGTGAGACAAACTGGTGGCTACAGCACTATGTGAATTGCGGCCACTGCACTTCTGATACGTGTAACGGTCGGAGGGTGTCAGAGGGTGGGCTGCGTACTTGGCCACCCTTTTAAGAACTTCAAATAATCCTACGGTAGTTAGACTGTTGTGAGAATAAGCGCGGCGGGTGAGTGAGCCATGGATGGGCTTCTGCAGAAGGAAGGACGTTCGAGCAAGAACTGTGCCGAAAGAAACTGCTAATGTAAGAATGCCGATATAATTCAAAAAATATGAGAGAGGTACAAACAGATTTGATCAGGGATAATATTTTAACTACTAGCACATTGCCGAGCTGGCAGTTACCGTCGCCTAGGAGCAAATTCGCTCTAGTTCTCGAAATCACGGAGGGACTACTGTTAGACCGATGAGACATGAAGTAAAAACCAAGTCTCAACTGTTTTCTTCTCTTTCATTTCTTTTTGAAAGGGAATGTGGAGGAGAGAATCGGCTCGCTACTTCCCAGGACCTAGGGTCCGAGCAGGCTTGATGGTTGACCGGTGGTGTCTGCTGGTTCGTCTGGCTCTCACATGCCTACACAGGAAGTCAATTAGGTGTTCTCAATGACAGCATTAAAATGCTTGTAGTCATTCGTGTACGGCGGCTTTAGTAGATGACGTTTTCAACTTCTCCTCATAGGGGCGAATCAGAGTTACGATCGACGCCGCCAGTCCCGCAACCAAGTTCCTTGGGGTCAACAGATGCTGCTGGCACAGGAACGTGACGAAAAAACCTCTTTTGGAGCCCTTTAAAGGGCCTGATATATCTTTGGACGCCATTGCCACCATGCTGGGGACCTCACAGTGCTTCGTTCATTCGGTGTTTGCAGCGGTGATCATTGCTCCGTTAGTGAGCTTGGTGGCTGAGGGTATAAGAGAAACAGGGGGTAAGCACTTGAAGCATAATTCTGACAGGTAACCTCCCAGGTAGTTTCATCAAAGTTGACGAGCCATCCAGCCAGTTGGCAGCCCACACGGCTGTGGAAGATGGTATCTCCAAGCTTACAAGGTTCTTACAAGGTTTTGGTGTTCCAACTGTCTGGCAGTGTCTCTGCGTGCTCAATTTCAGCCAAAGGCCGGCACGTTGGGCACTCCTGGATGAAGGAGGCGGGGTTTATTTCACTGCAAGACTCTCGTACAGGCGTCGCAGCGTCCGATAATTCTCTACAGCAGGCAGATTTCTCTTTAGAAAGGCAGCGATTGCCTGAGGGCTCTAAGGACCCGCTGGATCTTCTCCTTGACTCGCGGGAAACGGCAGGCCTCCATTTTGCTGAAGGAATTTTGGATGCAAGGGGCAGCAGTGCGGATCCTGGAGTTCTCGGCACGAACCTCAGCGCTGCAAGCGCACAGTCATTTCCCCTTCCATTTGCTCAAGACCTGCAAAAGAGGCCACTCAACGTGCAGGGTACCGGTGCGTTGGAGGGAGAAGATCAATAAGTCTGCAGATAATCTTACTTCGAGAGAATTCCAAGGAACTGTTGTTGGCCTGTGGATATTTGGGGAGGGACGCTTTATTCATGGCCGTTTGCGAAGTTTCCTGTGCGTCTTCAGCTCTTTACCCAGAGGCAGCCGCCGTGTTGACTCCAGCCCGTTATTCAGCGGCGTTGCAGTGGGACATCAGCAAGCATATTCGCTCCAGCCCGTACGCAGAGCGCTCCTCATAACATCCCGCCTCCGTTATTCTTTCATGTGAATTTGTGTATTGCCACTTGCTGACAACCGTGGGACACGATTCATATCGTCGTAGCTCTCGCTTAACTGATATGTCTGGTCTTTCGAGCTCAGTGGAGTCACGCCCATAATACGCGCTCGATGGCACACGGCCGAACAATACGTGGCTGCGGCGGCAGCGCTTCGGGACGACCGGTAGGCATCACGCGGCTTGACCACTTGCCGCACAAATGTTTCTCCCTCAAGCAGTTCGCTCATGCAGTCGCACGAAGGCCGAGGGGAAGTATTTGAAGTGCAAGTGTATCCTTTTCCTTCTGCTTCAGGTGGAAACCTTTCTTCTTCGTTGTCCTTGCTGAGTAGTAAGCACGCATGTAGAACCTGCTCTTAACCATTGGGCAGCAAACTGCCAGTTGTACATTCTTCAAAGCAAATCTTGAAGCGTGCACTTACTGTTGCCTTTGCTTTCGGGAAAACATATATTTTTAATGCCTTACTAGCCTTCGTGCGTGTCAACCCGTGCAGTGCACCGTTGAAAACCCAGAGGCCCAGTCAGTTCTTGAGGGAGAAAGCCCTCGCGCTTGTTCCTGCAACTCAAGAATCTTTGACAGATGATAAGGGAAGGCCGCTACCGTACCCATTTTCTCTACCCACTCCACTGCAACTCCTGCAGAGTGCATTTGGGAATGAGTACGCAGTCAAAGAACTGGGTGCTGACCAGCGTCCTTTGGGTGCTGAGTCGTCGGGCGGTTCCACCAGTGGCCCAGGAGCCAGTATTTCGCCGGGTGCTGGATCATCAGGCCGTTCCTCCGTATATGAGTCTAGCCTAACGCGGGAGAGGACTAGCGCATTCTTGCGCTGGATACCGTTTGGCTTGACACGCAAGTCTTCCGCAGCCGACGTTGTCGGTGAGTCTCCTGTGGACACTCGAGCCGGAGAAGTTTCTTCGATTGAACCTCCAGAAAATGAAGAGGCATTTGTCAAAGCTCTCTCTAGATCCTTGCCTCGACGCTGGCTCACAGCACCAGATGGGTAAGGTAATTGACAGGCCTCGGCCTTCGCCAGCAGCACTGTAGGAGAAACACACTAGGGATTTTTGGAGACCGCGTAACTTTGTTTTTTGTATTTTCTGCCAATGTTGTAGGCGGCGTCTGGTCATTGTCTTGAACGACCAGATCACAGAATGTAGGAGACTGCTGCATCTCGCAGTAAACTCGTCGTAAGTAACTGTGGACTCTACGTGGCTGCAGTAGTTCAGGATTCCCTTAGCGTGTCTGTGCGCTGGGCATTGCCTCAGCCTCGCCAGTGACGTTGCAATGTGCAAGTCAATGCCCACTTGTATAATCATTGCTAAAGCCATGCGAGACGTACGACTTCACGGTGATTGTGATGTCTTTGTGAAAATATGCATAAAGTAACTCTTTGCTTACTGTGAAGCGTTTTTTGGTGAATAGGAGTGGAGGCACTCCTGTATTTGTGGAGAGTTCTGAAGGCATTGATCCACGAGAGCTGCTAATGCGCCTGAGACAGGAACGTATAGGCGGCAAAAAACTGTGAGTCTGTTCGAAAGCAAAGCCTCGAATCCTCGCTCAGTTCATGCAAGTTACGTAGCTCTCAAGTACTGCGTAGCCTGAGTGAAGCTGCTGTGTTGTGACCCCGTCTTCAGCGCCTTCTTACTTTTTGCTCTGGGAGGGACAGAAATGTTGCCGATGAGTACTGCATTTATAGAGCGTGCAGTGCTACGAGTGCCCAAAGCGGATGATATCAAGTCATTTCTGAAGCGAAAGGAGGAAGATGCAGCTAAAGAGTGGGCATCCAAGGAGGAGGAACTGGAGGAGAAGCGGCAACGCATGAAGAAGCGCAAAGAGCATCTTTTGGAGTTAGAAAGTGGAAGAAAGGCTGTTAAGATGGACGAAAAAACCATCAATTTGCAGCAGGTGTGCCCATAGGTATCCACTGCTGTGTTTTCCATTCCCAATAGATGTGCGTTTCGAGCTTGCACGTTTAATCTAGCTAACCACTTTTTGGTGCGTCTTTGAGAAGGGCTCGGGGAATGTCGGTCAACTCGAGGCGCATAGCCCAAAAAAGGCGGAGCAACCTCCAGTACTGGTTCTCAATCCGTTCGATGAGTATCTGCTTCGCTTCAACTACACGGAAGTTAGCGACCTGACCAGCTATGCCGAGGCCCTCGCGATGGAGCTGAGGAATGAACCTCTCGAAATCTCAATAGGGTATGAACCCTCTTGTACCTAGTCGTCTATTCAAGCGAGGGGAGCAGAACCATTCTGCATTGGTCGGCAAGACTAGAAGATATGGGATGCGTTTTTGTGGTGTGCCTTTAGGGGGGAAACGCACCGAATTGCTGTAATGATCCTATCGGAGCCTCTCGAAACAGAAGCTGAGCTTGGCCCGACGTGGGTCCGCCTCAACAGACTAATTCATATGGCCATCGCCATTTCAATGATTGTTGGCCTTCTTTGCTGCTTGTGCATGTGGCGGCTGATGCTTCTTCTAAAGCAACGCTAACGCACAACACAATAATTTATTTATTTCATATTGGAAACCAAATATCAGAAAGCTTATTACCGCAAGCGAGCTGCTATTTGCATCAATCAAAGGTTGCAAGAGTTTCGGACTGGCCCTGATGGCGCCAGTATAACTGTCCCTTGCGAATCCATAAACTGCCATCTAGAGTCTTCGTAGTAATCAAACGCAGTGGCTTTGCTTTACTGTATCACGGTGGACATGGTCGCGAGTAAGCATTGGCACATTTCAGGTCTTCCTTTGACTTTTCTAACACGAAATGCATTTGCCTCCTTAGCAACCCGGGTGGCTAATACTTTTACATATTTTCAGTTGGCTGCATTAAACTAGTATGAAACAGGCGGTAGGATGCTGAGCACGGTTTCTTTACCCCTGTTGTATGCACGCTCGCTTTCCTTCAGTGCATGTTGCATTTTTTCGAGCACTACGGTCTCCAGGGGTTTTATACTTCCTCCCTCGATCACAATTGGGGGGTGGGCCAGCTCGCCCACTCTAGGCTTGAAAGGTCCAAGCAGAATGTAGTACAGGGAGATGCATTTTAGATGTCCTCGGCAGGCTAGATGCTTGCTGTACTTGATGCACCCTTCATCTTAGCCGATCATGAGGATAGGCTTCTGAATGCTGACTGATAGATCCATAAGCACGCGTTGCAGCTGTAACCTTAGATGAGGCATAGAAGCTGCCAAAGCAGTTCTAACCATTGTCCAAACTGGTATTTCTCGGCACAATCCGACCGTGGGATTCCCGGTGCGCCTGCATCCGAAGGATGTTAGTAAGTGCTTCCTGGTTAGTTCGTACTTCTGTTCACTCCGCTTTTACTGAGGCGTGCACATATTTAATCATAAACAGGATCTGAAGACATGTGGGAGGACGAAAGTGCTCCAAGGCAAGCCGAACAGGAAGCCGTGAATGGCAAGGAAGACACGGATTCGTCAGCTGTGGAAGCATGACGGCTATGTTCAGAATCCTTCACGCATCGCCGGTTTGGCTTCCAAGACAGTTCTTGGGGTCGGAAAAAGAGAAGAAGCGTCTACATGAAAAATAAATAGCTGGGTGCTGTAGGCGTTTCAGTCTATCGTCGTTTACGCGTTGCAATCGGCCCACATTGTACGGCAAAATCGTGCCAAGTAATTCCTCCAGTAAAACATGGACTGCTCATTGTCGAATATTTCCCATTTAAAAAAGATTTCGTGTGACGAGTTATCCTGCTATCTATGTCTTCGTTCCGAGATACTCGGAGTCGTGCTAACCGTACAGATGTTGTGGACCGGCACTACAAATGGTGCTTGAATTGGTCCTCTAGTGGCCTATCGAGCAGAATGAGTAGAAACCAAGGCTTATTAGAAAATGAATCAAGCACCAACATACAGAAAAGAAGGCCATGAGACCAAGGCTGCTCGGCAGAAAACCAGGGTTCGGGGCTGGCTGTGAGGCTGGCACTGCCGCCCAGTCGCCGACCCGCTAGGGGGTCAGTAGAGGCATTCTATTATTCTTGCTCCTCCTTTTTATGATTATGAGAAGCGAATGTGTTTTAAAGGATGTGGCTTGTTATTTTTGCTTAATCTTGGGGACATTCGCGGAGTGTAGCGATAGATACAGAGCGTGAACCTAAGTAGGTGTGTGTAGTGTAAGACGTAGTAACAGCCGCGCGAGAGCCGTTGACTACAGCAGATGCGCAGCCGACAACGGACATGTACTAATTAATAGTGGAATGCGGGCGTAATTGGCGCAAAAATTGTGCCGGTTTGCTTTAAAACACTGCTACTGTAATTTTAAAAGTTTTTTATTCCTTTGAAATTGAGCATAGGCCGCCTTCTATACAGGAAGGCTGAAATGGTTCTAGTGGTGAAGCGTCGGTGAGGGGGACTGGACCGCCGGCCTTCCGGGACTTCCGCAGGAATGCACACCGCAGCAACATGTTTTAACTTTGCTTTCTCTTTTAGCTTCTTTTGGAAATTAGACAATAAAATCTGGGGAGTCTTCTGCCCGGGTTTTCCAAAATCTGCACCCAGTTCCCTCGAGTGGCGATCGCGGGACTCGCTAGGGGCTTGCTGCCCGCTGTGGGTCGAGAAAGGCCTCAGTATTGGAAGCAATATGAGCAAAAGAGGGCCAATGACAAAAAGGTATCAAATCTCTGCTGTTTGAAGTTGACTCACACACTTTGGCATGCTGCGGTTACATCTGGCCGTGACGCCGTACAGCTGCCCAACCTAATCAATCTTGTCTAAATCTTAATCTCACCTCCTCAAACGCAGCGAATCACTGCTCATAGTTCAAACTTTCTGAATAATCTTTTGATGGCCATTCAAGAACCTTGCGCACAAGACAGGCGCTGTCAGCGACAGTGGACCGACCACCCATTTTACATATGGCTTGAATGTCGACATCGTAGAATTATTGAGGGGAGCCAAAACGCCTCGACGGAACAAATCTTAGCATGAATACGCTGAAGCTTCTTTGTCTGCCTGCGCGAGGACTTTCTTTTACTCGCCATCAGCAGTTTCTTTCTATCGGAGCTTCAGGCAAGAAACGCACTGCAGCTATTTCGTGGTCATGAATACCCCAAACAACACAGGGATGGCCTCCCCACTAGGATACCCCATGCACAGGCAGGGTCCCTCAACAGCACGTTCTGCTGCTATGCGCATGCCAGAGATGGTTCGCTTCTGGTCACCAAACAATGCCAGACAAGCCAGCGCAAGGAAGATTCCAGCAGTGCAACCAGTCCAACAAAGGTTCCATACCCTTCGCCCTTCTCAACAGCCACCGCCTATGATTCCTAGCAGTGTTGCCATGCCGTTTGGCCCACCAGTTCCTACCGGCGGCCCGATGCCCCTGACTAAGCAAGCAGAGCAGCAGACTCCAGTAGGTCCCCATCAACCTCATGCTCAGATAATGTGGCGTTCTATGACTCCTTCCACTTTCGTCTACAGCTGCTACCGCCCAAGACAGGCTGCAGTGCGTCCTGCCAGCACAGGCCCCAGACTGGCTCCAAGTACAACCATCGACGTGGATGGGCAGCCCACCCAGCCGCAACCCAAGCACCAGTCCCAGCCAAACAATACCAATCCTGGCCTCTGGCCTGGTTCATGGGCGCGATTAGCAGACAGAACAAACCAATTTATTATTCCCCATCAGAGCTTATGCCCTCCAGTGCTGCTGACGCAGCGCCGTGGCCCACTTCCTTGTACTTCTGATATTGGAGTAAGTCCGTCTATTCAAACCCGTTTCAGGAAAGATAGCAGGGATCCTTTTACTTTGCGTCCGGCGGTTGTAGGGACAGATAACTGTGCCCTCCCTCTCCGGCAACAGTGTGCCAGAGGCAACTCTCCTGGGCTCCAATGCTGGCGGCCACACTCGGTGCCTCCCCAGGGGCATGCTGAGTTTCGTCGTGCTGGTGTCCCTAATAGCCTTCAGTCCTCTATTCCCTCTAGGACAAATCCTGGGGTGAGGGCACCTCATCCTTCGGTTGCGCAAAAAACGCAAAAACTGCTGGCAGGGGCAAACTTTAACCGATCTGCCAGCACGCCGCCAGCTCCTGGCCGCCCAATCCCCAGTCTTGCCAGTCGTTTCTGGTCTTTTTTCAGTGGTTCAGTAGGGCAAACAGGCGATTGTGAAAGGGAAGTGATGCAGAAGCGGACCCACGATGCAAGGATTTCTTCAAGTGACGACCTCCACAGAGGCCGCCTTCCCGTCCCTACAGTGAGCTGGGCCCCTACAACGGGCGATCTCCGACATCAAGTACAACAAGGACGGGATAGCAGTCAGCAACTAATCCACAAACCTCAAGCTGTGAATTTACCGGGTTCCCGTCCTCCTTCCCCCAACATGAATCTTCGGCAGGGTGCCTGCTGTCAGCCCTCAGTTAGAGTCCCACAGGCTGACGCGACGGGATCTTTTGTGCCTCACCAGGACCTGATTGCACAGGACAGGTCGCTACATGCCTCTGTTGTTCAAGAAGAAAATAAGCGAAACAGCTTGCATGGTGAAGGTTCTGTGAAGATGCAACTGCCTCTACAACGGGAGCAAGGAGTTCAGCACTCCCGTCAGCGCGTCCAACTTCCAACATCCGGCGCCCAACAAACCCCCCACTTTTTGCCGCAGTTTCAGAAGGGAGATCTTCTCTGGCAGCAGCAACAACTTCTGCAACGGCAAAGAGAGGTACTCCAGCAGCAAAGGGAAAAACTCATGCAACAGCAGGCTTCCTGGGAGCAGCAGAGACAGAAGACGTTGCTGCAGAGTGAATGCCTCCCTCAGCAGAAGACGAAGGCCAAGAACTCCCAGCAATTCTCAGGATGTCACGAAGCACTTGGCAACTTTAACGGCGTGCAAGCAAAGGAGTTGTCCCCCCCTCCGAGCTGCTCCGTAAATCCACGTGCCGCGTTACATCGCAGTTGTAAAGTCCTTGACCATGAGCAGTCTAGTGCCCATGTTGAGGGGAAACGAACTGAAATACAGTATAGTCCTAGGACCGAACGTATGAAGTGCAACGATCCCAGTTCTCAAGGCACTCCCGGACTGCCCGAGGCTCCACCGCCCCTAAAGTGGGAAGTCAGCGAGACTACTGAAGCTTCTGTTGGGTCCTCAGGTAGCGCTGACTTCATCACAACAGCGAACAAGAAGCTGCAGTTCACAGCGGTTGGCGGGAGTCGGGAACAGCGCTTGCAGTTGAGGTGCGAAGTGATCGGAGACCCAACCGTTAATTCTACCAAATCAGCAACGTTTAAAGGGACCACTACTTCTGAACAAAACCCACTTGAGGCCGAAACTGACGTACAGACAGATCCTGCCGCTGAAATAGGCGAGAGCCTTTCCTGTAGGCAAACGGAGGCTTCTGGTAAGTCTCAAACCGCAGTTGAATACCAAGGGGCTGGCGGCGCGGCAGAGGCAGAGGGCGAGTGCTCGTCTTCAGATGATGGTGCGCCCACCGTACAGCACGAGGGAAATGCCGCAGATGCTGGAAAAAGCGCATCAAAAGAGGCGGCGACGAATACTGAGGACAAGACTGCTGACTTGCAGGTACAGAAAAGGTTCATATGGAGTCCAAGACTACGCCGCCTCCCCCAGGATACATTTAGAATTGGTCCTCATGATCTTATCCCGGTAGGCCCACTGATAGCGGCGATCTCGTCAACTTGCAACGGTTGGAACGACGAAAACTGCATCACTACTGAAAATTGCACAGAAGACCCTAGCTACATAGAAGCATATTTACCTATAAAATCCCTTGCAGAATTCGAAAGCTTCGATAAGGGTCAGGAGGCCCAAAACGTGCTGGACGTACGCCGAGACGTGGTTGGCTGCGGGACCTACGGCATTGTCAGGAAGCTAAGGCACAGGAAGGGGGGCTTCACTGTCGCCGTCAAGAGCATTGAAAAGGAAACTGTGGTGCAGGCTGGCATGGTGAACCAAGTGGAATTCGAGCTTTACGTACAACGGGATTTGCTGCGACATCAGAACGTGCTGCGGTGTTTTTCGTGCGTTGAGGACGCTGAATACCTTCACATAGTGCTGGGGTACTGCGAACAGGGCGATCTTTACCGCCGTATTCGGGAGCAACCCCACCGGCGCTTCTCAGAGCTCGATGCCTTCTGTTTCTTTGCGCAACTGGTCAATGGTCTCCACTGTGTTCATGCCAGTGGTATCATTCATAGGGACTTGAAGCTGGAAAACCTGCTGCTAACCAAAGGGAATGTACTGAAAATTGCGGACTTCGGTTGGTGCGGCTCGATTGTTGGTCGCGACCGAAGCTTTAGCTTTTGCGGGACCCTGGACTATCTCGCTCCTGAAATGGTCAAAGGCCAAGGGCACGACTGGCGTGTCGACTTGTGGAGTTTGGGTAAGGTGATGGCTTCCCACCGTTTCAACCACGAAGAGTGTGCTCTCGAGCTCTCCTTAGCAGAGTAGGGTGTGTCTGCAAGGTACTTTGTGGTATTTTGGCGGGCTTTTGCGTTCACCGAAAACCTGCGGTTTCCCCCAAAGACAATATTGTACTTACCGGTTGCGCCATAGAGCTATCTGTTCGAAACTGTGATTATTTTGGTGTAGGGGTTCTTCTCTATGAGCTTCTAGACGGGCGACCCCCCTTCCAGTCCACTAGGCACTTTGAACTCGTTCAACGGATAATAACAGTGGATATCAGAATACCCAGCGTAAGCTTAGCTTATAACTGCAGCTCTTGCCAGCGGTTGACACACAGGTGCAGCTCTTGTTAACGGCTGATGCAGCATTCAGTTCTTCATGCGCCGTGCAGTGTGTCTTCGTCTCCGCAGCATATCAAGGAAGATGCCGCAGACTTGGTTAAAAAGCTCCTCAAATATAATCCAAGCGATAGGCTGCCGTTGGTTGGTAAGGGCAAGCATGCAGAAAGCGACCTACAACTTTCCCTCAAATTCCTTGGCTTAGTAGATGGCACGTGCGGGTATTGGCTGTACTGGCATACATGAGTTTGAGGTGTGCCCCTTTGCGGACGATGCAGGCGTTGCTCAGCATCCTTGGGTCCTTCGGATGTGGAAGGAGCTGCAGTTGCACCTCTTGCAAAGACATCCTACTGTAGACCTGGAAAAGTTGGTGTCTGGGGCATCCGTCACCGCGTCAGAAGTTGCAGCAGAGCTTTCACCGTGTTTGGCTACACCCCGGAGCTCTGCACTGGTTTGCCCCCAACAAGCAAAAGAATTCGGCAGCTCCCCAAAGCAGAGCACAGTTTCCAAGGGATCGGCAGTAGCAGCCAAGAGTAGCGTTTCGCGCTTTGCAACCAGATTATCAGCTGTTCCAAGTCGCCAATATCTCTCTGCGGAAAGGGCGGCAAACATTCCTGTACTAAGTAACCGGAAGTGCTCTGGTAAATTAGACCTTGACGCTGTCTCCAATGAAGGCTGCAGGGAAAGGTTGAATTCATCTTCATTGACAGAAACACCGGCGAAGAAAGGGCCCTCTATCATCAGGAACGCCTCCACTTCCACTTGTTCCCAACCCCGTCGCAGGACACTCCCAAAAGCCACGCAGACCCCTGGCCATACCCGTACTGTTCGATGCACAAACCGAGTTGCTGGGACAGAGCGAACACTAGCAACGGAGTGCTCGGAATCGTCAGATATTTGCGCAGCTCATTCGGCATCGAAAAGGAACGCATCTAAGGGACGGCCCACATCGGTAGGGCAGAGGAACAGGAACCGAAAGGCACCTCTAGTCGATCAATCGTTTGATTTGCCGAGTGCAACGTGGGTGATGGAGAAGCTGGAGGCCAGCCCTTGTCTGCAGGAAGATTCACCTACCACAAACGCAATGGGAGGCGTACCTGCTAACGACCAGCAGCAACACGGCATTGGTGCTAGCACGGCTGGAAGCACCTCAAAGTACTATGCAGATCCTTCACAGCATATCCCATTCAGCTGCCTGGCAGGATGTTCTAGCAGAGAAAAGCAAGATCGTGCTGCGGGAGAAATTCAGTCTCCCATGTCACGTCGCCGTCAAGGCGTAGCCTTTTGTGTAGATGAGCAGTCGACCGACGATCTAGCGAACTGCTCCACTGTAGTCTCTGAAGATGCGGACTTTTACACCTCCAATGATGCCACGTCGTTACGCAGCCTGAAGAAGCTGCGCAGCGTATCTGCCAATCCCAACGGCTTGGGACGTGCCGGTGCAACGCTCCGGTTGAGGTCAACTCCAAGCAAGCACCACGTTGAACAGGACCCAACAAAGGTGTTAGACTTTCCGCATTGCCGCCTGCGAATTGGATCGGAAGTTCACCATGGACTGCACTCACCCAGCCAGCAACCTGTGGCTTCATCGCCAAGCGCATATGATGCAACCAATGCTCCTGCTGTAGGAAACAAACAACGGACCCTGTCTAAGTCTACAAAATCCCACGTTTGTACAAAATTGGGGCCTACTGGTTTGGACAAGGAGCAATCCTTCAAGGATTCTAGCACGGAGTGCCTCTCACAGGGGCCACTATCACCAGAGGTCTCTAATGGCCAAGGCGTTCCTCCAGACTGCCGTCAAAGTTACTCTCAGCAGGTTGCCCCACCCGACAGCAACCTCGAGCACTGTCAGGGATATACAGGAAATGGCTATACACGCGTGCAGTGGTGTACAAAGATATCAGAGTGCCAAATGCCTGTAAATGAAGGAACTACCCCTGGCGAAGCTGGCCGATTACGGCCTTACCTAACCTTCCAGGCAGTGCCAAAGCGGCGTCTCGCCAATTGTGTAGCAGCCATTCCAGCAGTGCAGCACTTGTACTTCCCTCGCCCGGAGACGACGGCTTCCGATGGTACTGCGGCCCTGTCGCATTCTACAGTGTTTCCAAATGGCCAAGGCCTCATGGGACAAGTGCACCCAAAGGACACGATGGGGACCATCCCTAAAAGGATGCCATACGAAAGGGGCGTGATGGACGGTACTCAGGCCCGCAGACTCCCGGTAGTGATTTCAATGCCACAGCCGAGCAGCACGAAATTTGTGAGTAGTCCAAGCTCTCTGTTCAGTTCGAGCTGAGCAACAGCATAACCAGGCTCTTTTAGCCGCCTCTTTATCCGTTAATTATGCTTTTTCAAACTTTTCCCTTCACTTCTAGGATGCAAATCAGTTCCCTTGTAGGGAGAGGGACGCTCCATCGCGCACATACTCTCGCTGTCCCAATATCGACTGAGCTGGGAAGAATTCAATCATTCTGCCTTGCGTAGAAGCTACGACGAAGTGGCACGTCAATGCTACAGTAGAATGCAAATTTCGCAGGTATTGATTTGGTCCTCCAACTCTCTCCTGAAACATCGGGAAAATTTTTTTTCCGCCGGCCCGGAACTGTGGCTGCGCTCGCTCGCAAATTACTGAGCTTGACAAGAGAACAGATTGGACTAACAAATACGGATGCCTAGTGTAACAGCAGTTCTTTTAGCGTCAACTAAGCATCTTTGGTGTAAGGGGCACGCTCTTCGCTTTTGGTGGGCGTTAGCGCGAGCGAGGACTGCGCTCAAAGAACGGTCAGCGAGCGCGCAGAGAGCGCCGGAGTCAAGTGCCAAGTTACTTTGGTGATACTCTATGTAGCGACTTTTGAACAGTAGGGGAACTCCCCCGGACAAGGCAGCGCACTGCAGGGGCTTGCGTTCTCACACCAGTCCCCTCACGAATGCATGGTGTCTTCGGCGGGAATGTGAGCATCCACTCAATTGCCAAGTCCTCCAGTACAGCCTGTGGCCTAATTACCATGCACTTTTGAGCAGTGCACCTGTAGCATCGACTGTGCTAAGCATCGATTCGAATAGACTAACAGAGGTAACAAAATCAAGGCATTCCCTCGAAAGAAGGCTCGGTTTAAATTAGCCGGGATGGCTTCACTATGAGCAATTGGGTGCAAAGGTGGAAGGGGATGCGCACGAGGTTGGATGGGACTCGTAAACAGTTCCGCATTCATATGGCCAACGTCAGGCTCCGTTGTGAACTTCTACCAATTCGACCCCACACATCCAATCTGACGTGCCAGCGCGCTCGACTGCAGCTCACTAGGCCTCACAGCAAGGCCGAGGACAATGGCCATCGGCTACGAAAGGGTTAAGCTTTAAGGCAAAAATAAAGCAACTGTGCCTAAAAAGACCTTATGCACTATCCGTCACTGTGCGGGTACTACAGCAGTGCGTAGCCACTGCAGCCTAATGCAACCTCCTAGTCCGAGTGCAAATCGCTCGTCGAGAATGGCGTCTTCTTACATTAGGGCAGCTTCATCGGGCAATGATGGACCGTCCATATATACTCCCCCAGCACAACATGCAGGCAGCCAAGTGATCCAGAAGCTGTTTTGTGAACAGAGTTCGCGTTAGCAATTATTTGAGGAACGATGCGCTTCTTAGGGCGTGGCCAGCTCTGAAGTCTCTTCACTTCGCGAGTTCTGCACTCAAACGGAATACATCTGCTGTTACAAGAGTTCTTGTTATTAGCTTTGGGCCGTCGAGAGCTGCAACAGTGCCAATACTTCTAATAAAACAGCTCCCAAGGACAACAACCCGCTGGCCTCTCCTCCTGTTTACAGGCGTCCAAAGCAAATCAGTATAGGGTCCTGGGGCCGAAAGGAGAGCAGGCGCCTCCCTGCAACACGGGTCCCCGGCCTTCGCGTAGAACTCTCGTCAGCTGTTGAGGAGTAAATCCACGTGCGACAATAGTTCCCAAAGCAGCTTCCCTCTCCTCCTGCCTCCCCATGTAGTGGCACGCATCAGCCCAGCGTCCTGGTGCTAATGGGGAGAGGTGGAAGCCTAACCTGAGTTGCGGCACTTCCCTCTACACTCTACAACCCCTGCCGCGCACGTAAACTGCAGATGCAGAGAAACCCCAGCTCCAGTTCGATGCATGCCTCGTAGGCAGGTGTTTGATACTTACTTGACTCATAGTAGCTCATGTGGGCAAATATTAGCGCAGTTGCCAACACTGCCTGCGACTAACGGGGTGGTAAGGGGCGATGCACTTTTCCACCCCGTTACTCGCAGGCAATGGTCAAGGACTCCCTGTGTTGCATGCAGCATTACTTGTATTCTTCAGCAGTGTAATGGCCACGGAAATTTGCAAGAAGAGGGTTGCAAGGAGGATGGGGAGACAAGTTCAAACACAAAACTTCGAGCGTCGTGTGAAAGAATGGCGGCGCGCTCGACGAGCAGATAGCTAGTGTCTAGGGACTCCTGAGTATTTTGGAGGGAAATTTTCGCGATATTCTATGTTGGCACTTAATTTGAAGTCGGTGCTATAGGCTGTAGTGCCAGATGTATTCGTTTCATTTCCATGCATGCCCAAGCGTTATGCTCTGGCTTGACCGCACTAGTACTGGGCCTTTGCTGTCATGTGGCGCCGTTCCAATCAACGCTTTCGTACTTTCCTGCTAAACTTATTTCATGTAAATTCTATTTTGACACTCATCCTCACTGGACTTCGGGGCAGTACGGCGTTACACCTGCAGTCATGGGGCGGGCGCATTGCACGCTGCGTCCCGCGTAACAAATATGCAAGCGAAAAGGAGAATCTCTATGCTATATACCTAAGGGAACAACGCATACTGACCTTTCAGCACAACACACACGTGGGAATGGAAGGGGCAAGAGGAGGGGGAACCACCTCCGCCGACGGTCCAGAGCTCTGGAGCCTCAACGTGACGGCGCACCAGCTGTACATAAGGCGACACCTACAGAGAGGATTGAGAATGTTTTGCCCTGCTTCATATGCTGAGGAGGCATCTATCACCTCTTCCGTTAGGGCCTCTGCTGATGCAGTGCACGTGCCGTTCATGGAGCTGCAGCAGCAGCAGCAGTCTCTTCTGAGTGGGGTGTACTGGACCTTGTGCTGTCTCGCTCTCTTGCAGCCGCCTGCTGCAGTGTCCCAGTCTTCTCAAGAGGAGCACGGGCCAGAAACGACCACACTGCCTCTGCCTCCTACAGTGAAGGAGTGCCTCATTTCCAAGGTAATCCTCCCTTGTCTCCGCAGGAGACAGTGCTCAGGATGGGTCTCAGCAGCTCCGGATGTGGTGTCCGCAGCAATGCCAGCAGAACGTGGAGAAGGATATGGAGGAAGTGTGGCAAAGGAAGCATTATCCCACAGACTAGGCCGGCCTTCACCTCCAACTGTAGCACCAACAGCGCTGGGATCTGGTGGGCATTGCCGCATATCAGCTCTTGGCTTTGGCAGCAACTTGGCCGGGCACGCAACGGCCACAGCTCTCTCGACGTGCAGCGGGCTGCAGGCCCTGGCCCTGTTGGAGGCCCTTCCTCTTCTCTCCGAGGGGGTCCTACGGCAACTACGACATTTTGTGTTGTCTCTACAGAGAGGGGAGGATGGATCATTTGCAAACACACTAAGTCCCATCTGCTGGAGCAGGTGGTGCAGCCACTGCAGAGAAACAGCAGCAGGAGCAGCATTGCCCTCAGCAGTTGCAGCAATGCCCTCAGCAGCAGCAGCAAACGAAGAGGGGACATGGGAGAATGAGGGGGACGTGCGCTGCACTTTCTGCTGTCTCCTCAGCCTGAAGTTGATACATGCCGCCGCTAAGGCTCACCAGAAACCCGGAGCTGCCTCTCCTCCCCCTCAAGCCGGTGCCGTTGTTGCGGGGGCGGTTGATCGGGCTGCTGAAGAAGCATCTGTTTCTGTGACTTCAGCGCATTCAGGTGCTGGAGACCCTGCGGTGTGTCGGGAGGGGCCTACCGAACCGAGCCCCTGGCTGGTACAGCCCACCGAGGGGCCCTTACATGGAGCGAGTTGGGAAGCCTTCCTACAAGATCCTTTTGCTGGCGTACGTGCTGATGCAATGCTTTCTTGGCTGCTCTCTCTTGTGGGGCCAGACGGCGGTGTGGGTGTCTCCCCTGGTGCTGAGCCTCATGCAGGCGCAGCCTTCTGCTTCGCTGGTTGCGTGTCACTTCTAGGAAAGTGGAATGCTTTGAAAATTGGAGAGGCGCGAAGACTAGAGAGGCAAGATAAGCACCCTCTTGCTGCACCGTTGCAATTGCTGCTGTGGGAGCGCTTCTGTCTCGTAGGGTGGCAGCACCGACGGCTGCTGCTTTGCAGTGTTCAGAACCTTAATTGTTGCCTGTTGTACGCGGCTGCCGTCCTTGCTGCTGCAGGTGGCTGAGAGAGCGGCAGCTCCCTGAAGGGTCTTTGCAGGGCCGCCCTGGAAAAAAAGGAGACAGCTGCTACACCTTCTGGGTGACCGCTGCGCTGCTGCTGCTCGGCAAAGCACCGCTGGAGGTGCTGGAGTCAACAGCGCTTGCTGATGCTGTTGCTGCTGCGCAGCATCCTTCGGGCGGCATTTCGCGGGCTCCCGCGCACTTTCTGTCGGCAGTACAGAAGTGTTGCGAGGCCTCTACTGCATCTGCAGGCTGCACAGAGCCACCGAAGTCAACAATGAACAGTAACAGCGACAACGGCAGCGGCATCTGCAACCCCTTGAGGATGCTTAGTATGGGCCCTCTGGACTCGGCGGAGGAGCAGCTGCGGTGCCCAGACCCATTCCACACCTTTTTTGCCTTGGCCGGCCTTTCTTTGCTGGCTTTTAGCGGGGAAGAGAAAGCAATGCAGTCAAAGCAGCAACGGCTGCACATGCACCAGAAAGGGCAAGAACGGCAAAACCAGCAGCACGCCAGATGGCAAACAACCTGCAAACAGCTGCTGCAACCCCTGGATCCTGAGACGGCGCTGCCTCTGCAGCTGGCAGATGGTCTCTAGGTATTTTGCATAGTCCAGGATATCTATTTGCCCGCCGTTAACAGGCAAGCGAACCTTTTATGCACTTGCTAGCCTAGCTGTGTGGCAGAGCAGTAACTTCTGCGGTAGCAGTGGCTGGTGCATACGCTGTGACAGCTAGTCTAGAAATCATCCTCCGATGGGCGGATGAGGAGCCACTCGACCGTCCTGCCTGCAGGCTGTGGCTTGTCTACCGTTGATTTTGCATGTGCTTGCGCAGCGGGCACCTTGGCCTTAATTACAACAGATTTCTTAAGCGAAGAAATATCAGGCTAGCTAGCGACGCAACTACCACGGGATTGCGGGTTGCGGCCCTGCAGAACTCCCGCGAGGAGGTTTGCGTTGATTTGCGGTGCCTCGGCGTCCTCCGATCGTTTTGGCGTCTGTACAGCTAAGTAAACTGGTATTCCTCCATCGCCACAGCCCACCTCCGTATATAGTTGCACGTCTGCTTTGTTTTTGTTTACAGCGGCTAGCTGTCTACCACTTTTTTCTCCCTTCCGTCGCTGCTTCCCGGCCATTGACGCCGCACGCTCTCTGCCATGTGCGTCGGCCATGAACATTATCTTTTTCTGAAAGGCGCATGCTTGCCTTCTTAGGGACTTGCCTAGAGGCACAGCCGGTGGAGCGAGGTGGCAACCTCTCCAGCCAGTTAGACTACCAGTAGTTGTTAAGGTTGATGGGAGGCTGCACGAGCTGTATTCATGCCCCCAAGGTTTTGAGCAGGTCGCCGTAGTGCTATGCAGTGGTAATCTGGGTAGAAGTGCGCTGCTCTGACTCGGCAGGGCACTTTTTCCTGTTCGTGGGTCGGCAGGTGCTTTTTTTGCATAGAGCAGTACAAAAACATCATCGCCAGGCCGCCATAACAATAATGCCGGAATGACATCCAACATTACGCAGCTGAGCTCCCAGCAGCTTCACTGGTGCGGTCCCTCATGGCCTTGCGGGCCCATGCTTGTCACTTCCGATCGTAATAGCTGGTTGCCTGTCCGTCAGCTGCCCCGCCACTTTTTGCCTCCAGCCCCTAGGACATGGCGGGTGTCTTCAACGTCCGCTTACCTCCAGAATAATGATTTATTGCTGCCCTCCCTTCAACGGACCCGACGCAGACTGGATATCAACTTCAGTGGCTTTTCCTCTAGAGTGGAAGGCTATCTTCCCCTTTACTTACAGATGCAGTCGCGTCGACTGGATGCTGAAGCTAGATAAGATGTGTCATCAGTTGCGCTTCTGCTGCCACTGATGACTGTTGAAGGCGCCTCTTCTCTCCACCAGCAGGGTTGGTTTCAAGGTGTGGCGTTGCTGCGCCGTTTGAAGATGAAGAAGCATGGGATGCAACGGATGGAGGGGAGGAGCAGACCAGCATGCAGGCAAATTTCAAGCGGTAACCCATATGTTGAATACATAAGAACGGCGACCAAGAAGACAGAGAAAGCCAATGTAAGGCAAACTACGTAGTTTTCTGCATCTGCGCTCCACGCGGAAGAGGTTAATTTTCCGCATCTGAGCTACATCCCAAAGAGGAGGTTAACTGGTAAGCGGCGAACGGAAATTTTACACGCGACTGGAGTCGTTGCCAGCTAGGTTGCCTCTGTTATGAGAGGGCCGTGTCAGCCCCAATCCCCACATAGTGTTCCTATGCTGTTGCAGCTGCCTATCTGATGACACCCTTGCGCCTAGCCACACGGTCGGTGTTGAAGTTGCTAATATGTTACACTGTAGCAAAGGAACCACAGATGGAAAACGCGCTGCTATACAGAATTGCCTTGATTCCCTCCACGTGCTGCAGTGACGGAGCTGCGCTAGCCCAGTAACAAGCGCATCCGCAACTTCCACCTCCACTTTCGGCGGCACAGCGCTGCATGACTCAATTTTCGCCAATAGTTGCCGTTATGTACTTGTATTTATACCTGCGTGTAGGTTGACTGCTGAGGGCCAAGTAAGTGTTTAGCAATTCGCTACAGTGTTAGTCCACGCAACAATAATGGGTTGAGCGCAATTGCATACAACGTTGCCTTGCACCAGGAGTTGCAGCAAGGTGCTTTGCAGCTCATAATGGGTCGCCTCCTTTCCACGCCAATTCCAACCCCGTGGGCCGCTGCGCTGAAGATGCCTGAGGACCGAAGGGTAAGTCTAAAGAAGTTTTCTCTTACGAGTTCGATTCGCATGCACCTCACGACAGTCCTCTAATAAGATCAAGGATTCTTATTACACTTGGTAACGCCACATGGCTCATCGGGGCAGACGAAAGCTGGGAAGCCCACCAACACAGATTTGCTGCCTGGCGCACACTGATCAGTTGTGAAAACGCACTGCAAAGAACACGTTTCCTGTATCCTCATCCATTTTTCCAATCGCATAATGGGTATTGATCAAGATTTGCCCTCAAGTGGGGAGGCAATCAACCGCTGGGTGCCTCGTCGCACTGGAGCAAGCACAGTATCCCCTTCCCACCCACCTGAAAATGTCCTCACCGCGTAAATAAATCCTCTGCCTTTGGTGACTGCTCAGATGTGAAGGGCATCGCGGTGCGAGCTTGGAGGAAGAATTCTCTGCCTCTTTGGAGATGTACTTTTGCTGTCAATTGCAATGAGCATTCTCTCTATTGGGATGGAAGGCAGAGCAATGGTGGCTATATCCAAGCAAGGGTGCCAATATTCCTGATCAGAAGAGGTCGGAGGTGTGGCACGACGCGCCTTTATCCCCCAGGTCGGCAAGGCAACGGGCATGGTAAGATTGAGAAACCAAAACAAGGGGGGGCGAGCAACACAGCGTTATGTCGAGAAGTGCCACCCCATAGTGAACGGAAGTCACGCAGTTTGGTCGGAGGCTGTTTCCTGGATAGTGTTTGGATAGGACAGGTAAAAGGTTGGATAGCGAAGAGAAAACTCGCTAGTGAAAGGGTGGAACTCTCTGAGATGATGGAGTACCCAAGCATCAAACAGGGGGAAACGGAACTTTTACCGTCTTCGTGAGAACGGGAAAAATGATTTGGAAATGACCCAGATAAGGATCTTGTAGATACTGGGGCAGTGAATGCTAGCCCATCCCATAAAATATTTAGAGGCGAGTACGTGCGGCAACCGGCACTAACAAAGCCTATAGTACGAACCGAACGGCGCATCCGCTTGCTTTGTACCCAACAAGACCACATTATTCGAGATTGCACCAGCATCAAGACAGGTAAGAAACGAGATGGCAAAACTTTGAGCAGCGCAACATGTGAACAAAGAAAGCGATCGCTGAAGTGGCCTTGCCCCCTACACAACGAGCGGAGCAGTGATGTGGTTGAAAAAAGCAACAGCAGCACTGACAGATCAACCGCTCTTCAGCTATGTGGTCATTGAAGCCCAAATCAATAGTCAGGGCTCGCTAGCTCTAGTATTCTTTTAAAATCTTTTAATATAATAGTAATATTTATATTTGGTAACAAGTTGTGCATAAAATTTTTTATTATGAAAAAAGTACAATAAATATTTCTTATATTTAAAATTAAAAAGATGCTAATCAGATATGAACATTTTTATAGGCCGTTTTAACTTTTTAAAGAACAAATGCGCTTTTATCCCTTTATAGTTTTTATTTAAATTTTTTTTTAAAAATTCGAACTATGAAGGGATAATTGGCTTGATTGCAAGATACGAAGGGGCCGATATATGAGGCCACGAAGAAGAAGTGTGCCCGTGTATTCACTGGCGCAGCCTCTGCGACGTTCCACTGCTGGCAAACTGGGCGAGGCACTACGACAGAAACCTATGCTTGCCACCAGTGACAGTGGAGGGCAAGCAAATGGCCTCCAGACGACCCTCTTGAGGTATATATGTGCTAGAGAGCAATGCAAAAACGCACATCGCAGTGCTCTGAACAAAATCCGCATACGCTAGGCTGAGGAGGGGTGTTGACATCCCCCCAAAAAAGGAGCAAGGGGACACCACCGAAAAGCTGGGACGCTGCAGGAAATGCCCGTGAAAGCATGCGTTCCGTTGCGATGATCTGAAGCACACCGCAGTTTTGGGGGTATTCGATACAGATGAAACCTGAAAAGCGGCAGAAGTGGGCTCGCCTTAAGGACACATTCTCAGATACGCTAAATAACAACGAGCTTCTACCGGTCTAGGCACCCGCTGGACACCATAAGTACCGCATTGGGCTTACAGCCGGCACACCTCCACGGGGAGTTGCGTGCAACCCCCTCATGCTGTAGAAGAAATCGAGCAGCAAGCAGACGAACCGCTAAGGAAACGCAAGCTTCTAGCATTGACCGACGCTCCCAAAACAATGCGGTACTGGCGAGGGAAAATGAGAACTGGGGGCTCATCTGCATCACCCTGAATCTCCTCAACAAAAATACTGTGAAGCTAAGGTTTCCGATGCGCCTGCTTGACGAACTGCTGGACCGCTTGCAGGCTCCAACAGTCTTTCATGACCTGACTCCGGGTACGCGCTTCTGCAGATCCCATTACATCGTGGCGGCGGGCACAAAATTGTTTGATTCCAGCAGTCGCAAACTACAGTTAGCATGCATGCACTTTGCTTTAGTGAACGCGTCTACCAAACTTCAGTGACAGGTTAACCACACCGTCTTGGGTTAAATCAATGAGGGATAGATGATTTTTTGCATGGAAAGCTTGCGTGCATTCAGCTGGAATTTACATGAGATCTTGCACCGCCTGCGGCCTGCTGTGCACCTGCAATGCGAGAAGCACTGGTTCGCCAAATTGCAAAATTTTTCGTTTATCGTGAATCCGTGCTATCTGCAGCAGGAGAGAACCATATCTGGCGAAGATTGCGGCCATTCGGAGGTGCCTACTTTCCCATTACACTCGTACGGGCGTTCAGAGGTTCATTGATCTCGCGTCGTACTACAGTAACTTCATCCCTGGATACGCTCCAATCGCTGCCACTATCGCAGATCGACCCAAGAAGGACAAACAACTCTTTTGACAGATAATAATGCAAAAGGTGCTAAAGGTCTCATCAGACACCATGCATCATCTCGCGTTGGCGAAGTATTTGATACTGTGCGCCCAAAATACTCCTCAAAGTGGCCTGGTGACCTTCATTGCCCGTTTGTCAACAAAGCACTTCTCAAGCCGATTTCCCCCTGCTCGGCGATTTTACACGGAAAGCAGTTTGTCCCGAAGTGGAACCTGAAGTTGAGCCTGTCAATTGGCGGGCAGTGCCATTCGTGCCCAGTTGCCGACTAATACGCATAGCTTACCGACTCTCGGCGCCTAGAGTGTGAAGAACGCACACGAATGTCATACAGCGAATTACGATAAACGGTGTCTGTAGGTTAAGTTTGACAGAGGGGACTAGTTTTACCGGATTCGCACGGTCTTCGAAGCTCGCCCAGCCGCTGAAAAAGTTATCCTTGGCGGCTCCCTGTGCTGTTCGTCCTCAGCTAATCGCCTTGTCTAATGTCAAATACTAACTCCTAGCGTGGAGATGTCACCATGGTATAAATGGCATACGCGGCTCAGAGAATTGCCGGCATTTTCTCGAACTCCACCAATAAGCCGGCAGCAGAATTATTGCCAGAAGAAGCGATTGGAGGGGACTGAGAAGGTACTAACAAGTGTAACGACCCACAGAGGCCAGAAGCAGCGAAAATTTACATATACGTAGGTAGTTTATTGACAACCCTATAGCATCTGTTTGCCCTCCCTGAGTTAGCGACGGCGAGTGCAAAAGTGGGCAACGCGGCCACGTTTGGGCAGCGGTGAACCATTTGTTGAAACCTTTTCAATCACATGTAAATGGGCGCCCGTGTCTTCCTATCTACGTTCCCTTCGGCACAAAGTACTTTCCAGCTCTGATCTGCGCATCTTCCTTTACCAATGGCCCACCCAGCGCTGCCGCCGCCACCACTTCTGCTTTCCATACTTTGGGGCTGGAGGCCCCTCTTTGGGAATTGGCCAGACTCCTCCCTGACGCTTTCACCGATGTTGCGCGCCGGAAGCGGCTGCGCTTCGATGAGCGCGAAGAGGTGGCAACCGTATGAGATTGACGTCCCAGCAGCTACAACGGCCCAGAAGCACCAAACGGTGTCATCTTAGTGAGAAGTAGAAGTGCAGCAACGCCAGCATCGTCCACTACAGAAGCCACAGCGGCACCATAACCAGCAGCAGCACTTGCTGCAAAGCGAGAGGGACGAGCCGCTACCTATTGGCAAAGTAAAGGGAGTTACTTCGCTTGCAGCTCTGAATGCACGAGACGCTTCTTCTGCAACTCTGGCTAAACCTCAGCAGCAAGAGCTGCAGCAGCAAAAGCTGCAACAGCAAGTGCTGCAGCACGACCTGCACCACCCATAGAGGCAACAACGAGGGATACAACCCAAACGCACGCAGCAGCATGATATGCAGTGCAAGGAACAGGTGGAGTGGCATAAACAGCAAGCGCTACAGACACTGTAAAGTGCAGCAAGTGCGGCAGCCCCAGAAGAATGTGTTGCTACCACAGCAATGGCAGATTTCCGCATCTCTACAGTACGTACTACACCTTTTGGTTGGCCATGCAAGCGATATATTGCTTGGATTATCACGACAGGCGCGGCTCGCAGGGTGCTGGAGTCGAACCACATGCCTTAGCTTGGGAGTTCCTGAAAAGTCGCTGGCCTCCTATCCCGTCCCCAGACGTTTTGAACACACCGGCTAAATGGGCAGGGGCTCGCGGAGAGAAGGCGTCCCGACACGAGTTGGAACGCACCTCGTCGCAGCTCCTCCTACAAAGCAGTTGGCACAAACAACCCCCGTGATGCACTCTGGGCCAACGTTGTGGTTTAATTCTGTGCACGCATTTGCGCGCAGGATGCCCATTAAGGCCAAGTAAGCGGTTATGCACTAACTGCGGACGCATCGTGCTACAACGACCGCTCTCTGCTAAGATTGAAGGGGACTCACAATCAGTCGGTGCCAGTTCCTGACGAACCATGAAAAGGCCCCCAGAGGCTAATTCTGCACCGGTCAGTGCGTGCCGTCCTTGAAATCTCTACTTAGGCCTCGCAACAGTGACAACTTCATCCGTCGGCAATTACCATTCTTGCGGGAGGCATCGCCCGGATGGTCCAGAAGTGTTCGACATCGAACTACACGCAATTATTAAAAACTGACTGCATTTGCTGCCCTCTTATTCGGTTTACACTACCGTACATCTAAATGATTGTTCAAGGTTTTGAAATGAGTGGACTTATCTGCAGGGCCAACAACTAAGACCTCTGGTAGCGGAACACTACTTTTTTCTTGACGGGAGCGTGCCAACGAAAATTTATGACTGCATGTCCCCCTGATAACTCTGCCTAATTAGTTAAACAGTTCCGTTTGCCACAATAGATTTCGAAAATAATTAGAAAAGGAACTCACGAGGCTTGTTCGGCAAATTCAATTTACCCGTAATAAAGGTGGGCGCACGTGGGTTCGTACAGGCAGGCATGCGCCTCCTGGTGCACGCTTGTTGTCACCCCTCCTCCACCCCACGTGAGTATTTCGCATAGGTACCACAGAAACACGCTGTCAGGATATTTTCTTTGTGTCTTGATTAAAATTAAGGTAGGCTTGGGAGATGCTTGTGAATCTCACGCGGTAGTTTCCCGTCAAGGCGCCCCAAAAGTCCCTGATCGCAGAACATATTCAGAGCACCCAGCCAAACTATTGCCACCAGCCGTTCTCTCACGACCAGCTCACTCGCTTGAAAAAACACAGTTTTATTATTGAATAGCCCCTACTGAGTCAATTCCATGCCCAGCATGCCCCGTTGAGACAATGTTCTTGTTCCCCCATTGTCCGCCGCTGCAACCATGTTTTTCGTCGCGATTTCCTCAGGAAAGGGGACTCTTGCGAAGGCTGCATCACGAAAATGGGCGATATTCAGAGGGGCACCTGCAAGTGGTTTGACTCAAAGAAGGTCCGTTGGTAATGCCCTTCCAACCCTTCACTGCAGGCCACCAGGGCGTCCAGTGTTGGTGATAGCTTGTATCGTTGCTCCATGAAAGTTGTTCTTGTATGAATATAGGGCTTTGGATTTATTACCTCTGAAGATGGAACGGATCTTTTCGTCCACCAGACGGAGATAAAGGCCGACGGCTTCCGAAATCTCTGCGAAGGAGAAGAAGTTGAATTTCTGGTTCAGTCCGGCGATGACGGTCGTAAGAAGGCCGTCCGTGTCACTGGCCCTGGCGGTGCTCCTGTCAAGGTAAGGCCTGGGTATTCATATTAGTTCCTTTCACTGCATGTTCATTATTTAGTACCCGCTTGGAACGCGTGTTGTGGCTTTTTCAGGGCGATTCTCGCAGAATGTCGCCTTCCTATGGTGGAGGCAGCCGCGGGGGACGCGGATATAACGGAGGAGGATACAACGGTGGAGGCTATGGGGCTGGTGGTGGGGGCAGCTACGGGGGTGGCGGCTACGGGGGTGGCTACGGCGCCAGTGGCACCGGTTACGGAAACGGCGGCAGTTACGGTGGAGGTGGGAACGGCGGCAGCTACGGAGGAAGTGGGAATGGCGGGGGTTATGCAGGTGGGAACGGTGGCGGCTACAGCGGTGGGAACGGCGGCGGATACGGCGGAGGTGGCTACGGCGGCTCGAACTACGGAGGGAGTAGCGGGGGTGGCCGGGGAGGCTATGGGGACAGCAGCGGCAGCCGCGGGGGAGGCGGGTATGGAGGTGGTGGATATGGCGGAAGCGGCTACAACTACGCATGAAGGCCGCCTGGTCGTGCCGCCGTCCCAATGTCTGCATCCTGTTTCTGTCGTGTCTCGTTTTCGATTTATTCAACCCAGCATTTTAAAAGTTGCTGGGCCCTGCGTCACCGGCAGCATGGATCGTCGAATGGAGCGGTTAGACATGGATTCATCGGAACCGCTTGCGCTGTGGAAGGGTGTGTTGTCGTTCCTTGGCTCTCACAGACGCATCGCATCTACGCCACTGGAAAGTTCTTTCAGGTGCCGGGTGATCCCATTTGAATTCGTTAACAGAAGCGTATCATTGGACATGAAGGATTGACATCAGAGGTATAATTGTTGCCACATGAAAGGTCTCGCATCGCAACGGAATTGCAGCGTTGACAGTCTCATCAGCACGTGATATCTCCGACTTATCAGCAGCATTTTTTCGTCGTCCCAGTGTTTCCTTGATCCAAATTTATTTCCGGCGGGTTCCTGCCGAGGGTAAGAGTAGGGAAAGCCTAGTCGCGCGGCCACTTGTGAACGCGATGTTAGAATGCGTGTTCGTTTTGGGCACTTTGGATGTGCGGATTACGTTTCGCTTTGAGACTACGAGCGCCGTACTTGAGTGCGAGCTCAATACTTGGGGATTTACAGACATGTGTCGAAACAAATGTACAGAAACAACAAATCATTGTAGTTGTTCACTTTCTTGGCTCCCCGCCTTGATTTGCAAGTTCTTGAATAACATTCTGACCAAAAGCGTTTGGCGACACGTGGACCTTTGTAGAGGCCCGTAGGCTGTACCGATTACCTGAACTATCGTGCCTAGCCGCTGGTCAGTTGCCGAGGCTTGGATGTCCCGGAGCTTTCCAATGTGTTTAGCTGTTACGGCAGCAAGAGAAGCTGTTGTGTCGGGGGTCTGAGGCGGTGCTAGCGGCTGAGTGGGGTAAGTCTTGCCCTTAGAGGGAAGGTGAATAATGCGATTAGGGGACACAACTGTCCCCCGAAGCTTAGTAGGATCGGGTCCAATGGGCCCGCTCGCTTTGCTGCTTAGTGGAAAGCTTGAGATTATCGGCTGGAGTTTTGGCAAGGCCGACAACGCAGAAGTAGGGAAATATGCCTTCAAAAACGGAGATAAGACAACGGCCTTAACTTTAGCAATCGCCTCCCGTACCTTGCAGCGTCCCTCGAATGCTTTTTTTATCTCCGAGTCATAGCTCTTGAAGGAGAGGCGCGGCTGGCACGGACCCTTGTATGTCGGCGGGGCTGCGCATATTCCTGATTCCTTGGATTCTAAATGCCATAAAGAGGGGCACAGGGCTGCGTAATTCCGCTCGGCGACGTCTCTAATTGGCCAAGTGGCGGAGCAATTCATCATCTGGTGCATGAGGCGAATTAAAAGCGGAAGGGGGGGGAAAATTGCGACGTGCTGCGATCAACCCACGAAGCCGTATTTCTGTTCATCCCTCATGTCACCAAGGCGTTGCTTTTTGGCACAGCTTCCGCTGTAGCCTTCTGGTGCGTGACACTCGGGAAGCTGCACGAAGCTGTCTTGTTAGAATCGTACGAGCCTTTCTTAATGCTGATGCACATACCACCTGCTGGGGAAACTCGACGACAGCCCAGCCCAAGGGGCAAGGCTCATCGAAGTCATAATGGGCGAGAAAGTTTGCCGGCCACTGAAATTCGCATCCAGCGGCAATACGCGCTTTTTCTGCACTGGAAACTTCTTCTGGAAAGAGTTCGTCAGGTTGATTGTGGTTGGTTGAAATTCTCTGGCCTACGGATGCGCTGCACGGGGTCGCACGGCCCCACATAGGAAGGCGGGGCTTCGCATATCTTGCCGTCGGCTTCGGCGCTAGGATGGTGAGCTCTGCGTTTGGTGAGACGTAGCAATCCATTCTTCTCACCGCTTGCCGTCCACATTACAGGACAGGCGCTCGTTGTGAAATATGCGTCGTATCCTTTGCATGGCCACCGGACGTTACATGCCTTTCCACAAGAAAACACTTCATACAACGTTCTGAACAAATGAAGTTTGTTTACGCACCTGCGCCCTAAACATGGGAATAAAGCATTACCTAACTTGTGGAGGTCACGGCACTCGAGAGAAAAATACTTACCAACGAGCCTTGGAGGGCTCATCGAAGTCCGTGAATTGCTTCTGAAGCACGCAGCTAGACAGGAGAAGCCATTGGAACCGAAGAACGCCTAGGCAACTGGGAAACACCGTCAATGTACACTCACTTCCCCCGGTACTGATAATGAGACGGCGCCTTGCAAACACCTCCATCATCTGTCCAGCCTTCCGGACATGGATCACTGACACAAAAGAACTTGTTCGTCGAAGCACTGACACAAAGCTTCTGCCAAGCTACCTGTAGTCTTCTTCACACGATGTGCTGCATGGCCCTGTTACATTCGCCTAATACCATTTCAAGTGTTACGAAGAGCGTGTCATTTCGCATACATGAAACTCCGCAGCGCCCAGCAAAGCCCTTTTTCGACAAAGGCGTAGCATCTGAACAAATGCAGCGTTTGTCAGGACGCATCGCGCTATTGCAGGACTCTGCCTACCGGAGAAATCTGCTGTCCGCTCGCAAGGACCTGATATTCATTGTAAAGGAATCCGCAACGCCAGTAGACATGACAACCACACCTCTGTAGAGGCTTGGAGCCTATAAGTGGACGGGTTGGCAACCCAAGTATACCCAATCTCCCACAGTTGTGTGGCTTGCCTTGCACGTTTTCCCATCCCCTGTTTCGTACCAGCCAACAGGACCTGTAGACAAGCAATCATGAATGCACCGCGCATATGTACATGCTCTTGTGCTGCCAGCCACTCCGAAATGCCTCACAGAGCCGAGAGTAGTTCCGTTGCGGGCACTTGTCCAAGTCTGGGTTGTCAAGCATTTCGTTGTGCGAAGCAGCATCGACTTCCGCTGCAATCTTTTCCCGTACAACTGCACGAGGGACTATCACCACTGTCAAGATGCATTTCAGGGTTGAACCAAGACGTACAGGAAGATGAAAGGTTATGCAAAACGCTCAACACAGCCGTAGCAAGCTCATCGGAGAAACTGGACAAGCTCCTGTGGTCTTCAGCATCGTCAACCAGCTTATAAAATGAATCAAGGAGGCTGCGCCCAGGATAATCCGTTGGCAACCTTTCAAGAGGAAGCTCGGGCATTACCAGTCTGCTTCCCCAGCCTAGGTTTGACTGCAGAGTGCCCCACCAAAGCAAGGAAGTAAGAAACCGCAACCAGATGCACATTTCTTGCAAAATTATCAGTGAATAAGTGAAGTAAGAACACGCACATAGGCGTTTGCCAGGATTTTCCTCGGAAAGGGAATGAGTGTGCCACCCCACAGCCGTATGTACTCTACAAAATGGACTTTCGAATGCCACCCCACTAACTCCGCTCAATCCAGTCATCTTTTGCCGTTATAATGCGTTATTTCTAACCGCATACACTCAATTTTCCAGCTAGTAGTGTATTTTTCCTCGGACAACCGACTAAGTTCGCCACATGCGGAAACGCCGCTCGCAGGAAGATTGCATGCATGACTGCAAACTTTGTGCTACATACTGGAAACTACTCGCAAATAATGAAACCCAGTTATTTCCTAGGAAACTTCATCATTTCTCAAGGATTGCGTCCACGAACTCCAGAAAACTTCCACAGAGCCCAAGCTTGTTGCAATGCAGCGACAATCATGAGTTATGAGTTGCCCGAATATAAGACATGAATATCTGGTCCTCTTCTGAAGTGACTCGCAGCATTCCACCCTAGTATTATACCTGCCTTTGAATTATTATTAGAGTGAGGTGTGCGGTGTCCTGGGAGGGGCGGCTTCTGGACGACTCACTCATTGGTGACAGCAATTAGGGAACTCCTCATCCTCCCCAGATACCCTGGAAAAGAATGCCAAATTTGCGTCTCATGTAGTGCGGAAGGCGATACAAGTATTCACGAGGATGAAAGATGGCGATATTCCGCGCACACAGCGCTGCGCTCTGTTTGCACAGGATTTGTTCGGAACTTCTGCAGGTCACCCGGTGCTTGCCCGGTGGGATCACCGCGCGTGAGTGGCGCGGGGCGGCTTGTCCAGCCCATGGATCTGCGAGTGCGGTTTGCGGAAACTGTGCCCACGTGGGAGGGGCTCGGGGCAGTGCATTCGCTGTACCCATGCTCTTGCACTGCATCGCAAGACAAAGAGGATTCTCCTCAGAGGTGGCCGTTTCAGAGCAGGAATCTTCTGGGGGCAAAACTCGTGAGGTCCCAGAGCTGTTTCTTCGACGCTGTGTAATTAAATGGCTTACGATAGCATCCGCTGCCCTCTTGTGGCTTTTTTTGTCGCATTTTATAGTAGGTGTGGTGCATATTGCAACCTCTGCTGGTCGCTGCCGTCTGAGTTGGTTGCTCCACTTCTGGATTTGGGTACGAGGAATTTGTGCGAATCGATGTCCACACTCCCGGCGTGGACTAGCCGAATACGAGACCTGGTTCGTTATAAGTGAACGTGGAGCTAGGGCATTTCTGCTGTAATTGCCTGCAGGCGAAGATGCAGAAAGAATACGCGTGGCGCGATTGCTGCAGCGCTACAGAATGCTCCGGCCTGAAGATCGTATGAGACTTCTTGATGAGCATGCGAAGGCAGGCCGCTGTTTGGTATGTTGACAGTATCTCAGGAAACGCTTCCCTTTTGCTCCCTTCTGTATAACTGCATCTTCTTCTGATACGAGCCTGCGCTTGGACGAAATCATAGCCTCTTTTTTTTAATGAACGCAACGGAAGGTTTTTGACGTAATAATTTGATGGTGTGTAAGTATGCCAACAGCTAGGCGAGTAATGCGAGTATAGTGGGGGCTGCATTGTTAGTCCGCCGTTGGAGGCGCTGCAGTCTTAAGGATTCGCATTTGTTTTCGTCTGCTGGAATTCAGATGACCGGCTGGCGGGAGTTTCGCGAGGAAGGCATGGACAAAGAGCTCCAGTCCTGGGAAGCGGACAAACGAAAGCGGGAAGAGCAATTAGAGCGGATGCTGCGGCTACGAGAAATACATAAACCAGCACACTTGCGCCGGCGGAAGCGAAAGGTCAAGCGGGTCCAGCAGTCAGAGCAGCAGGCGCCTCCAGTAGTGTAAGCACCCAATTCCGCCCACATGCAGAAGCGCATAACAGTCGAATTGTCTTTGTCATCTGGCTTGTGACATCGATCCGCTTCGCTAGGACGGCGTGCCTCGAATACTCTTCTCTCTATATATATTTGAACATCAGGGCTGCAAACTTCACAGAAGAAGCACAGACTGTCAGTTTAATTGAAGATGTTCACAAGGCAGAAGTGTACCAAGAGGTTTGCGCGAAGCTTGATAAACAGTGGGGCGCTAATGTAAGTATCCACCCCATTCCACGGCAGGGGATTAGTCTGACACGCCGTAGCTGGGATAAGGATTCAGATAAGCATCTTTCTCTCTACAAACAGCAGCCACCTTGAGCTTGAGAGTTGAGCTGCTGGCTCCCGAGCCCTCCCTTTCGCTACGTTCCCCAGTGTGCGCGCGCTTGAGAGGAGTGATGCTGACTTCTCTTTATCAGGACCCTCTGAGCGACAATTTCGTTGACATATTGTCGCAAGCCGTCCGGCACGATCTTATGGATCAAAGGCAAGTTTGCTTACCAGTCTGACCAGATGAGTGATTTGATGTAGACGCCTTGCATTCTAGGGCTTCCACCGACAGTTAATCAGTTGGAATGCATGGATAGCGAGTCCCTGCATGCATTCATCTTTGGGTACTCCACTACGGCTTTCCGGGAAACTTGTGCACCCACCCCTGCAGTCGTCCCACGCTTGCGAATGAGCTTACGGACTTTGATAATCCATACATGTTGAAGCGAGAGGCAATCAAGAGGCTGCTCGAGGAACGCGGAACGCGCAATGCGCTTGATGAATCGATGGTGAGTCGTTGGCTCTTCCAGTTTTGGCGAGCCTTCCGATGGGGGTCCTCTGGTGGCGAGGGGTTGATATTTGGTGTAGGCGTTTGCGGCCTTCGAATGTTCTGTTGTGGAGACAACACTCACAACTCACAAGTACTGCGTTTTGCTCTAATGGGTGAGACGTGCATCAGTTTATTCGCAGCGCCTGCCTCAGCCGTCTTGCTCTGATTCAGATTGACGAATATTTGGATAGACGCCCTGACCTCGTGAAGCTACGACTATCTGTGAGTGCGCAGCAGCAGCAGGTATATATGACGAGTGCGTGACTACTGTGAATGATTTACCCCTTTGGAGGGGGTTACGAGGTTAGGGTGTAAGATTTTGGCAAATCGAGGAGTATGCAACGAGCTCTACTGTTAAGCTAGCCTTTGCCGTGAAGGTAGCCTCGGTCCTAGCTGGCTGTTTCGTGACTGGAGAATTGGCATTCATGCGCATCATGATGCAGCGTGGAGTTCGCATCCAGTGCCATACCCACTTTGTTCGTGGTTGGTTTTGGGCTGTTATTCTTTTCAGGCGAAACTCCCGCCGGAGGTTGTTGAGCCTTTGGCGGCATTCCACGGCCTTACGAATTACAACTTTGACAAACGCACACGTTTGCAGCAGAAAGTCAATGCATTGTTCAGAGCTGTCGACGCTGCTCATTGCGGTGTGTAGCTTCACGCGTTCCTGATGGGATCATCCGGTGCCTTTGTATGCGCCCTAAGCAGGTTTGCTGTGCAATTCAGGAGCTATAACCAGGCGGTGTGCCGGTGCAGACTGTGTTTGTTCACGCGCAGAATTGGACAAGGTACTGGGGAGTTTAGAGGAGAATCAACGCTCCGATATGTGAGGACGCAAGGCAAAATGTTCAAAAATCATTCCCCTGCCTCTCCCCGTGGTGACATCTTGAGCTATTTCCATGGCAAGCTGCCTAGCTCTTTTGCGGGAGTGCGGTTGCGGCACGTCTGCAGTTGTACTGCATTGTTTTGTTGCGCTGGTGTGACAGGAAGTACGAAGTACATCCTTTTCGGAACCATTTCGGTTTCGTCTCAGCCGTTCCAACGGGTACTGCAGGCTCCATAACGTTGGGGCGCGAGGGGAGCGGTACGGATAAGGAGCTTAGGACGATTCGGTAGGTTGGTGTGGAGACTTTGTATGATTGAACCCCGTTTAGCCACTTGCTAAGAAGAAACGGTTCTTCGCTCCAAGATGGAGCTGACCAACCAGCGGGGAGCAAGGGAAGAAGGCACTTGCTCGATGGAAACCAAATATAGTTAGAACGTGAATTATCCGGTGGTTGTACTGCTTTGCTCAGCTATCCTACGCTACAACGTGTGGCGCACACTCTGCCGAAGGATCCGAAATGTCAGTTTCCACAGCATTTTGAATAAAGATACTGTCAAGTTTGTCTGGGTTCTTCAGTAGCTGAGGCAACTTGTGACAGCACTACTATGCCCTTGATGCATGCTTATGCGTTTTGTAGATCGTGCAATAGTTGCTCATGCTATCCGCGTTCTCGAGCGGTCTCGTGGTTGGGATTTCAAGGATAAGATCAAAGTAAGTGCGGAGAAGCTATGAAAGCAATAGTGGAGCCAACCACAGTTCTGTAGCCCTGATTGCCTCTTCTGACATTCCCGATGCGGACTGGCTTAGGCAATTAACACTTTGGTTGAAGTCTACAACCATCTCCCGCCTAGCGCGACGTACGAGCGCAAGTTGGATGAAGCGTTTCCAGTCTTCAGGTAAGATTCTCGTGCATGGTAGAAGTGAAGCGTGCGCTTCTGCTTAAAGAATTAGTCGCTTGTTTTTAGTCTTTGTTTGGAGCGGTGAGTAACTAGGTCGGAAGTATATCTTGGGGTACTGCGTACTACGCCTGTAATGTAGGGTGCCAGGGATGACGAGGTTGACAAAAACTAGGAATTCTGTCTTCTGCAGAGGTCTAAAGTACATCAGATCCCTCACAACGCAAAAACCACTATCACTTCGGCTTGCAAAAAAGAAGTGATATTCCCTAGAGTGGTTAAAATAGTCGGTGGCAAAATATAGCAGTTTATTGAAAATACTGGGCGTTGGAAGGAAATACGGCACAAAACTGATCCATGGATATTAAGCGACCTTGCCTTTTGCCAAATGAGGAACAGGGACGGTTGTCTTCCTCCACCAAAGACAAATGATGGCTCTGTCAGTTGCATGCTCGCAGATAAACAAAAGCGTATCCTGTCCTGCAGCACGCTACGTCATATGCGCTTGCAAGAATTAGTGCATGGTGATATTCCCCTGTCCATACCGGAGGGAGCATTGCCTGCGCTTCTTCTTATTAATGGGATTCAGCGCAAAAGTGCAACTGTTTGCCCTGATCGCCGAGCGCTCGGTAGCGTTCAGCGTAGTACTCGTCTCCTTAGAAGAATTGCGGGTTCAAATGCATCTCTTTTGACGCTTTGTGACACCAATTCCACTACAGTGCTGTTTGGAACGCTTGCTGCCGTTCAGTGTTTATTGAACTACTGCGCGTGTCGAGATGTTTTCTCTTGAGGCCACTTGAGACGAATTCTATTGCTAGGCTACGTAGCAGCGCAGTTGTATGGTTACTAAGCTGGACCGCATAGCACTTCCTGGTTCTTAAGCCTTTGAGGCTTCTCATCTCGCCCTCTAGAATAAGTCTAAGGCATTGAAGGAGCAGTGAAGGCTCCCTTCGTCGTGCGGGGCTGACGCCCCAGGGGAGGCAATCCTCCCATATTTCCAGTCACGACACGATGTGTTTAGGACTTCCCAGTTAGAGTCTTCTCACTCCTGAAGTGCAATATAACAAAAGTTGCTTGACACGCAGAGCCGTCAAGGAAAAAGTTTTGCGAGAGGCCGGCCTCGTCTTCAGTTACTTCAGCAGAACGAGGAAAGTTGAAATTACCAAAGTTGAAATTACCGAAGAGTTCTTTTTGGAAGTGCCAGAACTGTGAAGTATATATACTATGTCAACAACAACGCCGCAAGTTCAGGTTGGGGCTTCCCTGATATCTGCACAGACCAGACCATCGGCAGTCATCAGTCGGCGAAGTCGAGGCGCAAGAGGATGTAATTCAAAGCAAACAAACCCCCTTTTAGGATCTTTGTACTTGACAGTTGTTGAGAACTCTGCTTGTTCCTGGTCAGCATTGTTTTGATGGGGAGAGTTATCCCTTGCCATCTCTCTCACCGGTGGCATGGGGGGAAGCGGCACAACGGCCGACACAAATCCGACATTGAAAATCTTCGAACGTGAAGGCTTCGTATTGTTGTTCTTATTGCTAAAAACGGATATTTAATTGTTCTGGTTGGTAAAACCCGCTTAGTTTCCGTGTTTGGAACTTACGTCACCGTGCCCAGTGACCCTCTACGGCAGCAGTCGCCTTAGCCCGACACAGTATCCGGCCGCTTCCACTGGCATGTGCTAACATCTTTAACTAAATACTTTACATGGATAAGTGGCCATTAGGCAGTGAAAGCTTTTCAGTGTGCTGCCTGCAGAGCTTCCGGCAGATCTCCCCTGTGCAACGATGGAATACTAAGACAGCCTCGTTGCATCTCCATTTGAAAGGAAGCTGGGCTCTTGCGGAACTCACTTTAAGATCTCTTGAAGGCGGACTCAAGGATTCGCATAGCTCCGCCGTGGCATCACCCGAAGACGTATCGGCCAATTGCTTCCTTTGGGGCAGAAGGGTCTTTTCAGCTTCGTCTTGTCTGCCATTTTAGCACCAGAGTTGTGAAGGCAAGTGTGACTGACACGCTGTGACTCCAGCTAAATATAAGTTATAGAAGCTAATTGCGCAGGACTAGGGAGCCCTTTAACGCCCTGTTTACCGTGGCACGCCAGGGCTGTTTGCTGGAATGCGCTTCAGTGGTCCCTATGGGGGCCTGCGGGACGAAGCAACTCAGCGAAGCTCGTAATTTAGGCACGTCGCCAAAAGGTTAGTTTTACCAGACTTAATCAAAGAAGCTCCCACGTCAGCACGCTGAGACTCATCTAACAATCAGAACGTTCATCTCATGCCGCTCAAGTTCCACTACCTGTGTGATCCTGTGTAACTTGTTGCGTTTACGGTGAAGCGCTTGCAGGCAGCACGGAGAGTACGGAACCAAGAGAGGTGACCAGACCAAGTACCAACGACAATACGGATACGGGCGTCGCTTCCATCCGAGCAATTTCGTCTCAGGCTTGTCGGCGAAGACGGGGGACAGCTTCAAAGGCTTCAAAGGTGTTTTCTCGTCCGCAGCAGCAGCATCGGGGGGTCTCACAAATAGTAGGTGTTGGAGTCTGTGGACTCCAAACGTTGACGGTTCCTGAGTCCCAGCCTTACATAGCTGAAACAGTCCACCCAAGCCTACTAGGCCGGTTCTATCGGCCAAAAAATGTTACTTTTGAATTAAGCATGAAGCTGAACGTGACGGAGGGGGACTCTTCGTGGACACTAAGTACTCCAAGATACTGCGGAGTAGGTTCGAACCAAAACGCGCTGCCGGGTCTCTCAAACGATTTCAAGCCTTCAGCTCTACCCGTTGGGGGCGCTAAAGGTGGTGGAACGTCACGAAAAAATACGAGCAGAGGTGGTTACCTATACAATTTCACTTATCGCCACGATGACGAGGGAGGAGCGGATCCTGTTGAAGATCCTTGTAAAATTGAATACCCGAAGTGGGAGGCACTGCCTAAAGCATTAGCGTATGTGCTGCCGCTGTCTCTGGAGCGGAAATTACCGCCGACACCGTTGAGAATATCCCCAATGTTAGAGAGTGGGCAGACCAAAATCCTTTGCGTTTCGACTATCTCTCCTGACCTACCTCAATTCAACTTCGAGGTACGCATTTTCTGCTGAAAGGGTGCTGGTCCCTTTAATTCACCGAAGGCCTTGCGCATGCAATACGAAGGATGCAGACAAAGCAAGATGCCGGTGGAAATGAGCCGGCGTACTTTTACAGCTGGAAGAGTGTACCTAGGTACTGCTCGGTTCGCTTAGTACTATAGAGTTCTGGGTAGTAATTGCCACCAAACGGTGAAACAGTTAAGTCCACTTGAACCACCAGTCGTGCTTCCATCCAGGTAGCTCCATAGGTGCTGGAGTGTTTCAGGAGAAGGCAATTCAAATCACAGGGGCCGATTCGCTCTTCGCCCTAGAAGAATTAGGGGTCAGCGTCGTATGCAAAAAGGGTTACAAGCCAAACCACCCAAACAATGACGGATTCTTTGTTTCACAGTGAGTTCTTCCCTGAGTCTCGCTTGTTGCAAACGAAGAGGATTCAATGTGTCACAGTTAACCATCATTCAAACTGTGATATGGAGCGCTTGCCTCCATTCTTGTTATGCCAATACGCAGTGTTCGGGGATGTACAGTCTGCTGCGTTCTCGACGGGCACGGCCCATTCGGTCACGAGATATGCCACGTCGTCCAGCAAGACTTGCTCAGGCTAACTACTGACAACCCAGATTTGCCGGTCCGATCAAGAAGCGTGCTTCAAGAAGCTTTTCTAAAGGTGAGGCTGCTAGCGGCCACTGCGGCACCGCGTCGCTGGCTTCTCGCGAGTTTCTAAATGTCTACCCGCGTATCCCAAGGCGTATTCTTCCAAAATGAAAGAATCAGCACACATTGATATAGGCGGTGGTGAGCATATTTTGCACAGGCTCACAGCAACCTGAAAGCGAAGTGTGACGCCTTCCAACTGGACAGCAAGCTCAGCGGCACTACCGTTACCCTCCTAGTGTACTTGAGAGAACAAAACAAGCTGTTTATTGCTCACGTTGGCAATAGCAGAGCTGTGCTGTGCAAGTTTAACAGATATGGTAAGAAAGGTGGGTAATCGCGTGTTTGGGTGTTGGCGTCACGCTGGCCATCTGCATTCAGGAGGTATGCGTTACTAATACTGTCGAGGCATTGTTTGCTCAGAAGGGGCTTTTGCCAATTTTGCATACTCGGCGTTTGCCTGCAGGTTGTGGGGTCCGTGCGGTCGACCTCACTGTGGACCATACTCCTACCAACAATAAGGAGTTTCGACGGATTGTTAAAGCTGGTAATGCAATTCCCTTTAGACGCCAGCCAAAGTACAAGCCCTTCATCAAGGTGTAGATTCTTACTGTACAATTCGCATTGCTTCATGTCATGCGTGAAGGGGGACAGGTTAGGGCACCAGGAGGTGATGGCTTCCACCGTATTTTCTTGACTAACGGATGTTTGCCTGGATTGGCTGTAGCTCGATCCATTGGTGACACTCTAGCTGGGAATGCAGGTGTCATAGCGCTGCCGGAGATAAAGGGCAAGTCTCCTCCTTCCCCGTTGCCCCTGCGGAGACATATTTCGGTATATACACTTCTTGTGGATAAAATGGGAATCTTCCCACAGTAGTTGATTCATGAGGAAAGCAGCATCTCCTTTCCATGCATAACACAACTTATGCATTGGTTATTCGTTCTCTCCCAGAATACAAAATCGATGGCAAACGCGACAAGTTCCTCCTACTTTGCACTGACGGCGTCTGGAACGTCATTTCATCGCAAGAGGCAGTTGAGATAGCCAATACTGCAAAGCAAAAAGAAGTATGCATATTTTGCTGGGAGTCTCACGAATGCACTATATACCCTTACCTGGCATAATGGCATCGCGTCTTTATATTAGATTTTTATCATAAGCTAAGTACAATCGAACGGATATTCCAGTCTAAAACATGCATGCCTTTGTGCAAGCTAAGCTTCGTGTGCTTGATGTGCAGTGGAGAACAGCCCCCGAAGAACTAGCTCGAGAGTCGTGGCGTCGGTGGATCAACGAAGAGCAAATTTTCGCAGACGACATGACTGCTCTCTTCCTAAAACTCTCTTGAAGCCCAGTGTACTTGGAGATGCATTCGCTAATGAATGCAACAAGAAGTGAGGCACTAAACGGACACAAGTGATAAAATATAGACACAACGTTGTTCTATTTTCCTACAACGCCGTAGCCCTGTTGCTCTATTGTCAGATGGTCAAGTGCGCAGGCTGCAAGTCCATCGACACGCGGATACACAATGTGCACAGGCTCCAGTGAGTCAGTTTGGGTATGGGCAGCTCACAGCCGGGCATTTACCCGATTGTGTATGCGTTATACAAAGTCATGTCTGCATCAAACAGACCACGGCACGTGCTTCAGGCGGTTGCATGCATTTACGAGGAGATTTTGACGCTCTTACTAAACAGCCTGAACCGTCCTGAGTGGCCTACATGGCCCTCAAGCAGAGAGCTAACCCGAAATTACGGCGCCTTTTCTGTGCTCTTTGCACAGAATGACGCATGCTTCAAGGGCAGCAGCTCACGAGCACCACCGATGCTCCACCCAAACCTGTCTAGCACTTACTACCTCCTCTTATCCCGCACGGTCCAGAGGTCCAAGTGCATGACTTTTCCGGCAACGCTCCTAATCTCTTGTAAGCCTTATGGTCGCAAAAGATGCCCAAACGAAATTTAGGGAGAATGCAGCTCAGCAAACACCTTGGAAAACAATGCAGAAATGGTCTACTGCGCCTCCGCCCTCTCGCTAATAATGCAAGCAGTTCTACAACTCTTAGTATAGGTGTCCTCCACAGGGGAAAGAGCCGCTAGAAACTCCCTACATTTGTAAAATCTGAAGCAACTCAGGTGCATTCCAGCAAACGCAAATATGATAGCAGTCTTTTTAACTGCCTCGACTGCGGTCTGATTGCCAGGCTCATCAGTAGCCGTTTCTACAGCCATCTGGGTAAGTGGCGGCCACTAATTGGTTCCATTCATCTCCTGCTGAGTTTCTAGATGAGTAGTCTGAACATCTACTTGACACCAGAACAACGTCAGGCGAGGCAACCCACAACCCACGCCGGTAACACCCAAATGTGGCAAACCTGTGGGAGAGAGTGAGATAAACAGCATACTGATAAGCCCCAGGCGTCCCACATTCCTGATTTTGCAACGAGAAACTCTGTGAGTAAGAGCTGCTCTCCGTGAGCATCTTGCTCGTTGTATTCAGCGGAAGCCAGGTTGAGGCATGTAAAAGCCCCTTTACTGCCACGGCCGCTGTAGGCGGGGCCACAGAGACCGCATGCTTGCAATTTTACACGAAGAGCTGCACTAGGATGGGTGCATTTCCAGCTGAGGTAACTTTCCTAGGCTGCCGTCCTCTAGATATGCCAAAATTAAACATGCAAAATTCCGAAGCCCGTTCAACACAAAACAGCATTTTTGAGCGACCTCGAAAGCATTCAAACTATCGGCACGGCACTTCGGACAATGTCCATTCATTTCGCAGAAAATGTCCGGGTGAAAGCATTTCTTTGGATTTCTAAATATTTCACCTCGCTGGCTGATTTTCAAGGTTCTTAATTCGTGCAAAACTAGACAAGCCATCAGCTGGCGTATGCATTGCTCAGCCTGGCTTCCCAGCGCTCATTCGCACTTCTGCAAAACTCATGTGCTCGACGCCCTTCGTGTTGAACATCTGACTGACGAGGAACTTCCCCACAAAAAGGTAGCTCCAGCTCAGCATGATACAGCATGGTGTTCAAAAACAAAGACGAGACCGGCAAAAGCAATCTGCACTTTGCAGAGTCGTTGCGACCGCATTAATCCGTCCGCCACCTGTCGTTCGTTCCTGCTGGCCAAGCTAATGGGATTACTGTATAATACAGAACGGCCAGAAAACGCCTGCTGAGATCCTACCAGAGGTGCTTCACGTTCTAAGGATATTCTTACCTACAGTGGTGCAGGCTTGATGGGAGCTAGTATGAATATCGCTGCTGCACATCCGTGATGCGGATCAGCACATCGTCTTAAACTGTTAGACGTTCTCGGCACTGCATAGAAAACGAAATCAGCAGGTCTGCGCTAGCTGCCGTAAAGCTGTCGCACGCTTGTCTGTATGAAAACCCTCACACTCACCTCAAGATCTTCAGTGAAGTTATGGTACACCGAAAGCATCATGCCGATGACCGGAGGCTGGCTCCAAGTCAAGTAGTACGCGTGCATTCCGTCTGAAAAAGGGAAAAGGGAGGAGCATGTCCGCGGGGAGTTTTGGGGAGAAGCAAGACAACAGAGGACGTGGATTCCCTTTCAACATGGCGATGTCCGTACTTAAGATGAATCCAAGTCTTCTAATATGGGTCTATGCGTTTGACGATGGTGCCTTGAGCTATGAAAACCACCCCACTGTGTAGAATGCCTCGAACTGCAGAATCGGAATTCTTACGTGCACTAACCGCGCGCTCCAGAAAGGCCCAACACGCCACGCGCATTGTATTCTATGTACTCTGTTTTCTAGTATACGCGTCCGCACCCGAATGTATTTCCCTGCATACTCCGGGGATGATAAAGCCCCACTGTATGCCCATCATATGTCCATCAGCTACGATCCAGTTCCATGATAGCTCTTATCTTCAGGAGTGGGGCTATCAGAAACAAATGCAAGCAGTCTTCCTGCCCAAATTTCCGCACAAAAGTGCACTACTCCGGGCGATGTTGTTCTTTGCATTGTGCGAACGCACACAAACGCTGCAGCTGGTTGCTGTTCCGCACGGAGGTTGCGGCTGGGGCAAAGGACTGGGGCGCGTGCTGCTCTAGCAAACGAAGTGATTGTAGCGAAGGATTCTTGCTAATAATGCAAATCCTCTTCGTGGCTTCCTTTCCTCGACACTTCGTGGGAGCCTAGCCTTGAAATAATTTTCTAAATCTTGTGTGCTGGTATTCTGGGGCCGGTCCGCAAGGTGATTCACGATTACTGGAATTGTCGCCTTCATAGCCAAGCCTTCCAGGCCCTTGTGATCAAATTCGCCAAACATCCTATTCACTGCTGCACGAGGATGTTCAGGGTATTAGAGGGTTGTGAAGTACAAGGCTAGAGTGTGACGGCATCCATGTACCATTTGCCTGTTTCGTAGTCAGGCGTGCAACACAAATTTATCGAGAGATACGGGACCCTCGCTGCAGAGAACTTCGTCAGCGAAGACGATAGTTCTTTCGAATCCTACGGGCGACGCATTTCGATCCGTCTGACCATTGCCTCTGTGACCCATGCCATACGCCACAAATACCTATGGGATACCACCCATATTGGCCTGATGTGCGTTTTCAATATCTGTTTTGTGGTTTCCTTTGAAACTTCCGTGGCAGAAGAGCTCCAACCATTTCTGTTCAAGAGATTGCCACGCCTTGTCCACTAGCTGCATGCGCCATTGTCTGCAGCCTCCGCCACTTTGCCATGAAGATTGCGGGGCAGGTGCACTTGAATGAGCATGGTAAAGTTCTTTCTTATAACCAGCACCAAAGGAAATATAAAACACATATTTGGCAATGCTCGTTGTCTTGGACGTTATTGCCCTAGTGGCACCACTGGGCGACCATGCAGACGCGCCGGGCTCCTTTCGCTCGAGAAGTCAAGCTTAGGGATAAAGGCAGAATGCGGTTTGTAATGAATAAAAAAATATCATTAGTAACTCCTCCCCTTGCATTATGCTCTGGCAACGAAACTGCAAAGCAACGCAACATGCTGTGGGCATTTGCCAGTCCCTGCCCTACTATGTGGGTTGGTCTGGCAACTAATTGATGGCATGGATGTTGATACGTCGTCACAACCTTCGAGGGAGCTTCATAGTCTGAATGCAAGTCCATATGAACTGTTCCCATGAGGGTTCAAGCAAGCTCGTCGAGCTCGACACGGGCACCCTAGACCGTGCCCGTGTCGTGACCACCTTGCTCTTGTTGCAGACTGTGCCCTTCCCCAAGCTCGGCGCTTTTATGCTTGCTTCCAAATGTGGGTATCTTCGCTTCTCCTCACATCTACAGCTGGGTCAGATACACCAACGATGAGCGTTGCCCCCTGCGGCCCCTTTCACCGGACCTGAGAATGGTAAACAATTCTTGGATGATTCGTAATTAGTGGTTAAATGTCAATCATACATGATGATTTTAGGTCTTCCCTGAAATCTAACCCCCCCGCCTCCCCTTCAGTGGCTCCACCATTATTAGTTCAGTAGCCCAGACAATTGATAAGTTGCGAATTCCTTCTTTTCACTCCGTTTACAGTCTCACTGTACCTTACATCCAATGCCTAGATCGTCTTCCTGCCGAATCCATCCCCTTCCCCCGCCTCAGATGGGGGCAGGCGTTTAGCGCCGTTATTTCAACGCAGTAGCAATCAACAAGTGTGAAGAGGCATATATCCGCCGCCCACCAACCTATGCGTCAAAAAAAAGCAGTTTCTTTACATATTCTCAATTCGGCAGTGCCAGTATACGGGCGGACGATACTCGAAAATAACATTTTGGAATAAGCACGCGCACCTGCCGAACAGCTTGAAGACAAACACGAGTAGTAATAATAGGCGTTACACGGCTCGCTAAATCTGCATGGACAAAGCTGTGCCTCCGCCATTCAATTTTTTTGGCGTGAGCCAGCTGAACCCCCAAGGGGTGCCTCGCCACCCGTTTTTGGGCAGTAGGGCCCCATTAACCGCTCTTTCGTTTGCCACAGCACCTGCTTTGTAGATTCATTTGTTGTCCTGTCACGTGCTTCCTGGTGTACTTCGTGTGTCTCTCCTTTTCCACTGTTCGTTGCGGATGACTTATGACTGACAGAAGCGATGGTCCTGAAGCTTCTTAAATGGCTTCAGGGTTCTCAGGCGATGACAGCCCTTCAACGCCTTCTTCCCTCGCTGTCTGAAGGAGGTCACGAAGGGTTACATGTATGTCGAATTCTGACTGCCGCATGCCATCACAAACCGCTGTCCACTGCCAGCAGTACGTGGGTTGCTGTGTTTTGAGGTTTCTCCAAGGAGGAACAGGCGGCCTGCCCGTCTGCAGTTCTTCAGTGACACGGGTATCTTCTGGTGAGTTGCACGAAAAAGTGCAAGCACTTCCCTCGTGTTCCTTTTCTTGCAAAGGAATAGAGATGTCAAGCAAACTCTCACAAGCTTCCAGTGTAGTCGAACGAGCTGGCCGCATCCCATGCGCTTCCACCTGGCAGGAGTTTGTAGATCCGCGTCGAGAAGCGCACATTGCTCGTGTATGTTCAGACAGCACCGCTACGAAAACAATCACATTGCGCAAAAGAACAAACGGCTAAACGGAAATAAACCAAACCAGCAGCAAATAAAATACGCACTAACTTATCACCAGCTCACCAGGCCCAAGCATCACAACGTGACGCGTCGACAATTGAACCTCGTCAGGCAGGAAAACCATCAACGGCGCACTAGGGAAAAGCGTTATACCCTGTGAGCAACGCAAACCGTCTTAGATTGAAATACGATTGTCTCAAATTTGAATCTTCCACGAAAATCCTTTGGCATCTTTCACTCCCCAGGTCACACTTAGCTGCAGCATCCATGCAAATTTCCTTAGCATGTAGTCATTTTACGTCGCGAGCTGCTGCGGGCTTACAAACCTCATCAAAAACAATGTGACTGCGGACGATTAAACCAGCACACGGCCCCGCAATCTCAACGCCGCAGACGGCATTGCCGTTGACGATAGTTTGTCTTTCCTTGGACCACCTGAGCTGCCTGTCCCTTGCGCAGCGGGGACACTTGGCTTGCAGGGCCTTTTTCTTAGACAGCCAATCCTCCAGATCATCCTTTGCGGTGCTCCCTTTTTTGGACAGATCTTCACCGCCCTCGGTATCCCTTGTGCATAAGCCACTGGCGAGTTCAACTTCAGGATCCTTGTACGTGCATCTGACGAGAGACGTCAGCTCGTAACTTTCTAGCACACAAAAACGACCACTCAAGACCACATCTTCCAGGCGAATGGAAGCGCCGCTCATGGTGCGGCCACTCGCCGCGAGTCGCCTTTGCCGTGGCCTACTGAGCTTCTCTCCCTCCAAACGCTTCAAGTACTGATTGCTCGCCACAAGCGGAGGACAGGATGCTGGCGTTGCCAAAGTCTGCCAGCGCCTCGGAACCACCAGGCAACAAGCAGGGCTGCAAATCTCCCAGCAAACAACAAGCATGCAGCTCTAGACATATGAAAACTTTTGCAGGTCGCTCATCCAATGGGACTGAAGGTCCACACCACACATAGCAATAAAGGCCAATAGACGCGCAGCTGTGCAGCAGTAATGCCGTGAAGAGCCACAGAAAAGGTAAAGGAGTGTCTCACCACGTGTGTGTTCGGACAAACTCAAGAAGAAGGGGTAGGCCAAATGCAGAGACAATTGGGCCGCAGTACTGGTCATCTATCAATACAACGCGATAGCGATGCAGATGGGCTTGCAGCCCTTCTGCAATTCCATCTGGTTTAGTTGTTCCCGTACACAAGTCCTGGCAGTGATGCTGCCCATCAACCCCTAGAACCGAGCCCGCCACAGGGTCACCTCTCGGCTGGCAACCAGAATTCGCAGCGCCTCTGCAAGTATGGGAAAGCGTCACTTCACCGGTAAGCACCTGGCAAACGCGGTGTTCAAAGACCTCCTGCTCCAGTGCCTCCAGCGACCGGAAGACCTTCAGACTGCCGGGGCGGCCAAAACATTTCGCGAACGTCGCAGCGCTTTCCCAGTTCGCTTCTTTCATCTGCAAGAAGGGATAAATGACGCAGACGCAGAGTGGCTATTGATGCAGCCACGGATATTAAATGACAGGGCACAGAAGGAGCAGGTGGAGTCAGGCATATACGCGTTTCACATTTCTCAAGCAACACTGCATTGCCACACAAAAATGTTCGTTTTCCAGAAACAGCGGAAACTGCGTGTACACTTGTACGGAACCGCATACGCCGAAAATCCACCTCACCACGACGGTGTGAACTTCTGAAATGCCCAACGAGATTGCCAGAAGAGAAGGGCGCAAGAGAGGATCTTCGGAAATGACCAAGGCGCAATTTCTAACGTAAGTGGAGCAGCAGGTTCTTTCAGAACCGCCATCTCCACTCAAAACGTCATTCCTACTGTCCAACGCTCGGAGCGCCACTGCACCTCCCTGTGGGCTGACTACCCCGTCGTGCAGGCCCCCCTCAAACTGGCAGGTAGCAGACGGAATGCTGAGATTGAGGATTCCACGAGCGTACAGAGGCGTTCGTGCACATTTTGAGCACGCACGCAGAGGCCAGTGGCATGCTTCTACGGGAGCAGACAGTCTCCGCCTGCGCCCGCATAAGTCCCATAGAGTTCACTAAGCAGCACAGACAGTAGGTAATCATCCCGCGAATGTATCGCAAATGCAATAAGTGTGCGGGATGATTGGGATAAACGACTGCGGCTTCATGTAAAACATGTAATCAAACGTCATGAGCAACTGGCTGGATTAGCTAAAGGACCCTCATTCCCATCGGACGAGTCGACCTGAGAAACAGCTCGTGCCCACCTTAGGGCCGCCTGAAAGGCATCCATCTTCTCTCGACCTAGCTTTAGCCACTGCAAAGTCAATTCATCTGACGGCCAGCAATCTTCAAGTGTCACTTCATCCTGCACCGCACCAAGATGCCGCGACAGAGTTGGCGAACTTCGCATTCACTGATGCAGCGTGGTACGTACGGGTTACAAGCAGTTCGTCGACAGAAAGTTATTAGCAAACAACAGAACGCGAGCTCTTATGAGGAATTCTCCGGCATTGCAGACTCGGTAGATCCCCTTTGAGAAAACAACCAAACGACCGTAACCGCCTAGGCAGGAAGTCCCATTTGCCCACCCTCCGTAGGGAGAGCTCGCTGGAATCGTATGTGCCCGAGCAAAGTCTCCCGGCGCTCCTGGAACGGGCTGTGGAGCCAAGTATACGCCCGAGTTAGTATGAAGATGAGGCTGAACGGTTGCAGAAGCAGCGCACGCACTGGGGAGGGGCAGTACCTCCGCGTCTCCCCCTTCCTTCCCTTCACATACCTGTTTTTTGGCCTCAGTGCTTGTCTGAAAAGGCTCCCCATGCGCATGGCATGCAAGGAGACGCTTCTTTGTAGCTAAGGAAAGCTTATCAGGCCACAATTGCTTCCGCCTGGGGCGTGGGGCCTGCGTGCACACGAGGAGACACGAACTCCGTATAACTATGGTAGCCTTGCACTCTAATAGTGCGGAATGTGTGGAAAAAAGCGTCGAAGAGCACAGTGAATTGAGTGCTCTGGCCCTGCACCGAGACAGCTTGGAAGAAAATGGGGAGTAGGCAAAACCCCAATAAGATGGAGTTTACTAGACTCTCCACCTACCGCTTGGCGGCTAAAAATTGTCAAATAAGAATCTTCATGTGGAATCTTCTTGAGTCGTTTGTGGCCCTTCATCTTGGCTAAACATGATCCTTTGCAATGGAAAGGCGTGCCTCTTGCGTTTGCACAACTTTTCCTGTAGAGCGCATCCATTCAGCGTTAGCGATGGGACCCATTCCCCCCCATGCTGATCAAGACGACCAGAACATCGACTCCTAATTCGTCTTCAGAGGGTCCAACGCGAATCGGGGAATTGTCTGAGGGCTTTCTGTACACACTAGTCAGCAGTCCAGCCAATGCAGGTGGCCTGTGCTCCTGGCTGCCTCTGCGACTCCGACAAAACTGCTGATCCAAGCTGCTGTGTGTCCCTCCCGCTGCGATGTCACCATCGTCTCTTTTCGGTGTTAAAAGCCTCTTGAGAAGGACTTGCTCTGCAGCGGACCACAAACCCGCTTTACAGACTATCCGGATGATGGGTTTGATAGGCTTCCGACTAACAATTCAGCCTGTCCAGGTGTTAATTAACACCTAAAGTTCTTCATTCAATACGAGTGGGTTCGGGAAGAAGAACTTGTGCACAATCGTGCTGCGATACAACTGCCCGGCGGATCACAACCACGGAATTGAAACCTGCCCATGCAGCTTCGCTGCTCACCGGGGCTAGCACATCGTGTGGATTTCTTCAAAAAAACCGTATACACTTCAAAATGAAAAGAAGACCGGCGAAAACTTCGAAGGCTGACTGCACGGCCATGGCAGTGGCGAGTCCCAGGCTCTCCTTCTCTTTCGGACGTTCCCAGTGGCAACCCTGCTGCTCATGTGTGAGGCAGCACGGAGAATGCAGGCAAAATGATGTCCGTAATTTCATTAAAGGGGAGGACAATGCAGTGTATCAAGGTGCGGTGGGCCTTCAATGCCGACTCCCCTTGCCAGGCAATCAAGCCGCGAGACCGGGAGATTGTCTTCCTCACGTTTCAAACTCGCCATGTCCCCTCCCTTTTCAAGGAGTTCAAAGACAACAAAAGGATATTAGAAAAGGCTCAGAGAGAAAGTTAAGTGCTCAGCAGCGCAGGAGCTAGGGATAGCCATGTACCTGAATCGACTCGCATTTATAGTAATTTTCTACTCTTCGTAACGGACAAAAGTTCGTAGCAAAAAGTCCGTGTAGTTGGTAAACTCTAATATGTTCATAGCGCCTTTGAAAGAACAGCATTCAACAAGCCCTGCAGTGACCATGTTTTGAAACGGGACCGTAATATGTTCCTCCGCACACGCCGCCGAGATTGCGTTTAAATCCGATATCAACCAACTCGACCTTCAGGGAGCAAAACAGCACCCTTGCACTTCGTGCATATGAGCTTAATCAGAGGTAATCGCTTATGATTCGCGAAGCTGCAAAAAAATAACATTCATCCATGCGTAGCAGATTGTGAATAGCCCAGGCTCGGCGCGTAACCACACCACGATGGAAATCGTTGGGACACTAAATATACGCAGTTTCTCCCTTCTAAAAAATCAATCAGCTCTGCTTGCCGGAGACGGCGTGAGCGGGCTTGTCAGCTTCTGCCGCATTGACGTTTCACCGTCAGTACAACGCAACTTCTGCGTTAATGTCCTTGAATGGAGGACGCAGCAGGCCACTGCCCTTGAGTTTGAAGAAGGGCGTTAGAGTGCGCATTAAGTCAGGCAACAAGCAGATTGAAGCTGGTCTTCCTTTTTCTGTCGAACGCCTCTAGACAGATCCCCGCACGACACGCACTCCTGGAGTGGGAAGGGGCGGCAAAGATGTAAAAAATATTGAGAGCATTCACGAGCCACTTAGGAACTCGTTCTAACTGCGGCGTCGAAGAAAGCAGCCTAAATTCCTGAGTTAAAATGAAGGGAATTCGTTGAGATAAAACAGGTGGTAAGATGAAAAGTGTGCCTGCATGAATGATACCGCATAACTGCGACCCAGGCACCTCACTGCACTCCGCCTGAGGTACGCAACTGCTTTCTTTAACGCATATACAGCACGGCTTGCATCAAAGACGTTCCGGACCACAAAGCGAAGGAGAGGAATGACACATACCTACTGAGCTTAATGACCTTCAGCTGAGCCATGAACAAAGACGGGAATTAGCACAGCTTCACGCCCAACTACCAGCCCCTTGCCCTTCCATGCGATGTGTGTGGGTTTACCAGTAATTCGACGGACAATGAAGGCCATTCAGCTGCTGGTGATTAATGACACCTGCTAAGATGCTACAGGGGCCCTTCGGCTAGCGCTGTGCAGATCAGCGCGCTGTGTGGTACACCGCATCTAAAATGTCGAAACAACCAAATGGGGCCCCTCTAGTGCAGGCAGGACTAGACCTGTCAGCTTGCATGTAGCTGGAGCTGCCCTTCGGGGCGTTCCAGATACGCGACAGTACTCGCTAAGCCTACCCACAAGCAGGCACCTGCTGCGACGGGGGCTTCCTGCAGAAGCCTATGCCGGGTGTACAGGGAGCGCAATAGCCTGTCCTGCTACGAATTCCACTCCGTCATTGCCTCCGAAGCCCGTGCAGTTGTCGACCCATTGGGGGCAAACGTCCAAATCTGCCAAGTCTTCAAGTTCTTGAACAACAGCGCCAGACAGGTTTCGCTGACGCACACGGCCGCTACGTGCCGCTGCTGGGCATTCGGGCCCAGCTGCGCTATATACCGCTGCCTCCCGAGAAGCCCCACCATTCTACTGTCTGTGTGGGATCCTCCATTGTGGACCATTGGTCCAGGAAGAGGGTGCAGGCGCGGAGAGGCAGTCAGCGATGGCTCAAATCTATCGGCGGGAGGCCCCTGGATGGAACTCGCCATCGCCGTCACTGCAGGGGATCCCGAGATATGGGAAGCCCTAGAAGAGTCCACATCAGAAGCGGGGCACAGAGTTTCTCCCGCGGGCTGCTGCTGCTTGTCTTGGGCTGTAGCTGCAGAAGGCAGCGGGGAGGGTAACTGAAGCAGCTGAGTGCCAGACGGAAGATCAGAAGGACTCGCATCTTCAGCGCTTGCGTTTGTGAACCCCGCGGCTCTCTTTTCGCTGTTTTGGCCGCCAGACCTGCCGCATGCGTGCGTTGTCGCACAACTCCTCTGCTGCAGCTCTTCCCATTGTTCCATCTGATGTATGTACAGCTCCTCAGCAGTCATGCCCATTGCCGCGGCCATCTCGCGCAGCGCCCTGGCCCCCTCTTCCCCCACCAAACTAACGAGGAAGGAAACATCTGTGGGGCCCGAGGCCCAGCCTGTGCGTGGGCAGGCAGCTCCTCCTGAAGGGGCCCCTGCTGCAACGACAGCAGCAAAACTTGGCCGGCTGCTATCGGCCCCACCGGTACTCTTTGGCGGTTCAAGCCCTAAGGGCCGCTGCTTCGGTTGTTCCTCGGCAGACAACGACTGCTTGCTGCAAGGCACCACCCTGTGTCTGGAAGCCGCAGTGGAGTCTCCTGGGTCCCCCACAGCAGCAGCTGCGTTCTCCTCGCTGGGCTGCGCATCAGGGGCTGTGGTGCTAAGTGCGCCTGTCGGAGAGGATTTGCAAACCGAGGGATTCGCAGTTTGCCTCTTCGATTGCAGCGGCGAAGGCCTGATGGAGCTGGGGGTCGGCGAATCTTTCTTTCTGCCATTCATGCAGACTTCAAGAGAAAAGGGAGAGGCGAGAGGAGGAAACTCATCTGCGTAGCACACAGCCACTGCTGCCGCAAGCTCGGGATCCACCTCGCCCTCCGTTGACTCCCCAGGAGGCCCCACAACGGGCTGCTCATGTTCCTTTGCTAGTTCGCCAGAAGAGCCCCCAGCCACCAAGGAAGCGCCGTTCACCCGGGGTACGGGACGCCCGTCGTCACTGCTGTCCAGAAGAGGCACCTTCGCTTCGGCTGCTTCAGGACTATCTCCTCTGGACTCCTCAGCTTCCACCTGCTGCTGGTCCTGCTGTTGGTCTTTGTGGGTTACGGGTGTATCGGTGTGCGTTCCAGTTGCCCTGGCGTGTGTGTCTGCTTCCTTCTGTGCGTCATAGAGCAACTGCAGCTGCATCGCCGGTTCCAATGAGCTCGCATTTAACCAGAGACCGCCAACAAGAGCGCCGTTTCCCTGCTGCTCACGGCTACGGCTGCCCTGCGTTTCCGCAGGTCTTGTGATGGCGATCGGTGATGCATGCGCTGTATGATGTTTCCCAGTCTTAGTATGCGCGAGGAGCTGTCGCTGCATCCACCCTGTGCCGAACTGTTTCTTAAGACTCATCTTACCGGCCTTGCGGGCCCCCTTGGAACTGCAGGAACCCGCGAGGTCGCCATTGCTGTGGGGGCCCCTTCTTGCGAGGCTGCGGCCCACGGGTTCATGCTCTGAGTCAGTTTCAAGTTGGTCTTTGTTGCGACAGATACGCTCCCTGTTGATAATGCCGTATTCATCGTCCTCCTGGCTGTCTGAAAGCGCTGCGGTGTGTCTATCGCCTCTGGCCATGAGGTCTACCTCGAAGAGCTTTGTATAGCGCTGCAGGTCCCAGACCATCAACACTTCCTGTAGATCAATCGTCACCAGGCGCCTTACCCCGTCAAACGCGCATTGATAAACTGAACGTGGATGTGAAAAAACACAAAGCCGCATCGACTGTAACTCGGGAGGAGCAGGAGGACGCATGCACCAAGGCAACTCTGGCTGCTCTACCACAGGCCGCCGCAGCTGCCTCAGCTGATCCAGCGGAGACCCCATCAACGTTGCATGCATGCGCTCCTCCTCAGCCGCACTTGTGGCTTTCCGCTGCGAAGGAGTCGCCTCCCTAATCTTCATCTGCACCACTCGAATCACAGACCCGTCTACAACTACCCACCGCCGGCCCCCAAGAGGCTGCAAGAAAGAAGGCCGCCTCGCCACCAGCAACTCTAGACGCGCACACTCCGCTGGAGAAAGCAGCATTGCAGCAAACTGCTGCTGCTGCACAGGCAAATAACCTCCCAATGGCACATGCTGCGGCCGCGGCAGGCCGTAGCGACCGAACTTCGAGAGGTCCTCCGCCGCCAGCACGGGGCTCTCCCCAGAAGGTGAGACACAGATATGAGCAGGAAGCAGATGCTGAGAGGCCACACAGCAGCACAAACAAAGCCTCCAACGCAACATCAACACGCAACACCCACCCGGGCCGAAAAGCCCACTCCCTGCTTTCCGCCTTGCACACGCATCGCTGAGGTGTACTGTACAAGTCTACAAGAACAAGCTCATATATACCAGCGACAACAACAACAGTATCACCATTCATGAAAATGCAAAACAAACGCCACACCAACGTTCTAAGGCTTTTCGTGTTCTCGCAGACACTCTGAACTGCGAGGATCCAACAAGACAGAGAAGTATAAGGGTTAGAGAGGGCGTTTGGCTGCTTGGGAATCTTAAGTCTTACGCTGAAGCAGACGAAACAAACCCTCGAGTCTCGAGGTGTGCACACGGCGACAATGCCGTTGTTCAGATCCAAAGACACAAGTTGGCACCTCCCCCGAATAGTCAGAGCGCAGCACCACCTCCCTAAAAGCCCTTGACGGTCCCCAGCTGATCTCCCTGTCTCCTTGCAAGAGCTATCTTTCCCTGTCTCTGTTCCTCCCCCACAACCTGATGCCTCCTCTATGCTCCACACAAACCTGAATACCTTTATCCCCGCCTCCTTGCTGCATGCAAATAGCCAAAGAGCTTCGGCCTCTACCCCTCCGCAAGGCCGCCCCTCGCTAGAGCCGGCAGCCCCACGCTGAAGCATAGGGGGCCCCTGTGTATGTGCTGCAGAGGTGGGGGCCCTTGTCCAGTGCCACGAGAAGTCACGTTGCTGCGTGGATACCAGCAGCTCAGGCTGCTGCTGCGCGGCAGAGCGGGGGGCCCACGGAGTTCCCCTCACTAACTCCACATAATCAACTGCCCCACTGTCTGCTCCAAAAGTCCCTACCTCCATAAAGGAGACACCTCGAGCAGCTCGCGCTGCGGTCACAGTAGGACAGGAGATCCGGCTGCTGCTACTACTGTTGCTACTGCTACAACTACTGCTGCTGCTACTACTACTATTACTACCGTTGCTGTTGGTAAGGCCGTTGTTGCTGCTGCTGCTGCTGCCGCTGCTATTTCTGCTGCTGAGGCCACCGGCGGTCTTGAGTTTGTCGGCTTGCTGCTGTCCCGTCTCTCCAGAGCCCTCTGCCTGCGACGCTGCTGCTGCTGCTGCTGTTGTTGTTGTGGGGCCTACTGGAGTTGTTTTGCCTCGAATTGTGGCCAGACAGCTCCCGCAACAGTAGCAGCGGCGCACGAGACAGCGAGGGGGAGGAGTGCAAAGAATTCTGCCGTGTGAAGTACCCACGGCTACCAACCCCACGAAGACAGCGAGGGGGAGCTGCTGCAGTGAGAAGCTGATGGCCTTGGCGCTCCTGCTGGTGCTGCTGCTGCTAGTGCTGCTGCTGCTGCTGGTTGGGGTTACACAGTCTTTCTGAAGTTGCTGCTGCAGCCCCACCGTTGCTGCTGACGGGCAGTCGCCGCATAGGTCTGAATTTTGCTGCTGCTCCTCCTCTCCTGTTTGGCCTTCAGCAGGGAGAAGCAACTCCCCCGCCCCCCCAGGCGCAGCTCCCCGCTGCTGCGCTGCTGTCTGTCTCTTTTTCTTATACCACAGCCTACATCTCGCTGCCTTCACCATCTCCTCCTCCCGCAGCACACAACACACAATTGCATGCGCCTGAAATCGAGACCCTTTGGCTGAGAAAGAGCAGAGAGCCACTGGCCACACGCGCTGGGGTGTAGGCGGCCCCCCATCTGCGCCAGCAGCGGCTGATGAGGTTGAAGCAGCTCCTGCTGCAGCGTTCCCAGCAGCAGGAGGAAGGCCTTGAGCAGCAGCAGGGGCGCATGCAGCAGCAGCAGCAGCAGGAACGCCTGTAGCAGCTGCAGGGACACCAGCAGCAGCTCCACTCGGCGAAATAACCCCGTTAGATGCCCCTTCCAGTGTATCCGCAACTGCGGTGCCTTTGCAACAGGTGGAATCATCTCCCATTAAAGCTTCTGAGCCCCTATCTTCTGCATCAGCAGCAGCAGCAGCATCTGCTGCTCCTGCTTCCGCGGGTGCTGCGGAAGAAGCTGATGGCTGCTGAGCCGCATGCGCGAGCTGGGAAGAGGCAGAGCAAGGGGGGAGAGGCGGCATCTCTATTTTGATGGGGGGGAGACAAAGAGACAGCAGCCGGACTTGGGGACAATGCCCCAGGCCTGTGTTATTGCCTTGTGAGGGCTGGCTGCTGCTGCTGCGGGGAGGGAAGGGGGGAAGCTTGCTGCTGCTTGCTGCTGCTGCTGCTGCTGCTGCTGCTGCTGCGGAAGCCCCAGGGAAGAGGCCCAAGCTGCTGTCTGCCGAGGGGGTCCCTCTTTGGGGGCCCTCCTCGCGCAAGCTGTCCCCAGGACAAGGGTATAATGGATGCGGAGACACATGAGCCCAGCTTACGTGCAGTCGGTGCTGCTGCCCCTGACGCTGCTGCCGCTGCTGCCGCCTCCGCTGCGACTGTGGCAGGCGGGGGCCCC